CAAAGGTAAACGCACCAGAATGCTTGAACTTCGAGGCTCTATCTGCAAATCGATTTGACTATATTCCACTCTATCCGTTTCGTTCTCATCAGAAGGTGAGTGAGAGAGATGGATTGATTTAAAAATACGGGAACGGTTTCGAGTGGAACCTCTGTCGCAATATTTTGGGAGTTAACGGTCAGGACCGGGAGCATCGACCGGGCGTTCGAAGTTTGAATCGAAATTGGAACTCAGTCGAAGTGAGCCCACGTCTGCTGAGGGTCGTGTCGCGCCGGCATGAGCCCGCAGCGGAGCTGGATAGAGATGTGACCTGTAAGTGCTGTGTTGTGTCGCGTTTGTCCTTTTATAGTGCGGTTCTTATGAAATGCGTATGTTACTGAAGGTAGTCGCGTTGACGGAGCTTACATTGAAAAAAAAAACTTTTTTATATTTAAAGTGCTACTTTTTGATAAATTATTTGCAATTTGAGAAATAGCATTTTCAACGTGGTTTATAGCTAACACTGATGTTGCGAGGTAATATCTAATTTAAACCGATTTAAAAGCTTTTCCAGATCCCCTAACAAACCCGATAAAAATTTCAATTGACCCGTACCTAGAATCGAACCCGGAACCCGGCGCCTCTGCCGGCTGCATTACGGAGTAGTAGCTTTAAGCCTCTTTAAATGACAATTGAATACCTAGTTCAATTATGTTAAGAATAAAAAAAATGTGGCTAGAATTAATTACTAATCTTTTGCTTCATTCTCTCACCTTCACTCTTAATAATGGAATTCCCAAAGAACAGGAAAGTAGGTATCCAATTAATTATCAAAAGACTTCGAAACAATTTGCCACATTATGTATCTTATTTCACCTGGATACAGTCTAAAATACGCTATTGTTTCAAACAATGACGTTGACATCCCGATGACACGCCTGACGACTTCAAATGGGCTATTGATGGACAATAGAATATCAAATAGGCACCGGGAGCGCCTGCACCTTTATGATCGGGCTTTGATCTGGCTTGAATGAATGGATAATGAATTAAGACCCTTACTATTGACGTCAGAAATAATAAATTCAGTGAAATTTCCCTATTACATCAAAATTAGATGTCAAAGAGTTAAGCTCGTGCTGTCGTCTGTACAAAGTTTTAAATTGCAATTAAACCCATTGGATCTGTCTCATACCTATTTAAATAAATAAATAAGGGAAATGTAGGTATCATGAGTAGTCTTATTTTAAAAGGATGAATTTGCACCCTATTGAAATAAATTCTGATAGCCTGTCGTGGTTAAAGAGTTATGGTCTCTCAAAATATAAATCTCAACCTTCAGTTGTTTAGTATGTAAGTCTTCAGTGTTAGTACATATAATAAGCCAACTTTTATAAATGTTATTTACAGAGCTCGATTTTCGTCAATAACTCGTTTTCGCACCTCTGTAATGTACCCACCTAAGCATACTGATTATTAACCATCTATAAATACGTAGACAGTAGGTACACTACACGACACGCCTCCGAAAGAGTGTAAATGTTATCGCGATTCGTAACATACGTCTATAAAAGTTGCTGTCAAATCTTTGTATTGTACCTAGCTCTACTTCTTCTTCTCAGTCGGTACACTCTTGTCAGAGTGGTCGTGGTCATCATTGTGAATCACGATTCAGAGTGATGTTCCTCGTAATACGGCGCCATTCCTCGTAGCTCTACTGGCCCAGTCTATTATCACGATCGTGCTTTGCCAAAACACTTGGAAAGCGCAAGTGAAAGTTGTGGACTTGTGCCACAAGATTGAAGGTCACGACACGCCGGAATAGAACGCGCAATGTACAGTTTGGAAATATTTTAGGCAAAGCTAATGATGTAAGAAAGAATAAAGACAAAAACGCGCCAAGCAACGACATTTTAGGATCTGCCCCTCTAGAAAAAGTTCCTATCGTAAAGTTTTCATCCCGAAATTGCTTCGTTACGGCGCTTTTTCTGTAACATCTCGATATGCTACTTTGTCTAGCATAGACCTTCTGTTTTCACGTAACTAGCAATATTATGTATTAAAAGTACCTTATATGTATAATGTAGGTAAGCTCGCGTGTGTCACTAATAGAGTCGGATTCACATCTCTCGCGTGTGCTGTGACACCATGTGGCACGTCCCGCGTGACACGACGACATCAAAATATTCATAAATAAATAATATTGTCTAGCACTTTTTTAAAATATCCCGATTTAAAATGACTTCCGACTTAAATTCAAATCTAAATGGTTTCTTCAGGACATTAGGTATTTTGAAATTCAGTAGAAATTTTTTCGGGAGCCTGAAGCTTATGATTTTATGATATTAGATTTGTGGGCTTAGGAACTCTACCAACCGTATTAAAACATGGTTTGAAAGATCATTTCAAATGACCTCTAAATTAAAATCGCAAAATAGATGTTAATGGCTCATAAAACAAACGAAGCATGGGCGTAGACAAACATTTAAAGAGCGAGTTTGTCTGTTTGTACACACAATAAACGAATTCTTTTGTCGTGGCGTCGGATAATGCAGCCATTTGCGTAACAATGTGCTGAGAATGTGGTCATTAGAATGGTCAAGAATGAATTGGACTACTTTCGCTGTATTTTTGAAGTTTTGTTTTATTTTGGATTAAAGATAGACCAACAAAGAAGACTGGAGTGGGATCTGTCTTTGATATATAAAATTACCTACAAAATTAACTAATTTTAACTTAACTCTTCACAGTCAAAAACTAGGTACCTTTAGGTACAGTCAGTTCACAGATCAAATAGTTCGTGACAACCAAAGTGGCCAAAAAGTTTACCTTATTTCCAAGTAGTTACAAAACTAAACCTTATTTCAGTTGTACTCGTAGCAACTTATGACCTAAACTTCCTTTTTAACGTTTTTGAAGTCGGCTACTAAGTAAAAATAATTTAAGTAATTAAGTATAAGTTAGTTAAGATAGTTATTAATATTATTGGATGCGGCCTTGCATGTTCTGCGTGTACGCAGCAGTCACGTAATCTATTGAATACTATTGAATGTTGGTCAAACTTTACATCAAATTATTGGCGAACTAATTGATACTGTATCAATAAAATTACGCGTACAGATGCCCAAAGATCATTCTACTATAATTTATCGTCGTGGTACGGTTCTTCTTAATTAAAAGTAGGTTTGACGTGGATTCTTTTGGATTATTATTTTTTCTTACAGCACATTTCATTTAACTAACACTGTGGCGACTTATGTAACTACGTGGAATTAAGGATATTTGAGAATAAAAATAAAACAATCCAAGCACAGAACTGATGAGATGAGAGACTAAGAGTAAGCTCTTCTCTTTCTCTTTATCAGACTCTTATTAACCAAAATGTAGAGTAGTGAATACAACTTTTGTGTGGCCAGACTTTAAAATAAAATTACATAACTTGCGTATGAAAAAACGAGGGAACCAGTTTTAAAAGTCACATGGCGGTGGTTTATGTTAGTTAATAGAATTACAAAATTTGAACAATACTGTACAAAGTCGAAAACTGGTATTACCAGTGCTTTATATTTTAAAATAAGCACCTACTCTTAAGTAGTGGAAACAAAAGAACGGTACCGCGGAACCTGAAAAATGCAAATTACCTCCAAAACATTATTATTAAAGTTTAAAATTCTAGTGAAGGTTAAGGTTTTTATTACCAGTTACATTTTGCGGAAATACATTTATTATGAACTTCTTTTCTTGTTAACCATATTAAAAAATGTTTGTAATTTAATGCAATTTGTGACCCTGAGTAACTGTGTCAATTTCCCAAACACATTTTTTGAGCGGCGTAGCTGAAAATCATATGTTTTTTATGACATAGAACTTTGATTTTTTTTTACACGAAAATATACAGAGGTTCCATTTTGAGGACAACATTATTAATGAGTATTTTCTTTTACAAATTCGACAAAAAATAATTGAACTAAGCGTTTCTAATTTTGGTGCAGTGTCCACATCCTTAATTTCTTACAATATGTATTTTTTTAGCTGAAGATCAAAACAGAACTTAGGGAAAAAGTATATTTTTGGATTATACAATCTATCTATTATCTAAGATTACCAAATTAAGCAAGTTTCCCAAATAACTGTGATTAAGTCACGTCCTTAAGTTTTGTCCGCGAAAAATTTATGATTTTGGTGTCAATAATGAAATAGCTCGTCAGTTTCTTTAAAGATCAAACAGGATTTAAACACTCCCATCATTCGTTAGGTTTAGTACCGCCCCCGCGAGCAGTGACGGCAGACGGGTGCAAGACCTCTGCGTCTTCCCGCCAAAAACGTAAATGTGTTGTTTTTTTTTAAACGGACAACAATTCTGCAATTTTGGTGTCTTTTTGTATAAGATTTCTAAGCTATTCTTTTTAGTTGAATTCCTCGTATAATGTAAAGGAACTGTTTTCATACCATGTGTTAAAATGTTGAGTCGGTGCTGGTAAATTTAAAACCATTTCTTGAGCTTGGCACTAAGATATGACCGACTGACAGCATATTTTCTAATTTTGGTGCTTTAATATAAATTTTGGTGTTCTCTTAATTTTGGTGTAAAGAAAATCTAAAAAACTACTGGACAAAATTTAATGTCTTAATCATTTTAGAAACAGTATAAGTTTCCAATAAATTTGATCTATAATTAAAGAATAAAAATACACAAATAACAATTTCCACCAAAATTAGGCAAAAATATGCACTTGTTGAAATTCACCCAACTACAATACCTTTTTAAAATGACAAAGGAACCACAATTCTTTCAATTGGAGCTTAAGACCTTGCTCAATTGTCGGCCCTCGCCAGCAGATCAACCTACCGTACAAAAGAATTGGATAAAAGACGAATTTCCGAGTAATTTATAAACTTTATTTATGTTTTCAATGCACAGTTCAAAATCAAATTAAAATTAGTTTAGGTATTTGTGATAAGTAACTTTCTCTACTGTGTGACGAAAAGAATCCAATTGAAATTCATATATTTCTTTCCAGTTAACTCAAAATGGCAACAACAGTGCTCCAGCCAGAAGAATGTCGGAAGCACGAGCCCAAACCAGACCTGGAGCCACGTGTGACCGACGAGGAGCGCCTCCACATCCTCGAGGGAAAGGAGAGGGAGACGGGAGACCTCCCTCCAGAACTGAGGGAGAGGGCTAGAGTGGAACTGAGGGAAGAAACGGCGCTGAGGGAACAGGCGCTGACGCAGATGAGGCATTTCATTGAAAAACATCCTGCTATCAAGAAATGTAGGACTGGTAAGTTGGGGTTTTATTCATAAATATTTATTATCGATGTCAGGTCTTTTAGACTCTACTGCAGAAGCGTGACCCTCTCAATATACCAGAGACAGATAAAGGAATTTTTGGCCTACAATTTTTCACGCTCTCCAGATAGTTAAGGACGAATTTAGGAGGGATATATTAGCCCTTAAGTGTTAGCTACTTTTTGAACAAATTACATCTAGAACATCATTTTGAAAACTTTTAAATTATATTCTCTCATAAGGACAATCGATGTATATACCCGCTTGTAGTAACCAGTATATTTTTAGATTTAAATAAATGACAGTGCGACGGCCAGCATCTACAGCTTTCGATGCATGTGAAATTGTAAGCAATGCCCATCGCAACAGATTTTTATTCAAATCACAGCGCGAAGCCATTGCTATTCCACCAAGGTTCACTTGCACTTCGGAATACGTGATACGGTTAAGGCAATTGTTTTAATGTCAGACTATGTAGGACAGTTGAGAATCGATTCGAAAACTACGATAGGACTCATGGTTAATGCAGAAAGTAAAATACTTGTTTCGTCATTAGCGTTACATTTTTCAGAACTTAACTATATTATAGTAGTTTTACAGTATTTGTTACAGGCTATTTTACAGACTAACCTTGGGTTTAAGAAAACATATAAATTAGTAATATCCTCGATGCAGATGAGGAAGTTACTTAGGAAGGTATTGTTTTTTAGCCAAGCCAGACCCAAAAAATTGAGTCGATCTTATTCTTGAGAACCCAAGTTCTTAAAGTTCTCAAGTTCTTGGGGGCCAACCCTCATTGTTAATTACTATGTATTGTTAATTATTATTTAACTTAGCCCATTTTCAAAAATTAAGGTCCATATTCCCAATTGTCAGCTAGATTAGATACGAGTAGCAATTATTTCCCAGAATAAAGTGCAATGATCATAAACAAGATTGTATTTGAGTAAGTAACCATTACCTGTTTTTTCTTCCCCAGATGCCCCCTTTTTGCTCCGCTTCCTCCGTACCAAGAAGTACTCCATCCCCCAAGCGTGTTCCATGCTGGAGCGGTATCTGACCATCCGGCAGATGTACCCCCAGTGGTTCCAGAAGCTGGACCCCTTGGACCCCAAGATCGCCGCTGTCATTGATGCGGGGTATCTGGTGCCGTTGCCGAAGAGAGACGCTGAAGGCAGAAGGGTGGTGCTGTCGTGTATGGGTAAGTTGTTAGAATGGATGTTTTTTATTTCGAGCGAAAAGCTAGGAGGGTTGGATGAAGATTTGGCGGTGGTGAAAGCTTAACTAATGTTCAGCAGTGGGCTGTGGTAGAAAGGTGATGCATTTTTTTACACTTGAACACACTTAAGATATAAAACATAAAACATGTACATATTTAACACGACTCAATGTTACAATGTTGATTTTATAGCTGTTTCACGCTACTTCGAACGCGAAGGTTACTTTTAATGTGACTTACATACGTAAACTTTTTGCATCCACTTAAGTTCCACAACGCCTTTTGTGATGTGTTTATTAGTTGAAATCTCAATTTTCTATGCATACACAAACTTTTTGCAAGTTCCACAACGCCTTTTGTGATGTGTTTATTAGTTGAAATCTCATACCCTCTTGTCTGTGCTCCGAAACTTCTAGCTTGCGGCTGATTTAGCCACCTTTTATCAAATTTAACATCTTCAATTTTAAGGGTTAAATTGACATAATGTTTTCCTTGTTTCAGGCCGCTTCGACCCGCACGTGTTCGACAGTTGCGTGATGGCGCGTGTTCACTCCATGATCGTGGAGCTGCTGCTAGACGAACCGCGCTCACAACTGCTGGGCTACACGCACGTCAACGACGAGGCTGGCATGCAGATGCCGCACGTGAGCCTGTGGTCGCTGAGCGACGTGCGCATCATGCTCAACTGCATCCAGGTGACTATCATCATCATCATCATCATCAGCTGGACGAGCCGCGGTCACAGCTGCTGCACCCAACTGCGGAAAGACCCTGGATGCGGGCAAATGGCGCAAGTACACTATGCGGAAAATTGACCGAGACGAAGTATGGGCGACGCACGGGTGGGAGGAAAAAGTAAGATGGTGTTTACACTATTACAATCATCTCGGCTCTTCTTGGCCTATTTCCCGCATAGTGTACTTGCGCCAAAAGTAAGACCGCTCGTTGGAAATCCATGGGGGAGGCCTTTGTCGAACAGTGGAAGGCATTTGGTTGATACGAAAAGAACTTTCTGATAATTAAAAATAATGGTCTTGTAATTATTATCTTAAGTAAATAAACTTTTTAAATAACTTTATTTTCCTTCCCAGAATTCCACGCCAATGCGTCACAAGCGGACCCACTTCGTCAACATCCCGACCTACGGAGTCAGATTCTTCGAATTTGCAGTGTCGTTGCTTAGCGATAAACTAAAAGACCGCGTAATGGTAAGAAAAATATTCATTTCATTGTAAAAAAAGTTTATCAATTTTTAAGTTTCCCTCCATCTTTATTTTCACTTGTCATGACCAATCAAAAGTTGTGACGTCAGTTTATTGCCAACACAATAAATAAAAAAAGTATTAAGCTGTGTGTACACTATTACATAAGTTACCCTAAAACAATAATCAAGTGACCAACATTTTTTGTCTTTTTCTTGTAGTTTAAAATACAGCAATGTGTGTTAAATCTGACTTAGCGAATTACATAGTTAGTAATAATTTCATTATAAAAAATTACGCGACATTATTTTAACGGCGATATCATCAGAATATTAATTTCACATTTTTTTTCAGTTCCACCGCTCAAGTGAGGATTTGACAAAGCACGTCGATCCATCAATACTGCCGAAAGAATACGGGGGCACAGTCCCGTTGAGGGATATGATTGAAGAGCTAAAACGGAATCTATTGAAACGCAGAGAAGAACTATTGGCGCTAGATGACATGTGCGTCGACCTCTATGCTTTGGAGAAGAATGACCTTACTCAAGATATCCATTCCACAGCTGGTTCATTCCGGAAATTAGAACTGGATTAGAAAATAGTTTTTAACTCAATAATTTTATGTATCATTGAGTAATAAAACAATTTCTAATTAGATTAACAGTAATTAGTTACATCGATAGTTAAGTTCATTACTTTGTAAGTTATTTGTTACATTCTTAATGTGAATCAATTTACAAAAAACGTGTTCTTGAATCAACACTTAATTTCAATTATCATTTTTGAAACCTAACGGGGTGGGTAAACACATTCCACATTGACGTAAAATAGATCTCAAGCTTTCATTTTTAGTTGTAAGATTTTCGGAAGTAGATTTGCTTTTAATTAAATATTATTTTCCATTTAATCGCAGGAGTATTTTACGTGTTAACTTTTAATTTACCTATTTTAAGTGACTAGAGAGCTAGTGGCAGCCGTCGGTGGTGTCACGTTACCATTCTTATCTGTTTTTCATTGCCAACCGATGTTTCAGTTTGCATTTTAACGTAACAATTAAGATCCTTACTCATCTATCGCTACTTTGTTGTTTACTGCTGCAATGTTTTTGAGCATGAATTTGTGGGTCCACGTATGTGTATATGAAATCCTACATTTTTGTCATAATTTAGAGAATTCGTAATACAACTGGTGGTATTTTGCTTCAAGATCCTACGGTGCCTTCGACATGACAACCTGACTGCTGCATATAAAGTTTACGAAATGTGACTGCTTTATAATGTGAACATGATTTTAGTTAGGGTATTTTGTAGTTATAAAATCTATGAGACCTACTATCTTCTGTAATGTCCTACAACATAGGGTTTAAATAAATAAAAACTATAATTAACAATGCTGTTTTATTCATTCTGTTAATGCTTACAATTAATTACCTTACTATTAATTACCTTACTCAATAGCTATTTTATTAGTTCCTGCCAAGTAGAACATAAACAATTTATTTTCATGATTTAATTAAATTATTTATAACATCAATAAATCGTAATACTTAGTTACCTACATCAAAGTTTAAATTAAAACAAGATTGATTGCTAAAATGATAATGATGATAACATTAAATTTATTGCGATATTTTTAGTAAAAATTTCGGCTACCCATTTTATAAAATAAGTATTAGCTTTTGCCCGCGGCTTCAACCGCATGTAATTTAGTTTATCACAGATCGTCATAAATTAAAGCCTATAATATTGTAATTATGTTATTCTAGGTTATAAGTAAAGAATAACACTGTAAATTTTCATCAAAATCCGTTCAGAAGTTCAACAAACATCCATCTAGACATCCAAACTTTCGTATTTATAATATTAGTTTAATCCTACGAGTTTTTATATTTGCATAAAAATTGGCAGTTACCAACTTTCAAATAATGCCGCCAATAGTGCTTTGGTGTGTATAGCGCTTTAGTTTTAAATCGAAATGTTTAAAATTGTGTAAAATTACCAAAAATGGAACACATTTTGATCAGTATGTTTCCTTTTACCAGTTTGACGTTTTCGTAATAAAATAATAGACAATAGACTTTATAGATAGTGTTTGTTCCATAGACAGCGCAATGACCTTGAATTGCACGAGAAACGTTGCTAACTTCGGTGTAGTTTTTCCCGCAGTTTGGCGTCCACAAGATTGAAAAAATTATTACAAGAAATTTCTATGTATTTAGATCAATAGGACAATTCAGAACTTATATGATTTATATTCCAGTGCAGTTTTGATGAGACGACGATGTTATTACTGTGATTGTTTTGTTTGTTCCCGTGTACTGTGGTGATTTTTGTAAACATCAGGAGGAACATTGCCCCACGTCTATGACTTCTTGTACGTATCCTAGCCATTATCGGTGTATGCTTACTATTTTAATGTTATTTATTCAAAATAAGTGTATAAATAGTGAGATTTGTTCTTACTCCCCAAAGTTTAACCTCGAAATTTTGATGTTTGGTTTGCAATAAAAGATGGGCCTCCCATGATTGGAAGTGTTTGTTGTAGAACCACGAATGCAGTTTTGTTCGTATTCACAATGCACTTGCATTCGTGTATCGTGTACGTATTTAAATCTCGTTTGGTTGTTATAAAAATATTGTTATGATCATACTTTGATGGTTTGTGATCATGATTATAGATTGAGCAACAAATGAGGTTCATTTTGTTTGGCAACTTCGTAATAGTATGGCATTTGTTAGGTTATTTGGTAATCAATAAACAGTTGTGGTTTATTGGTCAATAAATGTCACTTGCAAAGAAAGTTAGTGATGCCTGTTGACACTGGGCTTAGAGCACTGATGTTGTTCCATACTGACTAACTCAGTAAGAACTGTATCTTACACAAGAATTCATTTCATACATCAAAAGTAAACTCATAGAAAAGGTAATGTTTTGGGGTTGTAATAAAAAAACATGATATTAGAAAGGACTAGGCTGTTAGTGCCAATGGTCAGAGGCTAGAGTAAATATCATGTTTTTGTCCCTAGAACTCCATATTCAACGGGGTCATATAGCACACTGTTGACAGAAATATCTTTATTTTAGCTAAATACTTGACAAAAGATTGTGGTTCTGATCACATCTCTATTGTAAATATTCCCATAAGACTTTCAGTGCTATTCGCTCAGATAAGTATGGGGCAACAGATAATATAAAGTTTTAATTTGTATAATTTCTTTTTAATATCAATATTTATCAATAACTTAGTGCAATAACAAAACATTATTTTGTTCATGACCCAATAAGGCTGTGTTCAATTAGGTGAAATTCGATTTTATATTGATTAATACTTCAATAATGAAGTAGGCCTAGGCCATCGAATTAATATCTATGGAGAAATTACATTTGTACAGCTCATAATGCTTTACGTTTACTAAGTATTTCAAATGATTTGTCATGTCAATTACTTAATTATTAATTTGTGAGAGTACTTAACAAATTATTGAACTGTATATGTAAATAAAAATAACTTTACATAGGCATATTTTAAATTTAAACATTCAGCTTACTAATTTACTAAAAACTGGTTAAACAAGTGAATTAAATAAAACCACTGTTAAGATTATTGTTTAAAATAAGTTTTTACCTAATTGGCAGATTTGGCAGCAAGCTAACAAGGTTTTTGTACTTTAGAAAATTATACCAGTGGTCAGTATTAAAATTCCACTACAGTAATTTATCTAATAGATAGTATGAAAATATAAAATTGGAGTCAACAATTAAAGTAAGTAATTGTTAGAGGAGAATTATCTTTTGGTTATATTTGACTGTACAACCAACCATCAATCTACATCTGAAGAGCAATAAACAAACATGTACCGTAGTGAACATTTGTAACGTTTAAATCTATAAAGAAGTATTAATTCGAATTAGCATTAATCTGTAGTTTTAGTTGTAATTCACAACTGTAAAATCGCATGTCAATTAGTGTTCTGATTGACTGATAACGCACATAAACGTACATTTAATAGAGTTGAATTTGACTGGTGTATGTAACTATAGGACTGGTCTAGATTCTAGATTTTAACATTGTACCTATAGCCTCTTCACCAACAGAAAATGGGTTTCACAGTCATAGTGTCAGATTCCGTGAGCCGTTCATATATGTACATTTTTAAGAAGATTGCCAATTTCTATTTTTGGCATAGTGTTCTTGATCTTGACTTCACATGGAAGGCTGTCTAGAAATACTGTATGTGGAGTTGGTTTATTGACTTTTGGCAGCTAAATTAATTTTTTAATACAGCTCTACTATTGAACTCTAGGAAGTTACAGATATGGGTAATTGTTAGTCAATGAATTTTTAATGTTGTCCTATAAAGTTTTCAGTACACTGTAAATTGACAGATTGGCTTGAAATTAATTTTCAACCGACTTCAAAAAAGGAGGAGGTTCTCAATTCGACCCGTATGTTTTTTTTTTCTATGTTTGTTACGCGATAACTCCGCCAATTATGAACCGATTTGAACAAATCTTTTTTCGGCGTATAGGTAATACCTCAAGGGTGGTCCCATTTAAATTTAATAATAGAAAAAACAACCCCCAAGTGTGGAAAATTGGGGATGAACTTTTTTATACGCAATATCTCCGCCGATTATAAATAAATTTGAACGATTATTTTTTTGTTGAATAGGTATTATCAAAAGGATGGTTTCATGCGAATTTGAAGAAAATATTTCACCCCCAAGGGTGGAACTTTTTTTTAATTTTTAGTTTTTTTTGTGTTCACGCATTTGAAGTCGGTTTTATTTATTTTTTAAAGTTAATTATTTTAATGCATAACAAGGCAGGTATTTACCACAATCACATCTGGTGTTAAGTGGGATGCAGTCTGGGATTCTTATGAATATATTTAATTTGAATGCATGAAAATATCCCACTCCGTTGTAATAGTACAGATCTGCAGGAAAAATGCATTGTTACAAAGTCATCCACAAAGTTTACTGTATAACAGTATCTCTACTGATTTGAAATGAATGTATTACATTAGTTATTTGATAAGGGTACATGATAAATAATTTACCTAAACTTCTTATTATTTTGCGTGTTCATATCATGTATAAAACGTCAATTAAAAATAATACAGTGTAATTGATTGTGAATCATGATTATTTTCTTATTATAATTTCTTGATAAATGAACGACTAGTGCAGTGATTTGTTTAATTAATGATTTCTTAAATAAACTTATTTTTGTTGAATTGTCTAAGTGTGACATTAAACCTGAATATTGGCATCAAATGAGAATAATCAACTAGTTTTAACATTGAGGAAAAGTTTTGAGGACAACTGTTGCAAAATTTTAAATCAAACAGCCTTGACACCTAAAAATATGGGTCCCTAGTAAAATTTTGTCTTATTAAAGTGATAAGCTTTTAATAAAATGATATAACTTGATAATCCCATTTATCCTTCATGGTCACTAACAACTCTGACACACATACATACATTGAACAGCACATTGTAATAACTACTGTTTTATGTGTAGGCATAACCCTCAATTTGCCTTAAGTAAATTAGGAAAGGATGATAAATGATCATGATCACCAAAAAGTAATAAAAATATTTTGTTTTGTACAGATTGGCAGCATGGCGGAAATAGTGTACCCGCAAGGCTGCCGCCCCATTACCGATGACCTTGGAGCTGATGAGCTGGTCCGGAGACTCAAGGTATGTCCTCGTTATGATTTCTTTTACCTACAATAGAGAAACTAAAAGATCTTTAGGTAACGAAGATCTTCCAAAATAAATGACTCGTTATAGTCCACCAAAAAGGCCTAATTTAGTTTGATACAGTCTATAAAGTCATAAACAGTATGTTTTCATTTATTTGGCGAAAAAGAAAGTTTGAAGAATAGCGAATGGTTTTAACAGTAGAAGCCAGCGGTGCTCAACATTTTTAAGGTCACAAAAGTGTATCGCTACATGTATAGCATCAATAGAATAGTCTGAAAAAATAAACAATATTTCTTATCACCTTCTCTGTTTTATTTTGGATTTTAGTCTTTTTGTTTTATTTAAAATTATGAACTTTTGTTTTCTACTTCAATACTCTCTATGTTAATTACCAAACCAATACAATGTGACAGAATATAATGTAACATACATACTTTGTCCACAAAGCTTACAACATGTCGCATTGCACAATATTGCCGATGCATACGTTTGTAAACATATCCCAGCGTGTTTCGTGAATGACGACCGTGCCAGAGTATTTTTTGCAAAAGAATACACTTTGACATGATATTTGCGCGCGTATTTTTAGAATGACCCACATTTTGTATGGTAGCAGTGATAGCACAGTCATTGACTCATCGTGTATGAAGTAGCGCTTAAAATCTTTTTTGATTATCTTAGCGCGTATCCGGCCTTAATCGATTGGCCACAAATTAAAGAAATTAATTAGTCACATTAGCCATTTTGGAGCACGCAGTCGATTGCGTTAAAGCCAACAAGGACGTCATACCTACATAGGTTCTTTGTCACGAAATCTCTGGGAGAATTTGGTGTTAGATAGTTTTTAAAATGCATGTCAATTTATACATACAAGTTAGTAGGCTCTTAGGTCGAGTTTCACCACCTAATTTTAACCGGAACTATAACGTTAACCGGTATATTTTGTATGAAGTTTGACAGATTTTTGACGTTTGTTAAAGTCAAAGTAAGATGGTGGAACCCAGCATTAGGTACTCCATGTAGTTAACCAACTTGTAATATTCACTAGCGTGTATTCCTAGCCTTATTGTAATGAAACAGAAGCAGGTGCTATCACAGGATGTGCTCGTCGGATCCAACTACGCCCTAAATCATAGCAATCGCGCAACATATTGTTCAATGGGCTACGAGACGAACACATGTGATTGATCACATAATGTGCCTGCTCTGAGAGGTTAATTATTTGTCTTCAATAAATTGTAATATGGTTTTAGAACTAATATTATTTGACCTACATTGTTTATATCTGTGATCTAAAGCGACACTTTACCGACCTCGCGTTTAGATAATTGGAAAAAAACTTTGGAATTTCGCTCAACAGTTCTTTAAGTAACGAGAGAGACATAATATAGCTTAAAGTTATATGAAAGTCAATAGTCCATTCTTTTACGTGAAGAAAACAAAATAGGTAATGGTCAAACGAAAAAAGTCCACAAATCAGCATACTTTCTAACACTACCGTTTTATCTTTTACATTCGCAGTCATCGTTTACAATCACTTATACCAACTCATCTCGCAACTTCTTGATGGATTTTGATGTATAATTTATCAAAGCAACTTATCGCAATAAGCCTAACACAGAAACTCTAAAAGCAAATAGATTTTTAGACGATCTGCTGATAACTTGACCAATATTGAAGGGTCAAAGTTTAGTGAATGGTTCAGCAGAATTGCCTTGCCGCCATTCTATAGAGTCATCATTTATACACACATTGGCAGACCTAGTCGTAAAGGATTTGCCACACTAAATGCGTTCTGCGGGCAGCGGGCTGGTCAAAGTGAACGCAGCCCGCATCACGTATGAACATTATTGTCGGTCAGGTCAGTGGTCCGGGCAATACAATCTGTCAGTGGTCAGATTGCCTTGTCAATCTGTCAGCGTTGCAGTTTATGCATAACAAGGCAGGTATTTCACCACAATCGCACCTGATGTTAAGGGATGCAGTCTAGGATGGTACATATCTGCCCTGTAAGTGCCTATTCACTCGCGCCTTGAAAAGGCCCGGATTATAGTCTCCGGTTTGCGTTCTTTGCTCGTGCCCGCACGGTCAGATCGCATCAATACAAAATGAATAGAGACCGTCAATGTTGTTCATTCATACATGATGCGGGCTGCGTTCACTTTGACCTGACCGCTGCCCGCAGATCGCATCCAGTGTGGCAAGTCCTTAAATGCAATAACCGTGCTGCCACTGCAATATTCAGATTAGATTCGCGCGAAACAAGATTTGTGTCAAAAACATAATAAGCTGCCAGAATTAAAAAAATAAAATAAAAATCAAAATCAAAAATATTTATTCAGTTTAGACCACAAGTGGCACTTATGAACGTCAATAGAAAATAATAAAAAAAGAAAAGGTAGCCCTTATGGGGCACTTTACATGTCTCCTTATCTTTTGGGCCCTACCAGCGCTTCGAGACAAACATATGGCAAGTGCTGAGAAGAAACGCCGGAATTAATTTAAGGCATTACCTGGTTGCACAGTCAGCGTCAAATACTTCGTGACACCCAGTGGTCAAAAAGTTGACAACACAATCTTATTCCAATTGTAACAAAGAGCAGCAAGTACAGCAGCATAACTTGCTTATTACGGGCAGTGTACGAGACTGCTGTAATACGGGCTTACGTAATTAGATTATGGAGGAATGAAGATAAGACTTAGCCTAAATAAGATTTTTTGTAAGTTAGTGCTTTTTTATTAAATCCTCATTTTGTGGGCGTTTTTAATATAGAAGCGTGATGTAGCGCTGCAGTGGCGTAACTACATATGATCTTTTTCATTTTTCATACTTTTGTGTTGCAAACGTGAAAGAGTAAACCTAGTTGATAGAATCGACACAGTGGTGTGATAGGGACATACGCCACTTGAGCGCCTTTAAACGCTTTCTATTTGAAGGCGATGGCCAACGGCATTATCTTCTTCATTTCTTATAGACAAAAACAAAATCAAATCGTCTCCTTGAGCAAACATTCGTCGCAATCAAGTTCTTTCTTATCGTGTTATCATTAGGGATCAATTTGGCCTTTGGAAAAAGTTCAGGGTCAAGAAGTAAATCTCCTGATGTTTATGAAATCTTTTATTAGTTACGTAGTCTACCTATCCATATTTAAAAGGCTTTTAAAATCTGTAATTTGAAGTTGAACTTATGTTATGAACAGGCACAAAAAGTTTGTAGAACCACAGCACTACTACTATTAATCAGCAACTATTGCTTCCTTCCAACTTCGTGGAAAACGACCGTTTCAATTGTAAAACTAACATTTACCTTGTTCAATAAGTTACGCCTTAACCCAATTATAGTTTTGAACTAGTTTTATTTACCGGACTTTAGGCCCGCTATACACGGACAGCTTGAAGCAGCTGGTATCGACAGCTTCAAGCTGCGAGTGCAAAGCAAACAAGTCCTCTACGTTCACACATAGACGGAATCGCTCGAGCAGTTGTGACTGCTTCGGGCGGTTTCACGTTGAAATTTCATCGTGACTATTACTGCAAGAGCGGTCCGTGTTTCATAGTAGTACTTTTCGGAGGGAACATCAAAATACGTCATAGAACGGACTTCGTTTCCAATTTCGGATCCGAAATGTTTCATAGTGAGCAATTTCGAATTCGATTGTCGTTTTGACGGATTTAGTTTTTCGTAGTAGGCCTGCTGATCACTGGCTAACTCCGTGTATGGCGGGCCTTACTGGCACATGTTCGCGTTTCCACACAGATCGATGTTGTTATCCGGATCTCAAGTACCGGAAGTGGAATGTCCCAGAAATACTTCGAGCCGGATATCCGGAATCCGGATAAATGTGCCATCAGCGATTTCCGATCCCGATTGAGCTCACGGATTTGAGTTGTAACTTGGAAAAGTTGAGGATAGATCAATAAGAAGTCGTCAGTTTGAAAGACCATATTATTATCTGATATCTTTAGGAAATAGGAAGGACGACCTCCCAGTGGCAGTACATTGTATGTAATCCAAATTAGTAACTTAAAAAAAGTAAACTTTTACTTCTTTTTTGCACCAGGCTGGGTTGCACCATCTTACTTTAACTTTGACAAACGTAAAAAATCTGTCAAACTCCATACAAAAAGCACCGGTTATCGTTATAGTTACGGTCAAAGTTAGGTGGTACAACTCAGCCTTAGATTTTCAGGATTTATAGTCGAGCTTTGACTGTAAACTTTTTGTACCAGTTTTATGTTTGTATTCTTAAAATAACTATTGCATAATTTATGAAGAAATGAATAGCATACCTTTCGAAAATAGTACGCAGCTGAAAATGTAGATAAAAATAAAATGCTAGAGCAATGTTGATATCGCTATCTGCGCCACGTAGGCAGTTATTGTTATAGTCCTGAATTTTATTGTTTCCCCTGCTACGTAGACAAACAATTTTTCGTACTTTCTTTACTGAGAAAAACAATTCATCTATCTTTCCTGGACAGTGTAAAGCCGGGTATCCAGCGCGTGTTTTGCTCTACACAATCAACAAAAACATGTCAACATTCAACATTTTTTGTAGGCAATTTTGATGCAAAACACGCGCTGCAGACCCGTCTAGAAGCCTTGTTTATACACTCCTCCCTCCTAATCGATAGCTTTTGGGATCCTCTATTCGTAATTTCGGTGCGGATCAAGTATTCAAGAGTGGTATAGGTCATGGACGACCTTATCAACCTTGGTCCCCAAGTAAAGTTAACGTTTTAATTATTCATTTGTATAAATTGGCTAAACATACAATGTTTTTAAGTACCATCTATACATAAATGTTAAAAAGACTAAGTAAATGTGAAAGTAAATATAATTTATGTATTCCTTACATCACGTATATCTACTGATCCCAGTTTATTGAATTTTGGTTTAGGCGCTATCTGTACACACTGCAAGGACTGCACTGCACACTTAGGACTTTTGTAGCGATACTACTTAATCCAGTCTCGATGTAGCATCGATGAAGTCGCGTATACTCTCTATTATATCATAGCATTTATCTCCAGTCGGCAGCTGTGAAACGCGCGTTTGTATCGCTACAAAAAACTATAGCAGCGTATAAAAGGGCTTTAGAGAAACACTAGACCTTGGGGAAGGACGTAGGCATCCTTTTGTCGCAAAAAACTTGAAGGAATTAAAATAGGAGACGAACGTTTGTATTGTGAACTCATTATTTCACAAGTTGGGGATATGAACGTTTATATTTAGTAACAAATAAAAAATGATTTAGAATAGATTAGATTTTACGACCTTGTTTTGATAGCCGGCATAATAACTTTCTGTGACAATACGAAATGCGAAAGAAAGCCCAGTACGCGAACAGAACAGTAGGCTGGCATTCGTGAAGATACATCTCAGATTGCTTGTTCTTACCTAACCTTGCTTATCTTCAATCAAGTGGCAGTGGGCGGGGCAAGAGGTGGCGACACGGGTCCAAAAATGTAGTGTGGCCAGGTGATGACTAGGTGGACCGCCGATCTGGTGTAGGTCGCGGAAAGTACCTTGATGCGAGCAGCGCATGACCGATCTTTCTGTAAATCTTCGGAAGAGGTCTTTGCTTCGTCCAACTAGACGTCTAAAACTAACGGATGAACCTTGCTAATCCAACTTTCTCTTACCCAGGTACTGGCTCACACCCTCCAGGGTCTGGGCCAGGATGAAGGCATGTACCAGCAGTACATCCCTCTGGCGCTGCACCTGGCCGACGAGTTCTTCCTGACGCACGCCTCGCGCGACGTGCAGCTGCTCATAGCGTGCTGCATCGCGGACGTGCTGCGAGTGTACGCGCCCGAAGCGCCGTACAAGGACCAGGAGCAGGTATGTTGGAGAGAATATGCTGGAAGTAGCTTGGTGTAGCACAAATGGAACGACAGGGCTTAGGCGGTCTTCTAGGTAGCGGAATAACCAGCAGCAACACGCGTGCTTTAGAGTTAACGCTCCCGAAGTGCCGTACACAAGGACCAGGAGCAGGTACGTTCGTGAAAAGGAACACAATGGACCAGCAACAGGTGGTCTTCTCTCTAGGAATCAGCTTGCTGCATTGCAGACGTACACGTCTTTAGAGTTTATGGTTCAAAAGCTTCCTACAAAGGCCAGGAACAGGTAACTTGGTGCCAAGAGGGATGCTGGTGCCAAATATAGGTGGTCTAGGGTCGGACATGCTGTAATACGGACGTGCTCTAAGTGTACGAGCCCGAAGCGTCGTACAAGGACCAGGAGCAGGTATGTTGGAGACAATATGCTGGAAGTAGCTTGGTGTAGCATAAATGGAACGACATAGCTTAGGCAGTCTTCTAGGTAGAGGAAATAGCAGCTCCAACAGGCGTGCTTTAGATAATTTCGTTACAAGGTTTCAAGGAATATACGACACTGTATAAATGGTCTTCTCGCTAAGAATGAGGCTGGTACCTTAGAATCCTTAGAGTATACGCTCCAGAAGCTCTGTACAAAGACCAGGAGCAGGTACGTTGGAGGCACGGTACTCCAGGGTCTGGGAGGCATGCACCAGCAGTACATCCCTCTGGCGCTGCACCTGGCCGACGAGTTCAGACGTGCAGCTGCTCATAGCGTGCTGCATCGCGGACGTGCTGCGAGGACCAGGAGCAGTTACATTGGAGGAAATCTGCTAGAAGTAGCTTGGCACAAATAGAACGACACAGCTTAAGCGGTCTTATAGGTAGCAGAATAACCAGCAGCATCAGGCGTGCTTTGGAGTTTACGCTCCCGAGGCGCCGTACAAGACTAGGAGCAAGTATTTTGCAGGCAATATGTTGAAATGTATCGGTCTTCTAGGTAGTGGTATAAGCAGCTGCAATTAAGAACAACTAAGCTAGAAGCAAGGTTCCAAGGATCAAAAAATATGTAATGTTGAACACTCGGAAGACGATGGAGCGGCGAACGTCCATATACGTATATGACTTTTTTCTACCTACAACGGAGAAACTCTTGATCTACATCTCATAACAAAGAAAATAATCTTTCTATTCTATTTTATAATGATCAGGCCAAAGTCGTGGAATGTTCGTGCGTTAATGACACAACTTACACCCCATCAACAACTGCATAGTTACTGACCTATTTTGTCGTCTAAATTATTATAATGCTACTGTTTAATAATTCAACTCCAATTCACTATCGAGGATTTACAGAAAAAAAATTCACGACACAATTTAGGCGGTCTTATCTCTTGCAATAATAAGTTGATATCTTATGCTACTGGCCTTGGTATCTGCGGGGGTGCTAAACTTATAAGTCAACCTAAAATGGTATTTGTGTCAATGTCAACTGACCTCGTTCTCCATCACCAGGTCAAGACGATATTCCTGTTCCTGATCAAGCAGCTGCAAGGTCTTCGAGACCCAAAGGACCCGGCGTTCAAGCGATACTTCTACTTGTTAGAGAACCTGGCCTACGTGAAGTCCTTCAACATGTGTTTCGAACTGGAGGATTGCCAAGAGATCTTCTGTGCACTCTTCTCGCTTATGTTCAGGATTGTCAAGTAAGTTTTATCAATTACTTTTTTCTGGTCTAAGACCCGTACGCCATGTAAGATTCGCCGTATAGATGAACCTGTTTGCATGCAAGTTATTTTTAGACACCTTTGTCTAGAAAAGATATTGGGCGAACAGGTGCGAGACAGTTTTTCTAAAATTGTTATGTGCGTCGATAGTTGAGGAAAATCCCAAAATTTATTAAGCCGTATGGTTCCAGCAGAGTAGAATAGAACCATCTCCCATTCTTGTGTGGATGTCATAAGAGGCAATTAGTCGTAAAGAAGAAATACATACATAAATAAATAAATACATGAACATCAGGCCTCCCCAACCCGTCTGGCCAGTGAGGGGAGTGCAGGCCAAATCCTCATCTTTTGCTTCTAGTGACCCTAATGATGATGATAATTGATGAACTTTCTAAGCTATCTACGGGTATATTTCAACCGTAGTAGAATGTACAATCGATCAAAGGAAAATTGGCAGCGTTAGAAAATATTTTCAAGCTAATTTGAGTGCGATGCGTGTAGGCGATGAAATAGTTAATCTGGTAAAAGGTGTTTTGTTGAAGAAAATGAATTTTAGGGGAGTATCTACTGCTTTCCTTGAAACAAAACTAAATTCCGTCACTGATAGATGATACGTGTACTTATTCAATTTATTTCAATAAAATTTGTGACCATCACATTACGCAATTTACGTGACAACAACGTACTTGTGGCATTTTGCCAAAAGCGTTCAAGTATTTCACTTATTATGTGTTACTGTAGATACGATAGTACTTGACTGTAACAATCACCTTTTCAAAGGCATTGCATATTGTGTACGATCTCCTTTATGACTTTACATAGTCTCATCAGATTAATTTTGTTTCAAAATAACACATTATTACACCTGCTTAGTGGTAAAGTGTCAAAATGGATTATGTTCATAACTGTACAAATACTAGCTAATCGTACGGTTGCCGAAATCCGCATCAAAGGAAAGACACTAGGCTTAGTTGCACCATCTTACTTTGACTTTAACAAACGTCAAAAAACTGTCAAACTCCATACAAAAAGCACCGGTTATTGTTAAAGTTACGGGTAAAATATGTTTGTGGAACTCAGCCTTATAGTATACGCATCGGCGTTGTAACACATTTGTTTATACCATGAACTCTGTAATATGCGAAGGTTCATTAACCAAGTGACAGTTCTCTATGGTGACCGAGACAGCTCTGACAGTCTAGTTGGCCCGTCGCCAATAAACAAACAACAGTCGTAAGACGGTAGTAATGGTAGTGCAGCACTTGTATTTTTACAACTATAGTGACAATGTTTGTTTTATGGGATTACAGCTATTTATAAAGACAATTAATGACTGACCTCATCGGAGCAAATATTTTTGAGTCAGAATGAGATCATTCTAGAAGTACCTAAAACCTAAGTTTAATTCATTGCTCTGTATCACTGATATTATCATGTATTACTGATATCTACATTATAGTGTGTATGTGCCATCGTTCATCATGCTAAATACTGGCACTTTTTGTTCTAAAATACTTTCAACATTTTCGCAGTCTAAATGAACTTATTGTTCTATTTCCTTCATCTAACAAGCAGCCAATAGCAAGTTGTTTACAATTAGGTCACGTAGACTTAAGTTAGTAGGCTTTTCTCATCAAGTAAACTTATCAACATACACCCGGCTGTATGGCTTCATATAAGAAACATTGATTACGTCACAACAAACTTCTTAATCTGAGGTTAACTGTGAACTATAAATATAAAAACTTTTCCTATCCGTTAATATACGAGTAACTACTAGTTTAGGCGACAGGCGTTGACCCAATTTCGGTAAACAAATGGCTTGTTACGAAAAAGTGAGTATAATTTATACCAGATTCCTGGAAAAAAGAAAGGGCGAACTGAAAATTGGTTGATACAGTCGGTGTCAAAAGTTCGTGACACCCAAATGTTCAAAAAGTTGACAACACATTTTTATTCCAATTGAAACAAGGACGTGTTACAAACTCACTGACTACCTTAACGCCCGTATTCACAAGCGATGCTTGCTTAAATGAAGCAGCAAATCGAACGCACAGCGTTGAATAGAGCTCTGTAATTGGTTCGTATGTCACCCTGTGCGTTCACGCGCACTGAGAGACCTCATAGTAATGTTTGTGAATACTAACTATTTGACGCTGACTGTACATGAGAGTCAATATTTTGCGAACCTTTACACAGTATTAAAATGTGGTCAAGGCTATATGAAAGAAGATGTTATCATATTTTTTCTATATCACTTTCTTGTTTATCAGAGGAATTAATACTTAATTAAATTGTAATACGACTTAATGACAATCAAAGGTATAGTGTTAAAAAATGAAATAATTCGTTCCTTACTGTGACTTTTTATGAAGTTGAAAGTGTGATATTGCATTTTGTTGTTCCGAAGTGGTGGTAGGGCAAGCTATATTTGGGACTTGTACAAGTGCTCTGGAAAGGGCATAAGTATTGAATTAAATGATTTGAATTCAAACAAAAAAATAATTAAGCTGATGTACTACCGAAATCGACTATTCATTCCAAACAAAAATAAGTAAGATTTAGTACTCATTCATCATTTATGTTACAATATTGCACAAGTGATATAATGTAGCCTTGAAAACGTTATTAATAATGCCTAATCGAGCGGCTGTTATTTTACTACGCTAACAAATGATATAAAACATTTTCTTTTCAGTGTATTTCGATATGAACTTACATGCTTGAATAGACAAAATGTATATTGATTAAGTATTTTATTTAATAGTAAAGCTGAAATATCAAATATAGTAGTTTACATCTAATTATATTAAATGGGAACAGCGTTTTGATAAGATAACAGGAGAACGACTGGACCGATATAGAAATTAATCATCGAAATATTTCAAATAAATGGTGATTAACCGGTTGCTTGAAGTATTTAGTTGAAGGCAACATTTCCTAAACCATCATCATCATGTCACTAAGTCAATACTGCAGGAGAACGATCTTTTAAAATTTACCAGAAGCAAATGACGGATATGATATGACACCACAAATGCTAGGTAAACAGCTTGGGAAAGCCTAATGTTCACATACTTTAGTCCCATAGTCTTTACGACATCCACGGGAAGAGGGGAAGTGGTCCTATTCTACTCAGCTGGAACCACACGTCGAATCAAGCGACAATACCGTTTGGTGTAGTGGTTTCGGAACGGACTACTATGCCGAGAGATCTCGGGTTTGATTCCCGGCCGGGTAAGAATTAGAAATGATAAATTTTAATTTCTGTGACGGGTCTGGGTGTTACAATGTGTTAATAGTTGTGTATTTACAATAAAAAAGTATTTAAGTGTGTTTATACAAGCTTTGCTTAGTTTGGGATTAGAAGCGTAGTGTAAAATGTGCAATGATATTAAAAAAAATATAGCAATAGTGTCGGTGTCGGACTAGCCTAATAGAGGTCCGAGAAACGCGGGTTCGAACCCTGCCAACTCCGTACTATTATGGTGATCCCACTCGTACGTAACACAAGCATATTTAGCTAAGCAAGAGGGGTTAGCGTCAGTGTCTCCATATACACGATAATTACCGTAGATGCACCGTAATCAGGTCATTTTCTACCGTCAAGGTAATAATGTATTACCGTGTCATAAATCACCGTATTAGAATTATGAATTACTTTGCTGTATTATATTCATGGTATAGATATATAATACATACAAACAACAGGCAACACTGCCGAGAGACCGAGGGGAATCCCAGAATATTCTAAAAGTCGATCTCTACCAACAAACATCGGCAATCTAGTCTCAACCTTATTTAAGCCAACTAACGACATGTTGTTAAAAATGAATAAATCTATTTACGAAAAAGATACTGTGGTGCTAGGAGAGTCTGATTCAGAATAATATTAATGTTAAATTGGATATTTCACGTGTTATTGCTTTTTTTATTAAAAATTAAAAAAAATTATTGTGTTTTGTTTCATTTCATAATAATATTGTATTTTTTCCTTTGATAAATTACACGGTAAATTACACGGTACATTTTTAGTAGATTCACCGTAATTTGGTATAAAACACCGTATTTTTACGCTAGCAACACGGTAACTCACGATTTACATATGGAGACACTGGTTAGCGTGAAAACTCAATAACAAAAATCACATCACTAATATTATTCGTATTTCCCCAACAGTACGGAACACTCGACGAAAGTGAAGTCCTTCATGCTGGACGTCCTCTGTCCACTCATCACGGAATCGGACGTGGTCTCCAACGAGCTCCTCAACGTGATCCTGACGAACCTGGTGGAGCCGAACAAGCGCGAACACAAGTACGCGTACGCGCTCGCTAAAGAACTCATAGTGAAGACCAGCGAGACGCTGGAGCCATATATTCAGGCGGTAAGAGCTATTTTGGATTGATATTTTTTTCAGCAAATGCTCGCGAGCTTGATTGTGAACAAGCAGTATGACTCGCTAAAAAGCTCTTAGTGAAGATAAGTGAGACTGGAGCCGTATGTTTAGGCGGTAAGAGCTTTTTTTGGATAATTTCTATAATTTCAGCTAGTTCGCTTAGCTCGCGAGCTAGTTCGTTTACTAGTTACTGAACTAGCTCACGAGCTAAAGCACGCTTGCGTGACCATTAAAGAACTATCACTGACAATTCATGAATCTGCTCGTGAAGAAGTTTGTGAATTAAAGCACGCGTACATGTTCTTCAATAACTCATAGTGAAGATCTTCGAGACAGCTGAGCCGTATAGACAGGCGGTATGAGCTACTTTAGGTATTTCTGAAAGAAAACGATCAAGTTCGTGAACTAGCTCGTGAAAATTTGTAGAAATAGCTTGTTAGACAAACGAGTTGTTTAAATAATATACATAATATAATAAAATAAATGTTCAATACCATCTCAGGTGTCACAGCAAAATGTGCACATTACATACATATCCATTTTGCATAATTATCCACACCTGCTGACCCTGGCTGTTTGTTTAGAGTTTTCAATGTCAACACCAACAAAAGAGTGTGTAGTTACTACAAAGAAAAGCGAACGAATACGAAATTACGAATTATTCGAAATATCACGGCATTATACTGCTGCTAAATCCTAAATCAAAGTCAAAGGCAGTGTATAAAGGTAGACTTTATAGGATTCTTTGTTGATTACATACATTACCCTAAAAATATAGTGAACTTTACCCACAGACTCCCAAACCACCAATTTTTTTTACCATTTTGTCTATTATTCCACTAAATACGCAGTACGCATGATTTAGTGGTTTGTTAAGGGGATAATGATCAAACTAGGTCGTATCGTGCCTTCTGCCATGGTTTTGCTGCCAAATAAGCTATTTGTTTGTTATTTAACTGCCGTAAGAAGTTTTTGAGCGCTTTCGGGTATTGAGTGATTTTTTACAACATGTGATGTGTCATTAGATTTGTTGTAAGTCTAAATATAAAATGTCGTTAAAATCGCTTCGATTACGAAAGATAAGGCTCTGTTCGATGAAAATCACGAAAAAGTAATACGATGAATATGACCTATAATGGCAATAAATGACGAATTCAAATTAACGAAATAATTATTGCGGATTGCTACCATGTACCTTAATTTCGTGTTTCTGATATTTCGGCACTGTTGCAAGCGCCATGATCACCGAGTAACTGAAGAAACTGGCAAACAAATTAACGAAGAACTTACTGACAAAATCGTGTCATCCGATAACAACTCCCAGTAGGAACTCGCGTGCGAGCGTCAAAATGAACATCCCGCGAATGTTTATAAACAAGCAACTCGCGTCGGTTCTCTTACAGTCGACAGCACATTAAATTACATGCCTTCTGTACTGGTAATAGGTACTATTATACAACGAAAATGTGTAGTCTTTGTGCGGTATACTGTACATATTATCTCGTGAAACATTTCAACGCGCGAGGCTTGATCACACATGTGTAAATACGGTGTTATGTAATGCAGGTGTCAGTAAATCTTCTGGATAATTGGGCAGTTCTCACCGCCAATTAGTTGACATACTTATTACGAGCTGTTAAAACGTGATCCCCAAAGAATTTCTATGTTAATGTGACGTCACTTTTTGCAAATTAAACCAGAATCGGTTCCAATTTACGCCATACTCACGGAAGCGAATACACTCATCAATACAAACAACTTTTACATTAAAATGGCAGCTGTATCTTGCAGAGGTTTCTTATGATTTTCTTGTTGACCTTATAGAAAAGTACCTGTCTATTATAAGCCTAATTCTATATCAGACTAAGCTGTACCCGCTACTTCGTTCGCGTGAAAATAAATTGAATAATATTTCTTTACTGCTCCACCCCTATTGGCTCTAGGATGTTATAATAGCCTTAAGCCTTCCTCGATAAATGGGCCATCCAACACAAAAATATTTTTTCAAATCGGATCAGCAGTACCTGAGATTAGCGTGTTCAAGCAAACAAACAAACTCTTCAGCTTTACAATATTAGTATAGATGACGTATAAATTAAGACTCGTCATACAAATGGAGTCATATTTTACAGGACATAGAACATTATCCGCACACTTTATTCTCCCTTCTGTACTAAGCTGACGTTATTTATGGAGTCGCTAAGGCTGGGAACACACTATAGTGAAGTTTGTTTGTGAATTTGACGAGTAAATAAATACACTGTAGAGTCGAATTTAGGTTGGTGACTCTGTGACCAATAAATAAAATTATAAAAATAATTCATTTTAGATTTGCATCTTTATTAGTTTACTGTTTTTTGTTCACAAGTCACAATTTTGAATTTACATTGTTTTATTTTTCATGGCTCTCAAGTGTAAATAGTTGTTATTACTTTACATGTCAAAGTTCAACCCACGCAAAGAACCTATACAAAAAATAAATAAAAAATCTTATATGCTCGAAATGTGAGTATTGTGTAGGTACAGACGCCAGCACAACACACATTTTGAACTCTATAGTACAGTTATAGAGTTTAATATCTATCGGGGAATATCGTCTTTTCGCGACCATTCATGCAGAAGTAATAGGCAAAGGTATTTACAATTTCATCTAAGTATTAACTTCAGTCGTTCATGTCCTTCGATCTCCAACTTAATATGTAGTTGCCTAGCAACCAGCTAAGCCCTTGTAGCAGAGCGTTTACCTTAGGATGAGACTACATTACTCTGTGATGTGATAAAAATTACAGATTCTAATTTATTTTCACTTTTTACACAACTCCTGAGCAAGTAATATAAAGGACTTCTTAATAACTTTACTATCAATTTAGAAATGTTCAAATTCAACAGAATCTACTAATTAATATACCCATGCTATTTCTAAATTTTTCTAAAGTAGGTAATCCATCTTTTTTTTGTTCACCTACTAATGAATCACCCTGTATGTACAACATGGTCAAGTTAACTGCGCACCTCGCTAGAATGCGACTCTACCTCGCACTCACCCGCACATCTCCCGCCTCCCGTTCGTATCAGAGCGTCGATGTGACGTCACGGCCGCCAGGTACCCGGTTAACTTAACCGGGTTATAGCCATGTCGTTCGCTCTCCCGCTCCTCAGCCTAGTGTAGCCTCAGCCTTATGAATACTTCGATCTATTTTCGTTTCTTCCATTATCCTTTTATATCGGAAAACGGTGTAAATCAAATAAACATGAAGTGTTTTCGAGCAAACAACCTATTAGCTTTGAATGTATTTGGGTTAGTGCACGATGAAGCTTGGTTGTTGACTTTTAGGTTTTGATAACGATATCGCAGTTTAATTTGAGTCTTATTTTAACGGGATAAGAGCTGTTTACAATTTTAACGTGTCAACGAACCGAATTGTAAAGATGGTTGATGAAAAATGCAGTGAATTCATTTAACGCATCTGTGTTGTAATACTTTATGTTGAGTTTTTAACCGACTTCAAAAAAGGAGGAGGTTATATGTTCGACTGTATGTATGTTTTTTTTTTTCTATGTATGTTCACCGATTACTCCGTCAATTGTGGACCGATTTTCAAAATTCTTTTTTTGTTCGATAGGGTACACTTCTGAGGTGGTCCCATTGTCACCAAGTCAGGATCTGATGATGGGATCCTAGGGAAATCGACTGCAACCCTCAAATTTTATAGGCACTCATATCGTTTTTCAAACATTTTCTTAAGTTATTCAAGTATTTGCTCCTGGAAATCATCATCTCAAATTCATGAGCTGATGATAGAAAGTAAAACTCCTTAATGCTTAGGAGTTGGAGGATAATTCTTTTAATTTTATAGATAAGTATAGTTTCTAAAGTTATTCAAGTGTTTGCATCAGATAGCCATCATCTCATCACGATGAACTGGTCATGGTAGATACAACTACTTAACGCTTAGGAGTTGGAGGATAATTCTTTAAATATTATAGGTACAAATAGCCCAACAGTTGTATTCTTTCATGTTTTTAAGGTAGGCTGACGGTTTAAGGTGTTTTTAGGTTGCCGATATGGTAACCTGTATTTTGTAGGGAATATTATTTTACACTTGACATGAAGAATATACTGCCTACCTTCAGTGGTAACACCAAGGTAATAATTAGTTAACTAAAAAGCAAGAAATAAGTTAATTTTTATAAAAAAAATAAAACCGACTCCAAAAAACATACACTAAAAAGTAGAAAAATAATTACTAATTACTTATTTATTAGGACGAATTAATATTTATGTATACCATGATTGATACTTTTGGAGTCGGTGCAGGCAAACTTCACACGTTTCATAATCTTGGCACCGACTCCAGAAGTATCAATCATGGTATACATAAATATTAATTCGTCCTAATAAATAAGTAATTAGTAATTATTTTTCTACTTTTTAGTGTATGTTTTTTTTAAACATTTGCTTATCTTTGACTCTCGTAGTAGTCGTTTAACTGTCACTTAATTTTGAACAATTTATGAAGATGAAATAAGGTTTATTTTTCTCTGTACTGGTTTAAGGATTGATTGCTTCAGCATAATAGATAATACACCTTCCTTTTACATACTGATTGCACGTGTTGTCATCAGAGATTGTATTTCGCTTGCAAGCATGGAATATATTATGTATTTCTAAAAATGACAGTGTAAACTTTATAACGTCACTCGATTTAACAACAAACTCCTCAAAACGTCGAATTTGCTTGACTTTATTGGCTACCTTGTTTTCTATCCGCTCTACCGTGTCACTCTATTTAACGTCCTCTCTCTATAACGTCGATTAATGCTCAGTCCCTTGAATGTCGTTATAATGTATAGATTTTTCACTGTAATTGAGTGAAGTCTAGTGGTTAAAGAATTAATGTCTAGTGGTTTTAAAATGACATTTCCATACTAAACGTCACAAAAACAAAAACACTGTTCAACGAGCCTGTTATTAGTAAGGGGGTTAGACTCTAGTTCGTTAGTGTGATATATAAAAAGAAAAATAACTTATTGAATGTAGTTGATAATTTTGTTGAAAAATAGCATGCTTGAATGAATATCATTGTCCGATAAAGAAAAATAAAATCGTGCACGTCATGTTGTCGATCGATGTAATTGAGCCATGATAGACGACAACTTATTCACTCTTTTTTATCCTTTTCTTTCCATATCTGTATCTCTAGCTCACAAGAGATAGCTGGCAAGAAGAGAAACTAAATTCTTTCATGCCCGTTTTCACCATCAATCCCAAATTTTTAAGTAACCCCTATGAAAACAAAATGCCTGTTATGTGTGGTCACTTAAAAATTAGGGATTGAACGTGAAAACGGGCATCCGGGAGTTGTTTTTTTGGGGGCCGAACAGCGAACTCATCCGAATTAATCTTTCTTCCATTGATCTCAAAACGAATTTATTAGATTATGTAAAATTCGCAAATTTTTACAGGGTTATCCAAAGTACTTTTGTCACGGTATACAAAACAAATTGTGTTTTAGTTATGCATAGATCATTACAACATTCCTAAACGATAAAGTTGTTATGTACTGTCGATAGCACAAGCATCAAGCGAAACAACGATCTCCAATGTATTTTGAACTGTAAATCTTTAAAATAAGGTGCAAACTCAATCAAATAACATTTTTCATTAGTGGTACGTGGGTGTGTTTTCAATTGTGCTTAATTGATATTAACATAAGATTGATTTCATGAGATTGTCAAACATGAATGATATTTGGCTTATCAGTTATCTTTGAGTCGTTCTAACGATTTGTTTATTGTTTGACATGAAATACAAAGTACTTTGTTTAGAATAAATCTTAGATATTACTTACTTACCTAAACATACATACATACAAACACTGCTCGTATAGTTCTAGTGATTCACGAAGGCGAGTGAGCTTTACATGTGTGGTGGCTCGCTACTGTTCGTTTTGATTTTTGAAAGTTTTGATAGACATTACACTATTGTTATGTGCATGTACACGCAAGTAAAGCTCACTCGCCTTCGTGAGTTGCAAGAACTATAACATAACTAGCGGCCGCCCGCGACTTCGTACGCATTTACCTCGTTTAATTACTAATGATGTTGATAGATGGCGTTTAACGGCTTCCCCCGCATGAATATTTACGAACGTCAAAATTTTTTGGCTGTAGATTTTAACCAATGATGATAGATGGCGCTCTTTACCCACGTCTTATTTATTTATTGAAATTTAGTTTATCACATATCGTCATAAATTATAGCCTATATTTTAATCTGGGTTATAAAAAATAATACTGTAAAGTTTCAATAAAATACGTTTAGTAGTTTTTGTGTGAAAGTTTCGCATTTATAATATTAGTAACGTCAAATTCTTATTTTTTTTGTATAATAATTGTGCTATCTTTGTTACAGTTCTTCAACCACGTCCTAATCCTCGGCAAAGAAGAAAAAGAGCTGCTGATCTTTTCCAAAGTATACGAGCTTATCTACGAGCTTTATCAGTGCTGTCCCGCCCTACTTCTGTCAGTACTACCACAACTGGAATGCAAACTCAAGTCCGCACAGTTCCAAGAGAGACTCAGCGGCGTCGCCTTACTAGCTAGAATGTTCTCAGAGCCCGGGTCAGAACTAGCCAAACAGTACCCGGGCCTCTGGCGAGCGTTCCTGGGAAGATTCAACGACCTATCTGTACCCATTAGAATCAAATGCGTGCAATACTGCATGCACTTTCTAGTACACCACCCGGATTTGAGGAAAGATATAACGGAAACACTCAAGATGAGACAGCACGATGCGCATGAGCAAGTGCGCTATGAAGTGGTCATGGCTATAATAGCGACGGCGCAGAAGGACTTCCAAGCGGTCGCCGAGTCGGAAGACCTGTTACACTTCGTCAGAGAAAGAACACTTGATAAGAAATTCAAAATTAGAAAAGAGGCCATGTCGGGACTCGCGATGATCTACAAAAAGTTTCTGACAGAAGAAAGCGTGCCTCCAGCGACAGAAATAGCAGTGCGGTGGATCAAAGACAAAATCCTTCATGGATACTACATGACGGCATTAGAAGACCGACTGCTAGTTGAACGGTTACTAAACACCTCACTGGTTCCGTACACATTACCCGCCTCTGTGCGGATGAAGAAGCTATATTACCTTATGTCAAATGTCGACGATAACGCGACAAAAGCGTTCATTGAACTCCAAAAACACCAATTGGCCGTTCGACGCACTGTGGCAGAGTGGATAGAGCTGCATAGGAAACCTCCCACGCCGGCCGTACAAAAGAAAATGATCTCTAAAGTGCTTCACATAAGCTCCAAATTCCTGCCGGAGTCGGTGAAGGCGCAGGAGTTCCTGAACAAATTTTCGTTACATATGAAGCAAGCTCCTGAACTGTTGCAAGGAATGGAGACTATTCTGAACCCTAACGTGAGCTGCGAAGTATGCGTACGCACTACTGTGAGTATACAGCACTTTTAAAGTCATAAAAACTCATTTATTTTGTGTAAATAGGCTTTGAAAATATTGTGAACAGTTTTTTCGCTCGTTAAGCTTTTACGGTCTTTGAGCGTATATACTTTAAATTCATTCATTATTTTTGTTACAGTCAAGCGTTCTCAAGAAACTAGGCCAGCCGGTGATGACGAATCTGTACTACAACACGGTGAAGATGCTCCTAGAGCGAGTGAGCTCAGTGATGATCGACCACGAGTCTCTGCTGATACTGGTGGGCTACGTCGACGGAGCTGTCAAAGGCACCGACCAGTCCCTCGCCGAGGAGTGTGGTAAGTCATTGCTGGTGATGAGAATCTGGTGAAGAAGCTTCTAGAATGAGTGAGTTCGGTGATGATGAGTAGCTACTGATACTGGTGGGCTACGTCGACGGCGCTGTTAAAGGCACCGACCAGTCCCTCGCTAAGGAGTGTGGTAAGTCATTGCTGGTGATAAAGAAGCTTCTAGAGTGACTTGGTGATGATCGACCACGAGTCTCTACTGATACTGGTGGACTACGTTGACGGTGCTGTTAAAAGCACCGACCAGTCCCTCGCTGAGGAGTGTGGTAAGTCATTGCTGGTGATGAGAATGTGGTGAAGAAGCTTCTAGAGCGAGTGAGCTCACTAATGATAGATTCAAAGCCTCTATATTCCTACTTTATACTTCGTTTAAGTGTGTTCGAACGGGAAACCCTGTATAAAAATAATATTAATTAATGTAAAAATAATTTGGCAACAGTTATATCCGTGGTGGCTCTTAAGCTTCAACCACATCAACGCGTGCAGATCGCCATCGCCGGCGCGATCAAAGGCCGATGACAGGTCGCGCGACCGTTGAAGCATTAGACCAATTTTGATGATGTCCTCTATCAAAAAAGGAGATGCTCCTAATCACAGAGACACTACTAAATCAACACCTACTTCTTTTCCAGGCATAGACATAAAGAAATGCGCCGAGCGCGGTCTGAAGCTGCTAGTGATGCTATCATTCGTGTTCCCCGCACATTTCCTGCACGAAGACGTGTTGAACCGGCTGACGAATCTACTGGAGTTGGACGACGAGAGTGTGGCGCCTCACATACTGGCCGCGCTCACGTTCCTAGGAAAATACAGGCCGCTTAGTAAGTTAATTAGTCTTTTTAGTGCCTTTCTCTGGTTCTCACTACACGTAGACGTGTTCATTTTATTACTTACTGCACGAAGACGTGTTGAACCGGCTCACGAATCTGCTGGAGTTGGACGACGAGTGTGAAGCCTCACATACTGGCCGCACTCACGTTCCTAGGAAAATACAAGCCGCTTAGTAAGTCATTCAACCTTATTAGTACTTTGTTCTTACTTACTGCACGAAGACGTGTTGAACCGGCTGACGAATCTGCTGGAGTTGGACGACGAGAGTGAAGCCTCACATACTGGCCGCGCTCACGTTCCTAGGAAACTACAGGCCGCTTAGTAAGTCATTCAACCTTATTGTACTTTGTTCTTACTGCACGAAGACGTGTTGAACCGGCTGACGAATCTACTGGAGTTGGACGACGAGAGTGAAGCCTCACATACTGGCCGCGCTCACGTTCCTAGGAAAATACAGGCCGCTTAGTGAGTATTTAAAGATTTAATTTGGTACATATTTCGAATTTATTTATTTATTTATTTATTTATTATTCAATCATCTTACAAGCTAACGGAATATATTCCAAAGCGCTTATAAGACTAATTGTACATAGGTTATCATCATTTGGCAATTGGAATTGGGCAGTTAAACAACAATGTCAATCACAACTTCTCTAAAAGAACACATAATTGTAGACCTAAACACACTTCTATATAACTCTCATAACCGAGTTTTTAAATTTTCTATTTGACTTGTCTTTGTCACAAAAAAAAATGAAAAGTCGCGAATTTATTTATTTATTCATATTTATTTGACAGTTCATACAGAGCTCTTATTTATCTAGCGGTGTCAACTAGCCCTTAACGGGCTATCTAGCATACACTAGGCCTATATGCAAGACATATTGAACTTATAATATTTTATTTTCAGGCGACGCATGTCCAGCGCTGTTCCCGAAACTAATCACACTTTGCAAAGCTTACGCGGAGGTCGGCACGCCCAAACAAGCCAAGAATGCTGTCAGGTATGTCGGTGTTTTCTCTTCTACCTTGCTTACCTACCTTTCAGGATTTAGCACGTTAAAAAGAAACTAGAAAAATTTTGTGGAAGGAACTATTTCTAAAAAGAATTTGCTAAAGAACCAGTTTCTAAACCTATGTAAATATTTAATTGACTATAGTTTTCAAAAGCTACTGGGTCCACAAAGCTATATAACTCATACCCAATTCTTTTCCAGGTGTCTATTCGTGAACGTACCAGAACAACGGACGCAGATCTTCACGGAGATCCTGGAGACGCTGAAGGCCACGCTGAGCCCGCACTCGGAGCACTACCGCACCGCCATCGTCACGCTGGGCCACGTGGCGCACAACCTGCCCGACAACTTCCCCGTGCACATCAAGAACATCGTCTCCAGGAAGGTAAGGAGAACTATGTAATGTAGCATACACCTGCTCCCAATAGCTGAGAGCCTGGTAGTCACAACTTGCCCCATGCATACCAAGAACATCATCTTCAGGAAGGTTATCCTCAGACGAGCAGCTACCACTAACCCTGCCCATAATTTAGCCTCCACCTCCTCCCAGCTTCTGATAGCCTGGTCAAACCGAACCAGGCAGCTGCTGAGATATCCAGGTCCCAGATGGATCCAAGTCAAGCACATGCTGAATCCTCCACTTATTTCTAGCTACTACCATAGCACCTGGTAGCCTGGTAAGTCAGTCAAAACAAGCCAGGCTGCTGCTGTGGTTTCTAGGTCCCAGATGGATTCTTAGATCAAGTTCTAGTCACCATTATGACTCCCGAGAGTTGTCGTCACTGCGCTCCCTACACGACTTTTATACACGTGCTGGCGTCGAGTATCAGCAGGGTTGAGATGATCAGAGCTCTACTGTCTGGGTCGCATCAAGCAGGGCGAATTAGCGTTGGGGTCGCATTTTCCTGGCAGGTTATTTATAGGGCAGGGCTGCTTAGCAGTTGGGTTGCATCGAAAGCGTCCTAAGTAAATGGGTCAGAGCAGTAGACACAGATCTTCACGGAGATCCTGGAGACGCTGAAGGCCACGCTGAGCCCGCACTCGGAGCACTACCGCACCGCCATCGTCACGCTGGGCCACGTGGCGCACAACCTGCCCGACAACTTCCCCGTGCACATCAAGAACATCGTCTCCAGGAAGGTAGGGATACTTCCACTAAAGTCTGACAGCCTGGTAACTCCGTCCAGCTGAACTAGGCAGTTGCTGCGGTATCTAAGTCCGTGCGTCCACGTGCTCCCAATATATGACAGCCTGGTAGTCGCAACTTCCCCGTGCACATCAAGAACATCGTCTCCAGGAAGGTAGGCAGTCTTTGTCAAACTGAATAATGTAGCCTCCACCTGCTCCCAATAGCTGAGAGCCTAGTAGTCACACACAACCTGCCAGTCCCGTGCATATCAAGAACATCGTCTTCAGGAAGGTAGGGATAGGGGTAGGGGCTCAGACGAACAGCTACCACCAGAACCCCGTAGTTTAGGCTCCACCTTCTCCCAGCTTCTGATAGCCTGGTTAAACCGAACCAGGCAGCTGCTAAAATATCCAGGTCCCAGATGAATCCAACCAGGTAGCTGCTGCGGTTTTTAGGTCCCAGGTGGATTCCTAGATCAGTCAAGGTCTAGTCACCATGATGACTCCCGAGAGACTGTCGTCACTGCGCTCCCGACACGACTTTTATACACGTGCTGGCGTCGAGTATCAGCAGGGTTGAGATGATCAGAGCTACTCTACTGTCTGGGTCGAATCAAGCAGGGCGAATTAGCGTTGGGGTCGCATTTTCCTGGCAGGTTATTTATAGGGCAGGGCTGCTTAGCAGTTGGGTTGCATCGAAAGTCCTAAGTAAATGGTTCAGAGCAGTAGACGCAGATCTTCACGGAGATCCTGGAGACGCTGAAGGCCACGCTGAGCCCGCACTCGGAGCACTACCGCACCGCCATCGTCACGCTGGGCCACGTGGCGCACAACCTGCCCGACAACTTCCCCGTGCACATCAAGAACATCGTCTCCAGGAAGGTAGGGACACTGCCACCAGAGTCTGTCAGCCTGGTACATCATCCAAACTTAACTATCGTATCTAGGCCCCAAATGGACCCTAACTAGGCAGCTGCTGTCCCACCTGTGACAAAAATATCGTCTCCAAGAAGGTAGGGACCCTAACACAGGGTGCTGCCACCTGCTACTAGCTCCTGACAGCCTGGTAGTCACAACTTGTCAACTTGCCTCATGCATGTAGAACATCGTCTCCAGGAAGGTAGGGACACTACCGCTAGAGTCTGACAGCCTGGTACCTCCGTCAAACTCAACTAGGCAGATGCAGCGGTATCTAGGTCCCACCTGTGCCAAAAACATCGTCTCTAGGAAAGTAGGGACACTGAGGCACACGGCTGTAATGTTGCCTCCACCTGCTTCCAATATATGACAGCCTGGTAGTCACAACTTCCCCGTGCACATCAAGAACATCGTCTCCAGGAAGGTAGGGAGTTTTATTTAATGTAGCATCCACCTGCTCACAATATCTGGTACTTACACACAACTTGCCTTTCCCTTGCACATCAAGAACATCGTCTCCAGGAAGGTAGGCACACTGCCACTAGAGTCTGACAGCCTGGTAACTCAGTGAAACTCAACTAGGCAGCTGCTACGGTATCTAGATCCCTCGTGGGCCACCTGTTCCAAGAATATCGTCTTCAGGAAGGTAGGGACATCAATATACGATGCTGCTACCTGCTGCTAGTTCCTGACAGCCTGGTAGTCACAATTTGCCAACTTGCCCCATGCATGTAAAATATCGTCTCCAGGAAGGTAGGGACATCGAGATATGATGCTGCCACCTGCTATTAGCTCCTAACAGCCTGGTAGCCACAACTTGCCAACTTGCCCCATGCATATCTAGGCCCCAAAAAGATACCTTGATCAGTCACATTTTTCTTTTTATTTTCTAAACCGTATTATTTTATCTTACAGATAGTAAAAGAGCTCCTAGTTCGCGAAGGGGGCGGCGGCCCAAACGCGCCCCAAGGCGACTGGTGCAAAGAGGAGGACCTACCAGAAGAAACCCGCTGCAAGCTAGAAGGACTCAAGTGCATGGCGCGATGGTTGCTCGGCTTGAAGAAGGACGAGCTATCGGCACAGAAGACTTTCAGGATGCTAAACGCGTTTATAGTTCACAAGGGCGACTTGTTGCAAGTAAGTTTTGTGAATTGATGTTAGAGGCGACAGCGTGGGAGAAGAAATACTGGCGATGTAGAAAAAAGGTTCTCTAGGAATAGGCGTGATGACAACACCGATCAACGTGTGCCTACCTACTTATGTTCTTGCAAGTCACGAAGGCGAGTGAGCTTTACTTGTGTGTGTACGTGTACATGCATAACAATAGTGTGATGTCTATCAAAACTTTTGAGAAACGAACAGTAGCGAGCCACCACACATGTAAAGCTCACCTTCGTGAATTGCAACAACTATACTTTTAATTATTAGTTACTGGTGTCATTTTTTATAGGGATTTGGCACTTTTAACACTGTCATTGTCCCTACTGGGACGATCATCTGCCCGATAGACTGACGGTCAGATACTACCGTGGACTCGCCGGTAGTTAAATATTCAACAGCGGTCTCCAGCTTCAAATGAGAATGATGATGTTTAACAAAGTCCACTCTATTGCCTCAACATTCCTATTAAAATCAGCTCTGTTTACTGTGATTTCGAAACAACTAAAGCTGGGTCCAGATGGGTGTGATGTGTAATGTTACACGAATTCTAAGTGTGGACTGCCGTCCATGTGAGCATTACGTGTAAAGTGCTGTCTATACTATTTCCATTACATTTCACGATACATTCCATTACGCGTTACACCCGTCTAGACATGGCTTAACAAATTAAATTCTTATATTTTTTTGGAGTCTATTTATTTATACCAATTCTGTAAATAATGAGTGTCTGTACAGACAACAGCAGGTCAAAGTGATACTAATTGCAATAAATGTAGAGTTAGTAATAAAAAAGCAGATAAAATTTCAACAGTTTTTCAAAATCACAGTTATTTCACAGCATCTATTAAGGCTCTATGTCCACGGACAGCCGAGGCTAGTTGTAAGCCGACATTTGTGTTCACAGCAAAACCAGCTGTCGAAAGCCGAGATGGCACATCTGCGGCTTGCAGCCGGCGCGGCCATGCTGAAGATTTGCGAGCAGAAGGGCGTCGGCGACCAGTTCACGGCGGAGCAGTTTTATAACCTGTCGCATTTGATGATTGTGAGTTCACTATAAAATAGATAGTTCTTATAACTGTTTTCTTCTAGAGTTATCTGGTAGAGGTTCATTTCTAAAGCTACCCATTATTATAGAGTTTTCTGGAAGAGGTTCATTTCTAAAGCTACCCATCCTCATAGAGTTATCTGGAAAAGGTTCATTTCTAAAGCTACCCATCCTTATCGCTCGCGCGCAATCATATTGCTGTCGCGACATGCGGCCGCAGAGAGTGTGCGAGCGCGACAGCAATATAATTACGCGCGAGCGATAAGGATGGGTAGCTCGGGGTCATTGGACGAAATTCTACGTGGTCGGCGACCGGACTTTAGCGATAAAACCAACTCAATCGTAATATTCAATATTTCTTTTTATTGTAAGTTGTTTATACTATAAAGAGATCATCACTATCACTAGTATTAATTGAGATTAAATTTATTTCAGGATGAAGTACCACAAGTGAGAGAATTATTCGCAACAAAATTACACAAAGGACTTTCAAAGGTAAACGTTTAATCGAGATTATTTTTATTTAGATACGCAAGTTGAGCGGATAAATCTAAATTAATTCACATCTCTTGTATAAAAGCAGCCTTATATTACATTTAATTATCGGGACTATTCCTACCTCTCGTTCCCACCGCTGCAACTCCTGTGTAGCCAGGAGCAAGCTTGATCGCCAATAAAAACCCAACCAGTGAAGGTCAAGTTTGTCCCGGGGAAAATTAAACTTTCAATGGACCCGCAATGAAATTAATCAGAAGAACATAGAAGGAGTTCGGAGTTATATTACACTAGCGCTCGCCCGCGACTTCGTACGCGTGGATCCCATTTTACCCTCTTAGGGATGGTGTTTCGTAAAATCCTTTCTTAGCGGATGCCTTCGTCATAACATCCAAATTTCAGCCCGATCCGTCCAGTGGTTTGGGCTGTGCGTTGATAGATCACTATGTCAGTCTGTCAGTCAGTCACCTTTATATACCTATTTAGATTTACATAATATTTATTCCTCGCAGGGCATACCCAACAAGTGCCTACCACTAGACTTCATGGGGATGTACGCGTTAGCGGGCCGCGAGCCCGACCGCCGCATCCGCTCCGTCATCCGCCAGTTCATGTTGGCGGACGTGGTGCGACGCCGCGAGTACATCCGCAACATCACCGTCGGCACCAAAGGTGAGTCCTGCCTAGCCTAGACTTCATGGGGATGTTAGACTTCATAGAGATGCTAGACTTCATGGGGATGCTAGACTTCATGGGGATGTTAGACTTCAAGGGGATATTAGACTTTATGGGGATGCACTAGCGGCCGGGAGCCCGACCGCCGCATCCGCTCCGTCATCCGCCAGTTCATGTTGGCGGACGTGGTGCGACGCCGCGAGTACATCCGCAACATCACGGTCGGCACCAAAGGTGAGTCCTGGCCTAGCCTAGACTTCAAGGGGATGTTAGACTTCATGGGCATATTAGACTTCATGGGCATGGACTTCATATGGGCATGTACGCGCTCGCGGGCCGTTGGCACTAAGGCCACAGAATAATAATAAGTACTACGTACAGAAGTTTTACTTCGCGAAGGTATTTAAAAAAATGTATGCTCAATGTCATTAACAATATGGTGTAATTTAGCCTGTCTCAAGAGTCAAGCACCATTTTGTTGACAAACGTCAGTGATCGGCACTGCGCCGAAGCTATAGGGCTGACTTCGGTAAAATGATGTGACGTGAGGTGCCAAACTGCGGAAAATGGCGGAGGAAATATAATTATGATTTAGCATGATTATCATGAATAATTTTAACTACTTATTTACCTCTCAGTGTCTTGACGCAACTTAAAAAAGTACTTTCTGTGTTTTTATTATTATTTAGGCAGTTAAATACTGTACAGTATTTAGTACACCATTTTCTTTATTTTCTTCCATCATACACAAGAATACGCGTGCGTGAGTCAATGTTCGCTCGTATGTGAGGCCTTGTCGAATAGTATCCTGTAGGTGGGCCATCGTGCGTGTTTTGTTTTCGATGTAAACTCGCGGAGATGAACAGGCCTGCTAAGGCCCAGAACAGATGGTGAAACGCAACTGCAACGAAACTGCAACTGCTAGTTACTTTTGACTTGCATCTAAGTTTCTGCCATAGCGTCCGTTGAGAGACCACACATGACGCGACCAGTTTGAAACTCTCAGTTTCAGTTTCATTCATAAGAATCATCAGAAAGTTGCAGTTTCGTTGCAGTTGCGTTTCACCGTCTGTTCTGGGCGTTTGTTTCATGGTAAATAGTGATGTTTCAGGTATGCTTATTTAGGAAGTTATCAACGAAGTCAGAATCAATGTAGCGATGCACAATTGTTATACATTTTAAGATTGTTTTTGGCATTGTCGGCATTAGTCTTAAAGTTATTTTTATTTAACATTAAATGGACATTCGATGATAACTGTATAAATAATATAATCTCATAACCACGTGACGCGTAAAATTTGAACTTGGCCCGTTTTTTCAATTGTTTCTCATTTCCAGTGGAGCGCGCAGTATCGCAGCTGCCACACATCCTGCCCGACTACATGCTGGTGTTCGCGGTGCCCGTACTGACGCACGACCCGGCATTCACGGCGTACGACAACGTCGCTCAGCTCAAGGTAATGTGCTCAACTTGGCGGGGACACTGCCGTGTGCGTTTTTCGATTTGTGATTTTTTAGAGCTGATGATCGAGAGTAGTCGTTTATAATGATAGCTAATACATTTGAAGTAGTCATTTCACATCTTCCGTGAATTTCGTAAGTATACAAACATCGAGCCTCCTCAACCCATCTGTCAGCGCTCCCTATGCCAGACAGTTCTGGGAGGCCTTAATATGTCCTGTAGCCCAAATCGAATGGAAAAGAGAGGGGCGTCCTGTCAGCCAAAACCAATGAACTGGACGATCATCATCCTCGATGATAAAATTAACTAAGTCTTTGATTAAACGTTACCTTTTCATCCAGGTGATGAAGCAATGCCTGTGGTTCATCCAGGAACTTCGTTAGTTAATACTTTAACTAAACCATAACATTTCCATCCAGGTGGTAAAGTTTGCCTGTGGCTTATCCTGGAACTTCGGTAGTTAACTGTTTGATTAAAAGCCATAGCAGACTTATCAACTCGGAAAGGGATTAACACCGTATCGCTGTCATCGCATTTCGCGCGCTGTCAATCGCGAGGCGAGGCGTATAAGTGTGCGTTGCAGTATAGAGTTTCATACAAATGATACTCACCGACTCGGGTTGATACGGTTACGATCCCTTTCCGGGTTGATAAGTGTGCTACGTCATTAAACTCAACCTTTCCGTCCAGGTGGTGAAGCAATGCCTCTGGTTCATCCTGGAGCCGCTCATCACGCGCAACGACTTCTACTGCTACGGCTTCTACAAGAGCCTGGTGGAGCGGATGAAGAACCACAAGGACGCTCTCAACGAGACCGACGACGCTGTTAACTATGTAAGAATATGATTAATACTACTTTGCCTGGCCCATTCCCATTTTATTTGGGGTCGGCCCTTCGCGTCTTGCGTCTCCAGTAGGCCTAAGATGCGCGCCGTGATAGGCGGTTATCACGCCATTTTATCGATTTTGCCCATACAAATTGACGTCGATAAAAGTTATCACGGCGCGCATCTTAGGCCTACAGGCGGCTCGGTCCTGTGTTTCTAACTGTTAACTTGGGCTTCTTTAAGGTCGTTATTGATTACGGACATCCATGTAATTCGGGGTCTTCCTCGTCCGCAGGGCTTAGTTTCGATGTCTAGCACTTTTCTGGTCATCAATCATATTCTCACATGAGGCGACCGGTCGGGTGGTCGCCTCATGTGAGAATGTGATTAATTACTTAAATATTAATCAAATAAACCGTGCCTATGAGAATATGCTACTTTCCTTGAGTCCGTAAATCAATAATATTGGATACGTATTTTTTTTATTTGTCAATCATTACTAAGTTATGGTGCGTTGAAGTTCCGCGTGACGTCACAAAGTGCTACATTTTGAACCACGCCTTGACATGACGGCATAACAGTGTAAAATTGCGAGAATAATGGGCTAATTTTAGCTAAACATGTTTTTCTATTAAAATATGACTAATTAATGTGTTTTTTAAATCCAATGACGAACAATACGAACATACTTGAGCAATTTCACGTGAGATTAAAGGGGGTCGAGTCAAACCTCATGATATCTCAAAAAGGGGGGAGAGGGGGGTCCCAAAAAGGTCTATTCCACTTTCATCACTTGGATTTTATCACCCAGATGAAAGTGTACTCCAGGCGATACTTTGGTGTTCTTTTATCGCCCATTACGTAGGTGATCAAAGTGGATTTCTTTTCCATAGGTGATCATTATAGGTGATAAGGGCACCAAAGTGTCGCTTGGAGTCCACTCCAGGTGGTAAAAGTGGAATAGACTTCAAAAAGCGCCAAAATCACCTCACATAATTTTAACGGACGCCCCCTTATCGTCCATAAAATTAATTGTACCATAATTATTAATAACAATTTTTTTTCCGCAGAAACTGTGGGCGGTATGCGACCTGGCGATGTCGGTGATCTGGGTGCGCTCATCGAGCTTCGAGCTGGGAGACTTCTTATCGGACGCTCGCATCCCTACGATGTACTTCGCGCCGCAGTCAGAATACTTCGTCAATACGCGCGTGTTCCTGCCGCCAGAGCTGCAGGTAACTTGTGGTCATCATCATCATCATTGCATCATCATCATTGCATCATCATCATCATTAGCTGGGCGACTTCTTACCGAGTTCTACCGAGTACTACGCGCGTGTTCCTATTGCCTGAGCCGCAGGTAACTTGTCGTCATCATCATCATCACATCATCATTATCACCATCAACTGGGAGATTCCGGGATATGCGACCTGGCGATGTCGGTGATCTGGGTGCGCTCGTCGAGCTTCGAACTTGGAGACTTCTTATCGGACGCTCGCATCCCTACGATGTACTTTGCGCCGCAGTCAGAATACTTCGTCAATACGCGTGTGTTCCTGCCGCCAGAGCTGCAGGTAACTTGTGGTCATCATCATCATCATTGCATCATCATCATCATCATTAGCTGGGGCGACTTCTTACCGAGTTCTACCGAGTACTACGCGCGTGTTCCTATTGCCCGAGCCGCAGGTAACTTGTAGTCGCCTCATCGTCATCACATCATCATCATCATGGTGATGACCATGACCATCAGCTGGGAGACTGATATAAGCGATCTGGCGATGTCGGTGATCTGGGTGCGCTCATCGAGCTTCGAACTTGGAGACTTCTTATCGGACGCTCGCATCCCTACTATGTACTTCGCGCCGCAGTCAGAATACTTTGTCAATACGCGTGTGTTCCTGCCGCCAGAGCTGCAGGTTAGTTCTAGTTAACTTATTATCGACAATGTTATTGTCAACATTATCGTCATCATCATTGTCAATATTATCATCATCATCATTTCTGTTACATGTAGGCCTAGGATGCGCGCCGCGATAAGCTTTAATCGCGCTATTTTATCGTTTTTACGCGATAAGCCCATACATTTTTCGTCTAAAATCGACGATATGATTTTATAACGGTGCGCATCCTAGATCGGCTGCGTTGTTAGAAGGATCTTTCATTTGACGTTTTGAGCAGGATATTAGTCATGCGTTCGTAAGACCGCATACTAATTTAATATTTTATTTATTTATTATAATAGTAATTGAAATTTGTATTTCGATGCCGTGCCTAAAATAACGACAACGTTCAACTTATAACATCTTAGGCCCTGTTTCCTCCAAAGTGGAGCGGAGTGAAGCAATGAAGTGTTTTGAATAACCAATTATTTCCATTTCTCGTCTCTGGTCCGCAGGGCTCTATGACAGCATCGTATGGTTTATAATGGTTTACAGAGCGTTGTTATTAATATTAATGATGTAATATTCAGTTCCAGCCGAAGCGGACACCTACAACGACAGAAGTGCCGGCGCCGCGCGGCAAGAAGCGCCCGCGCGCCTCTCCTGCCGATGAATCTAGCGTCGACGCCGAGGTAAGAAAACTCATAATCGGTCAAAACCACTTTTGACCGATGTCCCTGGTCAAAAGCACTTTTGACTGAAAAAAATCAGTCTAAAATGGTTCCGCCTCATTTAAAATTGCTAAAAGATTGGTACAGTCCTATCAACTTAAGCTGAGAATTGCATTTGTGTGAGTGATCGCCAAAAGTACCGTTAGTAAAACACATACAAATAAAATTAATGTTTTATTAAAAGGAAGTCTATAAAACACTTGCTACCAATTGGGCCGATGTAACGACACTTGACACATCCTTTTAAATAAATAAATAAATAAAAACAGGTCCTCGCTCAGCATATGCCAAGGCACGAAGTACCTCGACGCTGATATTCTGCGAGCACCGTTTATAGAGAGGGCGTCCAGCCAGCCTTACAAAATACAACAAAAAGACAAACTTTATAAGATTACAAAATAAAAACAGACTAAAAACTTTTCGTTCACACCTTTAAAATACGTATTCAATTTGCATAAAATTTCTTTCACTTGGCTGCTTAATGGATTTCGTACAGGATATTCACTTACAGTAGGAGCCATTTCACTAATATTTGGAACACAATTACATAAAATTACACGTATCTGCTACCAGTACCGGGGGTGAAGTGAAGTATGTGAGCGGCAAGGAAGCGGTGCGTGGCGGACGCGCCGCGCTTCAGGCCGCTTGCTATAATAAACCATGCGCGGGACGCGCCGCGCTTCAAGCCGATTGCCACTCTAAACTATCGGTGTGCACTCACACAAATGCAATTCTCAGCTTAAGTTGAGAGGACTGTAATCAGTCGAAATTCATATAAAATTATGATTTGTGAAAAATACTTAATCCTTTGTGTAAATATTAAAGTTTAACAATTGTAGGCTTTAATCTTATTAAGTTTAAAACTAATTTTGACTTATCACTTTATAAAAGATTAAATAAACATACAATTTACTATCCATTCGCATATCTGTTGTAGAAATAATAGTAGTATTAGTAATTGTAAGCTTAAAGCATGTGTCCCACTCCTGTCTGTCCCTGTAACCTCCCGTGATGTTGTTCCAAGCTCTCCTCTGGACGCTCAGGGAGTATCGATATTGAGGTACGCTCACTCTTTTTGTCTATTTGATGGCCAGTAATTTAATTTAGAGAAGCCTAGTTCGATTTTTCAGGGTTAGAATGAAATAGTTTTTAAAGAAGTTGTCTTGGAATTACTGGTTATTAGTGTCACTATCAATAGCATAAAATGTCCGAGCCCTGCCGGGTTAGTATGCGCGTCGTAATAAAGTCCTATCGATGATTTTCGACGACATCCAAAATCGATAAAATGCCTCGAAAAAAGGTTATAGTGATGCTCATCCGAGAGCTACTGCAATGCTCCTGGTATCACCAGTATGTTTTGTAATTTAAGAGTAGTACCAATCTACCATTGTGGAAAACCTTGGAGGAGGCCTTTGTCCAGCAGCGGACGTTCGGTTGAAACTAACGAATGAACCAACGAACCAATCTACCGAGTCTAAGTTCTTAGGCCTTTTAAATATCAAGCAAAAGTAACTCGTCACAAATAAAATACGTCAGCAAACCGTCTTTAATTTTTATTTTATTGTATTTTTGCCCCACAGCCATCAGAGGCGTCTGACACCCAAATCCAGCTGCCGGGGCTTGAACAACCTCCAGAGACGGACCTAGAGGAGCCTCAGGCGAAACGCACCATCAGCGAGTGAACACCCGTGAGCTAAGCTATTCTCCAATAAATGGTATAACAACACAGACAAATACATTCGTTTTCTTATTAGTTTTTACTTTATTGGATTGGGATATGATGCGTCATAATAAAATCTTATCGACGATTTTGTCGATAAATGTATGGCTTTATCATCTGTCGATAAGTTTTATCGACGATATCTGTCAAAAATTGTATGGGCTTAGGGTACAAAATCGATAAAATGCCTCGAAAAGATTGTATAATACAGCGTATCTTAGCCCTGCTATAATGGGTGGTCAACATTTTCACAGAAGTTCTTATTATTGAAACTAAAATAGCTCTTCTTATAGCCATCTAGGAGGCAACATTTGAGGGCTCGAGTGTTGTCTAACTAGTTGCTAAAAACTAAAGCTATATTTATAAAAATACTGTAATAAAGATAAGTATTGCCGTGAAAATGTTGACACTATCTTTTTTGTAGATCAGTCTTGTTTCACTAAACTTTTTAACCGACTTCAAAAAGGAGGAGGTTATGAATTCGGTTGATTTGTTTTACTACTTTTAAACGTAAAGTAGGTAATATAAAAGATTGCTGATATGTTGACTTTTCAATACTTTATATTAACTCCAACTTAAATCGTCAACTTGAACACAATATTTTGTATGTTTACTTTGAGAATAGCATGGCTGAATTATTTGTGAGAGACCCTAACGTGACCCGCCATATTAGGCACTGATTATGTGATGTTGCATACAAACTGGTAGTATTTGTTTATTTATTTATCAAGTGTTTTATCGCGCGCCAGACCATGTAATTATTTCATCTTTTTCAGTGACTGTATAATCTAATAGTTCGTGACACCCAAAGTAGCCAAAAGTTTCGCAACGCGTCTTTGTTACAATTGGAATATGGTTGTGTTGTCAACTTTTTGGCCACTTTGGGTGTCACGATCTGTTTGACGCTGACTGTACAACGGCTTGTCAATGTGACAGTACAATTTCAGATTTTGTTAACCCTTTAACGGGCAAGGCAACTTGAAATATTTATCGGTTTTAGACCCAGTTGGAATTCGGTCCACACTATATTATTGCCTTTGCCTTTTAAAGGTTTAACATTTAGCGTTTTCTGAGTCTTTCATGATGTAAACGTTTTGTAAGAAATAAATACTACGGTTTCGTGCGCGATGAAGATCCTTAGAAAGTAAGAGCGATCTTATTTTGGTGATCAAACTATTCGATATTTAAAATCTTACTGTGCAGTTGTGCTACATTTGTGTTCTTGACACAGCAATGGTTAAATTTTGTAGAATGATATATTTTTAAAATAATTAAATATTTTACAAAATCAGGCTGGAACCATACATAGTAACAAACTAAAGACGTGTCCTTTAGATTACCTTAAAATCCAGAACATTTAATTTTATTGTTCTTAGGTGTAAAAAGTATTATCATTTATCTAAAAAAGTTTGTATTATCAAAACAGGGTCGCTCAACACATTCGGAAAGACAAACACTCCGTCTCGTTGGATGTAAACCGACCCGAGGTATCAATACGCTTAACATTACGAAGACTGTTCACGTAGCACGGTGCTGGCGTTATCGTAACGAGATTGTGGCGATCTTGCTTGACTACTTCTAACAACTTTTATTCATGTCGCAAAGTATTGCCCATAATTTTAGGCTTTGTGTATTCTAAGAAATGATTTAAAACTTGCTATCAGGCACAAACCACAAATCTCTTCGAATGAGTTGTCAAATTAAAGTCATTATGACCACTGAATACCTATTTAAATAGATCTATGTATTACATTAGAAACGTGTTCGTTAGCTTAATCTTTATTTAAACTGTCTTATTTAACTATGGCATAAATGCGTCTTTTGCGCAAGTATAAATAACTTTTGCACCTTACTTGGATCATAATTTAAAAGCTAATTCATACATTTAAATTTTAATGGTATGTGTTTAAACTTTGTCTTCAATATTGGTCATAAATCTCGCTACGAAACGCCAACGCATCGCCACGATGTATCGTGTTAGCTGATCACATCAAACCATTGGACTTTGACACCACCTTCTTTGTAATAAAGATAAAAATCGTTTGAGACGCTGGTTACACTGTAACCACATTTTATTGTATGTACCTATAAGTTTACTTCGTAAGGAATGATTGAGAGAATACGCATTTAGAATCTTTGGCGTCTTTATAATGTATAAATAAACTTAAACGAAAAAGAACTTTATAAGAATACATTTAAGATGATTATGAGATAATCATGTGGTTATACTTCGTCAGATGTAAACCCAACTATTATTTCTGTTGAATTATGTTTCAATATTAAAATATCCATCTGAATTATTTAATTCACTATTGTGTGCGTTACAAATTCATTTTAAACCAGAATTATCCGCAGTTTTTTTTTATTTATTCGTGAAGATTATGCCCAAATCTAGATTGCGTAAATTAATTTTCCAATTATAAAATCAGACAAGTCTAAATCGTTTTGAAACTATACTTTTATTGTATGACCTCGTGAATGTTTGTTTAGTGTAATAAAGGGTGTTTCAGTACTGAAAACAAAAACAAGTATTGAAAGTTATCATTGAGTATCTCATATAATTAATTCAATCTGTTATGCCCTTTTCAACACTTTTTAACTCACAGCTTCTTTATTTGAGTAAAGAATAATGAATGATGACTAGGCCATTGGTCAATGAGAGATGAGTCTGTATTATAGTTTTTAAATCATAAGTTTTACTATCATAATGTTTGTTTGAAAGTTGTTTTAGTTGTAATTCGAATTCGGCTGGTCGATCCCTTTGTAATTTTATATTGTCTGTATAATTTGGCTCCTTGCCTCGTCGGTATCGGCATTTCCTGATAGTTACGATAGTTGCGTCATTTGCGTACTCATTTCGTTGGCGTTTCATACCAAAGTTGTCACAAATATAGTTCAATTTCTCTCTGATAGTGGCTTAGCTAAGCCCTTCAACAGATAACTGACTTTATCTTAAGAAATATTGCAGTTATTATTCCAGTAATTACATTTGATAGTTAAGATTAACAAACACAGTCATAAACCATAAAATGGATTATAACAGATGTAGATTTTATGTTAGTTACTATACAAAAACATCGTGTTTTTTGCATTTGATTTCATAACAAGTTTGGTATGAAGCTATCCAGAGTTAAATCAATTTTAGTTGATAATTGCCATTACGTTTATGTTAAAGTAATTAATTTCGTGTGATGTAGGGCTATTAATTTAAAATGTTAGCTTTCTATAAGTTTTGATGTGCGACTCTTTTTACTTCATAATTTGGAAAATCCGTACCATTTCGGTATGGTGAAAAATATGTTTTATTGGTTTTGAGCCTTATTTCGTCGTAAAATGTCAAAACAGCGCTCTAACAGGTCGTATTACTTTGAACTATCATGGATTAGTATGATTTAAGCACCATCTAGTAAAAAGAATCGCACAAGCATCAGCTAAGGTTTATCAAATCGAGCAACCAGATCAAAATGAATTGGTTTTTACCACAAAAAGTGCTCGTATTTATTATGTAATTAATTCATTATATTATCACGAAAAGTGTTTTGGTTTTTATTACATTGTCGATTAAAATTGTTTTGTAAGTTTACCAAAAACGTCTGGAGTAAAGTGTGGGGCGTCGGCCGCATCGGCGCAGTGATGATTCTCTGTAGTTATGTATTAAATAAAATAATAAACAAATATTTGGTGATTTTATTTAAATTTTCCAGTAACTTTAAAATGGTCGAATAGTCAACATAATATAAAGTACAGGACTCAGAGCTATTCTGAAATAGATTATTATTAATCTTACATAGATATCTGGCAGAAAAACCAAACTTTTTGTTAAATAGCGTTATATTTTATGTCAGATCTACTCAAAAAGATGGATTACTAATGTTTGGCCAAAAAACGTTTCCCAAATTATCACATCGCAAACAACGTTTCGCAAATTTTCATTTGGCAAATTCTCATTTGGCAAAACAACTTATTGCAAACTTTTAATTCGCAAATGTCGTTTTTGGCATATTATTGTTTAGCAAATTATTGTTTGGCAAAGTATGTTTTGCCAAATGTTTCATTTGGCAAAAATATTTCACGATAAACTATTTACAAAACAATTTGATTGGTGCATAGAATGGAATACAAATTAGCTTGTGGTTATTATTTTGTTTAGTGGGTAGTTAATATATTTTTTTTTCTAAATAAATTTTCATATTTCATTCTTTTTATCGAAATTTCCAAATGATTCATTAACAATAGAGATGATTCATTAAGGGTCACTGTTCTAACCTAACCTAACCTACTATTTTCTACGGTATCCTTCCGTTTGGCCAAATTACTTTTCGCCAAATTTCACTTCGCAAACAACTTATCGCCAAAGTTTCATTTCCCAAATAAACTTTTAGCAACTGTACTTTTCGCAACTAATTCATTTGGTCAAATTAACATTTGGCCAAATTTTACTTGGCAAATGTTTATATAGCAAATGTTTTATTTTGCCAAATATTATATCCCAAATAATTTGCTTGGTCAAATTGACACTTCACATACTTACGAGTACCCACCGTTACCCACAAATCAAAGCATAAGGCACATGGTCATGGTTTTCACAATAATTTTATGTAAAACAGAGAGATTGCAGAAAATAGTATGGTTGCAAAAAGTAGGTATTGTAGAAAATAGTAGGTTAGGTTAGGTTAGAACAGTGACCCTTAATGCGCGAAGGCGAGCGAAGCGTGCCGCGGCAGCGGCCGCCGAGCGCTAGAATCATCTCTATTGTTAATGAATCATTTGGAAATTTCGATAAAAAGAATGAAATATGAAAATTTATTTAGAAAAAAAATTATATTAACTACCCACTAAACAAAATAATAACCACAAGCTAATTTGTATTCCATTCTATGCACCAATCAAATTGTTTTGTAAATAGTTTATCGTGAAATATTTTTGCCAAATGAAACATTTGGCAAAACATACTTTGCCAAACAATAATTTGCTAAACAATAATATGCCAAAAACGACATTTGCGAATTAAAAGTTTGCAATAAGTTGTTTTGCCAAATGAGAATTTGCCAAATGAAAATTTGCGAAACATTGTTTGCGATGTGATAATTTGGGAAACGTTTTTTGGCCAAACATTAGTAATCCATTTTCTACAATATCTACTTTTTGCAACCATACTATTTTCTGCAATCTCTCTGTTTTACATAAAATTATTGTGAAAACCATGACCATGTGCCTTATGCTTTGATTTGTGGGTAACGGTGGGTACTCGTATGTGAAGTGTCAATTTGACCAAGCAAATTATTTGGGATATAATATTTGGCAAAATAAAACATTTGCTATATAAACATTTGCCAAGTAAAATTTGGCCAAATGTTAATTTGACCAAATGAATTAGTTGCGAAAAGTACAGTTGCTAAAAGTTTATTTGGGAAATGAAACTTTGGCGATAAGTTGTTTGCGAAGTGAAATTTGGCGAAAAGTAATTTGGCCAAACGGAAGGATACCCAAAAGGATATTTTCACTTTTATTAATCTCATCCAGATTTTAATTTACTATAGAGACGGTTTTATTAAAGTTAAACAACATAGTTTTGTTGAAGTATAAATTTATTCATTAAAAATGCAGGTACAGGTATAAATATTTCCTATTCTCCTTTGTGACGATTTCGTATTACTTTCGAGTATTTGTGTTCAACAGCCGCATACATTTATTTACACCTACATAAATAAATTCATACATACTCTATAATATACATAATCCTTAACCTTATAATCTCACAAACACTGGCCGGAATTGAATACAAAACCCTTAACCCCTAAATAGTCCTAAAATATAATATTTCCATTGGTTGTAACCGTATCTTCTCACAGCACAGATTTCCAAAATTCCAATGAGGGCTATCGTTTTTATCCTAAAGGTTGGCACCACCGGCTATTGACATGACCCGACTCTACAGTGGCGCCATCCTGGTAAGAGCAAATGCGAAAGTGCTTCAGCGCTCACCAGTACCTCTAGTATGAACAACTTTCGTCTTCGAATCGTTTGCGTATTCGACCGATCAACTCAACCTTCAATTTAAACGATAACGTGACAATTTTGATTCTCAAAATGAGTTTAGTGCAACCATTTCTCATACTAAGTTCACTTTACGACACGTTCACAAGGGCGCTGTTGTAGTTTTCGTACTAAATCTTTTCGATGGGGATTCGAATACGCAAACGATTCGAATTCGAAAGTTTTTCGTGCTAGCCGTACAGTTGGCGCCTTTCTCTAGCTCTATAGTGGCGCCAACTGGTAAGCGCTAGAACGATAGTCTTTATTGATATGGGAAGCACAAATCCGCGGTTTGCTGAAGGGTAAATAGGCAAGTATCAAACAAATTCAGGGTCTGGTTCCTTCCAGTACCTTTGTATCTGTTGCAAGCTCTTGCCTTTCGTCTCTGGGACCCATAGTAGAGTGTACACAACTCCGAATAAAGTTACTGCAGCGAATGTGTAGAAAACTACGTATTCCCCGAATTGGTTCGCTACGGGTGTGTAGAATAGTACTGTCATGGAACTGCAGAAGAAAGAGAACGCCATGGAAGCGCCGGCCATGCGCGCACGCATCTGTAAGAGATAGAAAAAGATGAATAGGACATACATTTTTATTGCTTAATCGCCCATATTACAAGTACGGATGATATCGAAAATAACGTCTATTGCAATTAGATAAGAAGTCTGTAGTCTGTGTTAGTCTGTAAATAAGAGACCACAGCGTTTAGCTGACATCAAATCAAATCTTTACGGCTGTATTTGTACGAAACAGGCACGTTCGCTAAGGCTTTACTGGCAGAGAATGCCTTTTAATTTGGCATTAAATTCGCCTTTTACTCTGCTTTATGTGGCTATATTAATGTTTTTATAAATACTGAATGGTCTCTGTCACTTTCATTTATTAATTTCGATCTAAGTCATATAGAAGTTGGTCAGCTCAGACCAGATATCTTGAAGAAGTCATTTTACTAGCAATTAATCATCATTAAAGTGGAAACTTACCTGGAAAGTGAAGACCTCAGCCATGATGACCATAGGCACCGGGGCCAGCCCGGCTCCGTAGGCCAGGATGCATAGGCACACAGCCACCACGGGCAGCCAGGGGACCGATTTGGTGCTGACCAGGAAACCTGTCGCCAGGGTCGCCATGCAGATGGACACGACCAGGGAACTGCAGGCTAGCGGGTACTGTGTATATGGAATAAAATTAACAATAATGTTAACAGCATTGTTGTGTTCCAGCGGAGTTATAATAAGATAGCCACTTCCTCAGTGGTTATGGATTCCGGGTGAAGTCCACTTCCAGCTTTGGCCTGATAATCACTTTCCATCAGGTGAGAGCTTCCTATTTGTGGATAAATAAACTTGTAATGGCGACAATAGGCTCAACGGTATCAGTGTCGGACTGACGATTCGAGAGTCGGTAGCTACTTCTACACAAGGACATCTACTTAATACTATTACTCCTCTTTTTCCCAGCACTGCAACTCCTGTATAGCCTCCTGGCAGGATCTACAGCTTGGCCTCCAATGAAACCCAACCAGTAAGGGTTGATTGCCCTGTCCAGTTATGGTGTTGGAACCCGCAACGAATTTAATCAGAGAGGGTTTCAACAAAGTACTCCTTTCGAGTTACGAGTAAGACATAAAAAAACTCAAAAAGCATGCGTTTTAACTAAGTAAATACTTTCCTAAACTCTTCTCTTACCTTCCTCCCAAACTTCTCAATAGACATAGTGGTGAAGAAGGACCCAGCCAGCTGCAGCGAGCCCATGAACAGCGCCAGGGTGTTAGGGCTCCAGTCCGTGCCCGCGCGACGGAACACGTCTGCTGCGAAGTTCATGAGGGCGAAGCACCCGGATAGCGTCTGCATCGCCATGAGCGTGAGCGTCATGCGGAGCGCTGAGAAGGTCGCTTTGTCTTTTACTGTGGAAGAGAAGAAAACTCATCAATGTGGTCATTTGGTTTCCACTAGTTCAGCATTAGTACTTACTACCAAAAGCATTTGGCCGAGTGTTTCGAGCAGTGCGGAAAGAAGCACGACACTCTAATTTACAAATCTAAATGGAAGACTACTTGCAGTGTGATATTGCCGTCGCCGCGCCGCCCCTACACTGTTCATACGCACCGGCACCGAGTAAGCGCCGCCGCAAGACACAAATAGGTTAACATCAGGCGTCCCCAACTCGTTTGGCCAACGCGGCAACGTGCCAAATCCTCTACCTTCGGCCTGATCATCACTTACCATCAGGTGAGATACAGGCCAAGAGCTTCCTCGTTGTGAATAAAAAAAAACCTATTTCCCTTTTCTTTCATTCGCGGATTTTCAAAAGTTTCCACGTACGAACGTAATTTTTTATCATGACAATTCCGATCTGATCACTACCTAATTTCTGTAATATAAATAATTCGCATTTATCAATATTGTTATGGATGTGAAAGAACCGTCTATTCATTGAATTGCTGATCCAATCAGACATCTAATGTAATAACCAACTCATTGCTGATTAAAACGAGTTCCCGTAACGATCTTAATATTGCTGTTACCGTGGCATCATCGGGAATTCCGAACATCAAATTGCATGTGATGAAACCATTCCATAATTTATTGACCTACTGAACCATTATAAGTAGATAGCTCCTGACAGACATTTTTCAGTTTCTTTAACTTTTTTGTATAAGTAGATACCTACCTAGTCAAACATCTTATCCATCTATCTACAGCCTTTGGGGTTCCTCCAACCTTTCAACGACTTTTGTCCCTGGCCACTTGCATCCAGTTTATTCCAGCTCGTTGCCGGATATCCATCTTTTAGTCAAACATCACTCTATTTTAAGTATTGACAAATTAACGCGAAAACAATTACATAAAACTGAAAGAAAGTGATTTCATCATTATTTAATTACCCGTTTAATATTGAAGTTAATTGCGTCTTGTATACCTAATTAATGTATTTAATAAGATTTCTTACTTAATGTTTTTTTTTATAGCAGGTACGAGTAAATAAGTAGGTACTTAAGTAATAACTGTATTATTAATCATCATGCAAGCATTAAGTGAGTACCTACGAATATAGTCTAATCTAACATTGTTTAATTAGATTTTTATACTTATTTAACTAACGTATTTAGGTATCCTTTATATCTTATTTAATTTAAGTATCTATATTTACAATTTTTTGTGCTTCGTTTCATACTTATCTTATCTTATTGGGTTTTGCAAAATAAATCATTAGGTCTCCAGTCCTGGATAAATATTAAACATCGGAAGATCGTACTTACTTTGGAAGTACTTATTCTTCGAAGCGCACCCATTTTGAGGTGCTCCTAAACTATCTACTTTGTTGTGTTACTATTAAAAGATATCAACTTTGTTTACTAATATATGAATAAAAGAACCAGAGCAACATAACATTTAAGCACACCCATTTTGTGAAGCGCACCTAAGTACTTATAGAGATGGGTTTCCACCCGGGTAAAAACCCACATGAGGGTAAAAACCCAATAAAAACCCGTTTCATTCCACCCGTGGGTGTTTACACCGGGTGAAAACAAATAACTTTATAATTATTTCAATTGGTATCTTTTCTTTATTTTTATTGAATTTTTCTCATTTAAGTTTATTGATTAATAAGTTATAAGTCAAATTTAACACTAATATGCATTTATATCGTGGCCAAATCGTAAAATTTATCACGTTATGATGATGTGACCAATTATTTTATAAAATGGTGTTATTTCAAGAATCGTTGAAGCGATTTAGAAGAAATTTAGTAGGAACACAATAATTTGTGATCATGGCAAGGACATGGAGGGGGGGGGAGGGGGGGATTGCCAAAGATGCCAAACTCTCTCTTTGATGACATTACGGTATAAAGTTACAAATAACAACACCAACTACAAAGTACTTCTGCTTAAACATTTAAAATCGAACCGCCCTTCCGCCACTGTAACGCATTGTAACGTTTTTCAAGACCTCCTCTCCCCCCAGATTGCATTACGTAACACTAGAACACCCCCTTAGCAACAAATACCACTTCTCACTTTAAAAAAAACGCTATTTTTGTTTTCACCCACCAGAATGGGTGATAATGGGAAAAAACCGGGTTTTTACCCAAATCACCCAGTTTTAACCCAATCGGGTGAATTGGGTTTTTACCCACTACCCATCTCTAAGTACTTAGCGCTTTACAAAATGGGTGCGCTTCGAGGAGTACCCCCTGGTTTGTGGTGTTTCTACGCAGCTTACGTCCAGAACTGCCATTGGCTGAAAAGATTTTACGATTTTAAAATTACTTTTGGACGTACTTTACCAATACTCCGTAGAGTGACAGAAGGCGCCTCCTCGTACAATCGCTGCTCCTCCCGAAGTTTGGCTAGCTCTTCGTGCACGAGCTTACTCTTGCGGTTGACGCTGCGCAACCAGCTGATGGTCTTGGCGGCTTTCTGGGTGAAAAATGATTTTAAGAATACTAATTAAGAATAAGAATAAAAAAAGTCTTTATTCAGCACAATACATACGAGTAGGTACATGGCGGACAAAGCAATATCATAGAGGTAATGAACATAGATATCATAAAAATAAAAATATGCTGAACAGGTGCCAGTTAAGAAAAATTCGCGACATGATACAATTGTCAGAAAAAATATTTTATTTTAATATGCAATAGCATCTTAAGTTCGTTCGTTTCTGTCAAATTTTGTCTACTGTTGGACAAAGGCCTCCCCTCTTAAGTACCTACTTCTCGCGAGTTTCACCAGATCATCGGTGCTCCTAGTGAGGCTCTGTAAAGGTAATGTAAGTAGGGTCAACCAGGGTATTTGTAAACAGGGGTAATTGGTAACACTCGTCGTATTTCATGTTTATGCATGCAAAATATTAAGTTGCCTGTAATGAAAAGCAAGTATATCCTATGGTCTATGGCCGCAGCTATCAAAATTCAAAATGGTGTAAACAGAAAAGCAACTGTGTGTAATTGCAAAAACGCGGGACAAAAAAGTGATTTTTAGATTGTATAAACAAAAGGATGACTACATTTTGTCAAAAAAAAATTAAAGTAAGTAAACCGCTGTTGTATTGAACAATTAATAATGGGTTTATCTTTGCATTTTTTATGCTTTTGAACGCTCAAATTCAATCGCCACGCTACAAATTCATGTTTACAATTACCCATCAATAAATGATATTGGGTCAATTGTAAACAGCATCTGGGTTAATTGTAAATACATGGGGTAATTGGTAACGGTTAATATATATGCAAGGAAGGTGAAGGTGGGTAAAAGTAAACACTGTTACCCATTGGTAAAAAAATTACCGATTAGTAACACTGTTACTCAATGCCACATTTTTTCTTCCCTTTAAGTGACAGTTTCATTTAAAGGTGTAAAACGAATGACTACGATTCATAGACATCTTTTTATGGTGGATTATGTTGATGATGAAGAAATGGAGATACAAATTACATCCCTGAAATGTATGGACAGTTCCAACACATTGTAAACACTTAATGAGAATGACAAAAGTGATGTGCCATATGATGATGTTTTTGGATTGTAAGTGAACCTCGCATTATACATATTAAAAGGAGAAAGAATTTGAAAATCCAATTGACGTAATATTTGAACGGGCTTAAACACTGATTTAAAATTAATACATATTAAGAAATATGTAAAATTTGTCTTTTTTATTTCACAATAAATGTTTTGAAATTAATTTTAAATTGTTTCCATTTACCACATACATAATTAAATATAATAAGTCTAGCTTGTTTACAATTACCCCTAAGTTACTGCTTTGTTTCCAATTACCCAGATATTTTCTTTGCCAAATCGAAGGAGCAACACAAAGAGTTTTAAATTACCCCCTTGATAAGGAATTAGATTGATTTCTCTTTATTTAGATTTATATTAAGTGTCCATCAAAATTAAGTGAATATATGTATAAGCTGTATCTCTTACAGATACTGAATTACATGTTTCCAATTGCCCCAAAATACATAATTTGTAAAAATATTGATGGGTAATTGTAAACAGCGTTTTAGAGATCATATTTACTAGTCGATTTAATAAGTTAACCATATATATTAAATTATAGATTACACGCCTAACTAAAGTAATACATTTAATTTTATTATATTATTTGTAAATTAAAAAAAATATAACATAAAACTTAAATTAAGGTGCCATAAAAAATTAAGTGTTTACAATTACCCTGGTTGACCCTAAGTATAATGACTAACTTCCCATATTAATGTTAACACGGCCCACAACTTATGAAAACAACATTGGTGGCTAATTCTAAAATGGGTAGGCAACATTGTACTTATGATCATACATATGGAATGTTTGTAGAAAATTTACATGAGTTAAAGCAGTGCTATTACTCACTAAGTGCGTGATGATGCGACTCATACACGATAATACGAGATATGAAGGAATGTGTGATATCCCGATGAAGAAGTATACTTAATATGCATCTATCTTGGTAGCAAAAGTGCTCTCAGTAAACTTAGCAACCTAATTTCTAAAAATGGTTCAGTAATTTTACTTGAGAACCCAACATAATAATAAAATTCGGCGCATATCAGTTCCCAAAATAACTTTAAATCACGCAAACGAAATGTGCAATAAGGTCAACGTTTTATCTGTCTCATTAAACGATATGTTTTGTTCAACCTCTTCACTATACCTAAAACTCTGTATGATGGCAATTAAAAACCTACCTCATCCCTCCCAATCTTGAGCAGATAATTCGGTGACTCTGGCATAAAACAAAAGACGACTACATGCGTCGCCGCCAGAGCAAGATAAACCGCCTGATTCGCGGAGTACGACAGGAGCATGCCGATAGCATACACGAAGATGACTCCCATCTTGCAGACGGTCATAGTGAGAGACGCTAGGGCTCCCCGCCAGGCGTCTTCCGAGATCTCCTTGACGTAGACCGGGACGACCACGAAACAGCCTCCGGCGGCTAAACCGGCGATGATCCTGGCTGCTATTAGGGAGGGAACCGTCACTTTTGAAAGCTTGAGGATCCATGATATCTGCGAAGGAAAAAGTTAGTTGAGTAGGTACATTAGGGAATAGATTGATATACCTGTATTTATGTAGAGGTACTTTTTATTTTACTACAGTAGGAGTAGGCGTTCTTATATTAGCTATCGCTGGGAAGCATTCTTTTCCAGACAACTTGGGGATAAAAGGAAGACTGCTTAGAAAAGCTGAGTGGTTTGAATCGGTCATTTTTAAAAGAATTTTGAACTCGTACTTTACTGCTTACTAACTACAGAATCTATGAAGAAGCAATAGAATTCAAAGCGTTTCAAGATAATAAATGGACAGCCATTTTATAACTACTACATCAACTTACACAAGACAGCAAAGAGACAGCAATGACACAGATCTTCCTTCCGAACCTGTCGGAGCTGTAACTGAAGAAAGGTATGCCACAGATGGCCGCGAGAGGCAGTGCGGCCGCCATCCACGAGATGTCGCTGTCTCGGAGTGGCGCTCGCGCAGGCGTGTCGGCTGACTTGAGCAACGGGCCCATGGGCGAAAGCCAGCCAATTTGGATGCCGTAGGTGAAGGTCGGGATGGTGGCTGCAAGAGAGAAGGTAAAGTGGAAAATATGCTTTATGTAGAGCTAATTTTTCAGGGCATAGAGACAATGACACGTTCGCATGTATCTACGTTAGGTACTACACAACAGCAGAATATATCGTTCATTTCAGCCAAATGACGTCCACTGCTGGTCAAAGGCCCATCCTCAAGGATTTCCACAAAGAAAGACCGATCCTACACTGTCCGCATTCCGCGACCTTCACCAGATCGTCGGTCCTCTTAGTAGGAGAATGTAGCAGCTTTATAAAAATTTGGAAAATCAGTGGTAATGATGATTTCCGTGTCACAATAGTCTGCCCCTAAGCCAAGTCTAATAACACCAGGGTTTTCTTCTTAGTACGGTCCCACGGTGGAGGTATACCTACTTATTAAAGACTACAGTGTTCACTATTATTGACATTGGCGGCCAAATTCTTCTCGTCAGAGCAGTTTTAGGAGCGTGGGCATTTGTCCCTTTGTAACAATAGCAGGATTCGTTATTTTTGATAGATTTTTGATTTTTCTCCTGTTCCCTTCGTTAGCAAATGACGTTGTTTTACGGAAGAACATTGGAGTTTGAATAAGATTATTCAAACAATTGGCAAATTTTTATATGTGTAAAAATAAGAACAAGAAACCTGTATTGATAAGTTTATACTGGAAGGACTACAAGTCAAATGCTGTCGAGCTACTTCCTGTCTGATGACGACAGTTTGGTTAATTTGTATGCCGTTGTTGTTTGTGAGGACCGCGGCGAGAGTGCGTTTTGCACTCGATTTCGTTCGCTGTTCGCTGACAGTTATGAACACAGCCGATTTATCGTCACAACTCGTGAGTCGTGACAATGATTGAGTAGTTAAACGTAACGTTAAAAACGTTTTGGTGACTTTCATTCGCACGAAAAATGTTCATTTGTAGGTATTTTATTTACCGCTTTGTTCCAAGCAAGAAAGTTTCTGTCCCCGTCTCTACCAAAAACTCATAAGTAGTATTGCAGTCCTAATATTATCAATATTTCTTGTAAAACATAACCTTACCTACCCACTCAATAATAATGAGCATTAGGTCTACGTAAGTAAAGCTTTAAAGCTTTGGCACGGGCACGAAACGCTCTACCAAGAAAGAATCAGCGACAGCGACTCTATCATTTAAAAAATAGAATCAATATTCATTCATGCCATTCCCATGGTACTCGTAATACCAAGAGTATGTAGGTAGCTTATAAAAATCAACAAAGAAAGACGAAACTAGGCAGGTACACATCGCATATAAAAAATGTAAGTGACTTTCCACGTAGCGTTCTATGCACTGCGGCAACGTAAATTGAGGAATTGAAATGCAATTTAGTTAGTGACCCAGTTACCTCATTATTCTTTGGATAACTAGACCAATGTCTGGAGTGTCTGGACTATTTATGAACTAGTAAGTATATGTAGAGTTTTATTGAATGGAGAATTGAGCAATTCATTTCACAATGCTAATCAATTCATTACTTTTTTTCAGTTGTCAAAATACGATTTCACAACGCTAATCAATATTCAAATGTTTTTTCAGTTGTCAAAATACGATTCCTTTACAGTTTTTTTTAAACCTTTGTCGTCACTATCTTGTTTTCCAATTTCTTTTTGCCCGCTATTTACAAAGTTCAAATACTGGTTTTAAACGTATCTTTTTTGTTTCCCGTCCTATTTCAATATTTATTTTACATACTTAACTTCTAGGATTTAGCTATTCAAGTGTTTATGAAAAATGAAATTTATTAATCTTTAAATCGGGTTATCAAAAGTATTAAAAACGGGTGCGAATCGACCCCTTTAAGAACTAGTCATCATCATCATCATCATTTCAGCCACAGGACGTCCACTGCTGAACATAGGCCTCCCCCAATGACTTCCACATCGCACGGTTGGTAGCGGCCTGCATCCAGCGCCTTCCCGCTACCTTTATCAGGTCATCGGTCCACCTTGTGGGTGGACGTCCTACGCTGCGTTTTCCGGTACGTGGCCTCCATTCCAGAACCTTGCTACCTCATCGGCCGTCAGTTCTGCGTACTATGTGCCCAGCCCACTGCCACTTCAGCTTGCTGATCCGTCGGGCTATGTCAGCGACTTTAGTTCGTTTACGGATCTCCTCATTTCTGATTCGATCTCGTAAAGAAACACCGAGTATAGCCCTCTCCATAGCACGCTGTGCAACTTTGAGCTTCTGTATAAGGCCTATAGTGAGGGGCCACGTTTCCGAGCCATAAGTCATCACAGGTAACACACATTGGTTGTAGACTTTCGTCTTCAGGCACTGGGGTATTTTGGACGAAAAGATATTGCGTAGTTTCCCGAACGCTGCCCAGCCGAGTTGGATTCGACGATTGACCTCCTTCTCGAAATTGGACCTACCTAGCTGGATCGTTTGTCCGAGGTAGACATACTTGTCAAAAATCTCAAGAATCGAGCTCCCAACCGACACCGGGTAGGGCGCAACATGGACGTTCGACATAAGCTTCGTTTTGTCCATGTTCATCCGAAGGCCTACCTGTTGGGAAACTCGATTAAGGTCTTCGAGCATGGTGCCGAGGTCCTCCAGCGATTCTGCCATGACCACGATATCGTCGGCAAACCGAAGGTGAGTGATGTACTCACCGTTAACGTTTATGCCGTATCCTTTCCATTCCAGGAGTTTGAAAGCGTCTTCCAATGCCGCGGTGAAGAGTTTCGGAGATATAACATCTCTAAGAACTAGTAATCGCATAGTACTAGTTCAAAAAAGAGTCGATTCGCACGTGATTTTAATACGTTTAATACATCCGGGCCAAACGCCTACTAAAAAAAAATATTATTGAAAGGGCGACATTTCGCACGTTCGTGCGAAGAAAAATCTTGCGAAACTACTACTAACCCTTTAAATCACATTAACTACCTATCCAAATTGACAATTGATTTTAAAGCAAAATAAATCCAATTTTACCTACAGGGTTTTCTGAATACGAGTAACAGTGCATTCTTCTGACATTATTAGCTAGTTACATACTTACGAGTAGGTTTATGTTGTTTACTTCCATGGTTTAGTTTGCAAACGAATGAGGTCACAAACCTGGTGTCAGACCTTTTGAGTCAATATATGCATCTGACGTTATATTGTCGCTTATGTTATTGGTAGGTATTGTTGTCATAGTTCTTGCAATTGACGAAGGCGTGTGAGTTTTACATGTGTGGTGGCTCGCTACTGTTCGTTTTTAAGTTTTGATAGACATTAAGTACACTATCGTTATGTGAATGTATGTACCTACACTACACATACAGACACAAGTAAAGCTCACGCAAATTTTTTACCAGAAAGGGTCAATCAATCAATACTCACAAACTTCTCATTAAGTAGGTACTATTAGGAAATATTTTTTTTTTTTTTTTTTTTTTTTTTTTTTTTTCCCTCAAAATGTCAAATGTGAGTTTATCCATAGGATTGTGGTACTTTTTATATCTTGAGTGGTACTTGGCTTTTTCTTTTAGAGCCTGTATAAGAGGCTTGCTGAACCAGATGGGATACTTTGAGTCTCGTTGAGTCTTATAAGGGGTATGTTTATATACAATTGGCATAATGTTATCATATAATTTTTTCACCATTTCGTTAGTATCGCATACATTCTCGAGAATATTAGACCAGACCAATAAAGCTAATTCTTTATTGATCTCATCGTAGTTACAAGCAAAGAAGTTTAATTTTCTGATCCGTTTAGGTTTCAATGTTTTTCGATTAGGTATTGAGAGAGTAACAACTATGGGTGGGTGATGTGAATCTATCTTATCTACCAAGTGATCAACGGCTCCACACACTGACAAGCGCTCAGGTTGATTGCACCATACTAAATCCAGAATTCGCTCATTTTTGTTTGTAATTGAATTACACTGATATAGATTAACAAACGACATTGTATCGATTAAATTGTTGACATTTGTATTACATGAAGGTAATGAGGCCATATAATTATTTTGTAGATCATCGCTCACAGTCCACACAATATCGCCCATATTGAAGTCACCCAAAATTATTGTAGTGGATAACTGTGGTATATAGTTTTGAATAACTTGAGTTAAATTGTTAAATAAAATGTTTAAGTATTCCGGACTGGGTGGCGGAGGGATGTATAACGAACAAAAATATATATCAGTGACATTATCACATTTTAAGGAAATCCATAATTCTTCACAAGATGACTCCCACTTAGTTTTACGTATCGCTTTAAATTTTTTATGAACAGCAATCAGCACACCACCACCGTCTTTTTTTGATAAGTGTGAAGATGAGGTGCATCGGTCCCGTCTAAAAACGTCATAACGGTCATCGAAAAGTTCCCTATCAAACACGGTATTATTAAGCCAGGACTCAGTCAGCACTATAACGTCATAATCGGTACGTATAGCAGATAAATAAAAGTTTTCAGTTTTTGTTCTCAAGCCTCTAACATTTTGGTAATAAATTTTTAAATTGAATTTAAATATGATAACTCAAAAAATCATGCAAGTAGGTGTATTTATTGTTATTACAATTTATTACAATTATTTTAATGTTTTTAAAAATTCAATATTCTGCACTAGTACAGAAGCATGGTTACTGTCTTTACGAATAAAAATGCGTCCGCCTCGAATCCACACAAACTCATATTGCTTTTCTTTAGCGAATGCCCTAGCAGCGGCATGTAGTTGCTTATTTGAGGGTGACAAATGTTCCGTTACATATATAGGTCGCTTCTCGGAGGCGATTCCTAGGAGGCTGGTATTCAGCATGTTATTCTTGTTTTGTCTGTTGAAAACCTTAACTGCAGCCAACACCTGATCACGCGCACGAGTGCTCGAGAGTTTAACAATAATGTTTCTAGGGCGTTCCGACTCGGAATTTATCTTGGCAACACGGTGGTAGGACACGATGTCTGCGTTGGGTAGCTCACATGATGTGATTTTCAGGAGCTGTTGAAAGGTCGTAAGCAGATTTTCATTTTTGAATTCCGGTACACACTGTATCTCAATATTGCATTCTCTTGATTGCTGCTCAATTTGTGACAATTTAGCGTTTATGCTCGATACCTGGGATTGCAATGTCATATTATCCTTAAGCAACCTTGAAATCGAATCGATTATGCAGTTTCTCCATGTGGCGTCACTTAGGTTATAGGTACTTTGACAAAACTTGTTTTCTGCTTATTTCCACTTGCAAACGTTATGCGCACTTTATTTGGCGCAGTAGAAACGTGATGTTGGGATTTATACTTGCGAAGGACGAGTATTTTACTTAGTGTTTTGAACTTTTTCAGGAGCACAATGAAACAATACTTTTGACCGCAGCCATCTTTTTTATTAATGTTCATGGGGGTCATCCATAAAGTACGTAAAGAGGGGGGGAGGGGGTCGACAAAGTGTGACATGGTGTGACAAGGGGTGGGAGGGGTCCTAAGTTTTGTGACATCACATTTCGAAATCTAATATATCTAGAGGTACTAATCACGTAATTTGAAATATAAATTAAACTGAAAAATACCCCCACCACTTAAGCACAACTCCGTCGAAGTCGAAAACCTAGGAGAGTTTTAATGGGCAACCAATATGAAGCCATTAAATCAANTGAAATCGTGGTCACATTATCACTATTGAGTTTGGATTGAGTGTCGTGATGATCCGATAAAAACTGTATAGATTCAATTGCTCCATCCAGGTCAGCCCGCATGGATGAAAACCTGGCTCCAAGATCCAGTACCTCCTTCTGTAGGCTTGACAAGATAGCATTCGACTTGTCAAGGTTGGCCTGCTGACTCTCGAACTGTTTGTTCATATCACATCTCAGACTTCTTATCTCCGCCAAAATAGCATGCTGAGTTGCGTCATAATTCACTTGAGGAGACTGCTCCGGGGTAGAAATATTTTTCTTGTTGTTCCTTGTTTGAATACCAGTGGTGTTAGGCTTTAGCATGCCGCCCATATGACCAGGGCGCACAGGTGAGCTATCGTCGTTATTGCGTCTCGTAACGTTGCTGCAGGAAGGGCACTTCAATTTGGCTAGTTGTTTTGGGTCGATTTCAGAAACGCTGCCTTTATTAATACTCAGACACGCTAGGCAGAAAAATGAGGTGCAAGTGTTGCATTTTAAATGTTCGTTGTCGAGTAAACGACTATCACATCCAGCGCAATTCATGGTAGGTAATTTGTGCAAATCCAAACACACAAAAGTCTGCAAGAACGTCTTATTTGTTCGCTGAGTGAGTGCGATCGTCAACAAGCAAGCTTAAGCTCGCGGGAAAAAGGTCCTAAGCGCCGTGAGATCGACGTCGCTTACGCGTAGCAGCCAAACACTTCACTGTATAAAGTTAACGACGGTAACTTTCGGTATGATCGATATTGTTAATTGATTAAAAACCTTCAGGATATTGTTATTCACCTCTGTTAACACACATTTTGGACACAATATGCACTGGTTCACACTTTACAGTTAAAATCTTTAAGTAAACGTAAGATTTAACAGCTCAAAACTTAATTGTTTGTGTAAGCAAAATAATAAACGTTCCGTACCGCACGGTGGCAGGCGGCGAAAAAAATATTAGTAGGAAGTGGGAAGATAGAAGGCATTACATAAGTAGGTACTTATTTAACTATTTATATTGTTAATTATTGGTTTAAAATCCTACGATAAGCACTAATCGAGCTTGAAAACCCATAATCGATTTGGGAATTAAAATACCAAAAACCATGCACTTATACATTCTCTCTTAATGACTTGTCCAAATGCATTAAGCCATAGAGAAAGACCACCGGAATTTGAAATACAGGATGTCTGGATAATTCGTGATTGTTTGACAGTAACGTCGCTTTTAAGAGTGATTCTAACGAGTCTATATCGAAAACGAATATACTATGCTAGATGCTTCTATTAGGCAGAGTATTAAGATTCGGAACTGAAAATTTTTCTTTTCCTGAAATTCTTTATTATTAAATCAAATAAAAATCCATATAATTGCTTGATAAGCTTCTACTTACTCATATTGATTCTGTAATCTAGCGTTTAACACTGGTTTACGGTATTGAGTAGTAGTAAGTAGATTATTTACTATTAATGTGGAAATTGCGCGAAAATATTTGTAGTTACTTAACATGTCGATGTCCTGTAATACAAAAAACTTTACCCATCCTGCTACATTCACCTTAACTCAAGTGCGTTGAAGTAGAGTTCCGTTGTAATTAATTGATTAAATTATTATTGAGTTAAATATTTTATTCCATAACTTACAAAGAAGCGTAGTCATTACGAAATCGCGATAATAACATTAAAAAGATAATGTAGAGTTACCTTATTAGAGTAGAGGGAGTGTTAACGATGTTTATTTAATTTATTTTTTATTTTAACTACTTAAACTTACCTAACAATGCAGTTAAAATCTGTTTTCGGGCATTGCCTCTACTTTTTCGTGCCGAATCGTTCATTTTGAGCTCAAAAAGTAAATATTTATATTTCACAGAATTACTCCCGTATTACGAATACTTTATAAACACACTTTGAGGTTATATTTCACGTTGATTCTTACAACTCGATTTGAAATCCACAAATACACGTTCACATTATGTAATAACCGCTTTTACAAGTATTTTATGTCATGGTTCACAAGTTTTCCACTTTTCATTGATTATTGTTTTTACGAAACGCACCGTTCGAAACCACCGACTGAACTGACGAATGCGAGTTAGTAGAATGTGTTTGAATAACTTCATACTCTTCAAACAGTTACGTATACTGACAAGTTACATAGTAACTGATCCGAACACCACGCTCGTTTTTTGAGTCGTAACAATAGAGAGATAGAGTCGAAAATACGAAATCGTTTGGTTTCACTAACTGTAAAGTTAAGTTGGTCCAACAAATGCTGACCAAGGTCAATAGACGATGACTTTAAAAGATTTCATAAGAATTTCAACCTTAATGCGTGGTCTAATAATCAGATTGTTGATTAACGGAAAATACAACAATGTTGTTTGAAATCAAAGAATTCAGTTTCAGTTTTCCAACGGGAGTTTGTGTGGAATGGAAATGAAACGTACAATTCAAGAAATTGGTATTTTAAATGTGTTAAAATAAAAGTTTTTTTCAGAACAAGAACTTATGATGCAATAGTTTAGGCTGTTAATTTTTATTTTAAACTAGATTTCCGCCTGCGACTTCGCCTGAAGTTTTTCGATTTTTTCTCGCCGTAAATACCATCCTTGGACTTCAACGAACATTAAAAAAAAGAATTGGTAAAGAATTATTTATATCGATCGGTCTTAGTAGGTATATTATTAATTAAACCAATCATGTAAAGTTTTGTAATAGTTAATCGATGTTTGTACTTAAAAATGAAAACAAAAATTAGGTGAAGAAACCTAAATGTATGCAACATTGGCTCAAAGCATTAAATAATTTACATAAAAATAATTCGAATGGTTAACTACGTTTTTACGGTAGTTAACAGTTTTACATACAATGACTGAAAAGAAAAAAATATCTCAAAATTAATTTGCACGGGTTTTATCCATATTACTAAAATATTTCTGTGTAAGTCTAGAAGCGATGATTACATGGTCTGATATTCTCTTATAAGAAAAGTTAGTGACAACATTTGTGGTCCCAGCAGAGAGAAGTAGTAGTATCATCACCACTTACGACTCGGGTAGTATCAGGTCTCCCCAACCCATCTGACTAGCACAGAGTCTAGGCATAATCATCAATTGGTCTCTGGTAATAAGAGAGACTGTGAGTTATGCTCTTCTAGAGAGATAGTAGCACTATCTCAGAGCATGATACCTACATGCTGAGCGGTTGCTGATTCTAACTTGGTCCTAAGGCCTAGAACAGACGGTGAAACGCAACTACAACGAAACTGCAACTGCTAGTTACTTTTGATTTGCATCTAAGTTTCTGCCATAGCGTCCGTTGAGAGACCACACGACGCGACCAGTTTGAAACTTCTGAAAGTTTCAATTTCATTCATAAGAATCATCAGAAAGTTGCAGTTTCGTTGCAGTTGCGTTTCACCGTCTGTTCTAGGCCTTAGGACCAAGTTAGAATCAGAAATGGCAACCGCTCAGCATGTAGGTTTCACCGTCTGTTCTGGGCCTTACTCTTGCAGTGGAGACTAACACCCGTATTCACAAGAAAATCGAACGCACAGCGTTGAATAGAGCTCTGTGATTGGTTCGTGTGTCACCCTGTGAGACCTCAATCAGGAAAGATTGTTTAAGCAATTATTTGACTAATTGTTTATTATTTGAATTTAAAAATTCAAACCATGAAACGACTGAACAAATAACTAAACCAAGAAGACTTTGCTATATTACGCGATAAATTTTATTTCACAACTTATAAAAGTTGTAAGAACATAAAAAGATCGATAAGGCATCCATATTTTTCATTTAACACTCCAGTTCGTAGAAAATGTTTTTGAATTATGTTACGGTTACAATTTTGACCGGATTTTTAGTTATATCGTCGTCTGAATTTTTGGGGAATGCGGCAGGAGTGTGTAAGTATGTGAAAATTAATAATTATGTGACGCATTACAAAAAACAAAAAGGTATAATTAAATCAATGAACAATTAAAATTATCTATCAATCCTCTTATTATAAACATTGTAAGACAAGATACTGTCCATGTTACTGTAATTAGTTTCTGTAGTAGTCAATAGCATTAAGAGTAGGCGCACACCGCGACCGTTGATTTTTCGTCGGCCGATAGTTTAGTCGGGCAGTTGATCAGTATGGGCATGTATGGGAGTGCGCACACTACGCCGATTCGATTTGGCCGATTCTTCATACAATTTAAAATCGGGCACAACTATCGGCCAACTAAAAATCAACGGTGTGCGCCTACTCTAATTTAGCTAAAATTATGCTACTAATAAACTAGTATTCAATAAAGTATTCAATAAAGTAGTATTAAAAAAATCAATCAAATTGAGATTTTTTTTCGAAAAAATAAAGCGTCAATCTAACATATCAGTTGCAAAACCTCGTATCGCAACATTAAATTATGTTCTTACCTCAATTCTCAGTATTCTTATTGTGCATTAATAATTCCAATTGAAGTCAATTTCGACATGACGATCGTGACAGACGGGCTGGGCAGCGGCCGGCGCTCACATGGGCCCAAGAACGCTCTCCGAATACGCAACGACTACGGCATGATGGTGGATGACCGGGGCAACCTGCGGATCCGAGGCGGGAACGTGACGGACACGAAGAACTTCCCGTACATGGCCGCCATCATCATCAACGGACGACTGTGGTGCGCGGGCGCCATCGTCGACGAGAACTGGGTCATCACGGCTGCGCATTGCTTGAACTAGTTAGTTCTTTGCCATATTTTACAATTTACTTACTGAGGATATACCTACTGTTAGACTAGTCCAGCTTCAGGTTGGTTCGTTCTTTAATTAATTTATCACTCATATTCATAGACTTATTGAAGATGACGAGTGACGACTACGACCCTTACTGTAAATAAATACGAGTAGTAGTGGTAAGGCCTGGGTCTATCTGTCACTGTCGCTCATGCTAGCACCTCACTTTGCGTGAGATCGTTTAGATCCAAAGGGAGCAGTGCTCTGCATACTCATCCTATAAACACTTAACTACTTTACTCCCAATCAGTGTGCTTCAAGTGTCTTTGCAACCTTCTGGTTGAGGTTTTACACGCATGGATCCAAAGGGAGCATATTCAGAGCCCTATGAACATTACTTCATACTAGTGTCCTCCACGTGTCGCCCCTGAAGTCGCTGGGCCAGTACGTGAAGGTGCGCGTGGGCAGCTCGCGCCCGCACGAAGGCGGCACCCTGGTGGATGTGGTTGGCGCCGTGCGGCACCCCAAGTTCGAGGAGGAACCCGTGCCGTACGCTGACGTCGCGCTTCTTTTGTTGATGAATGAAAGGACATAATGACGCTTTCATATGGTGCTACATATTTTCACAGCGAGATATGCGTAACAAGTGGCAGCGCTGCGCAGCGCTTGTCAACTCGGCTCAGTGAAATGCACCAGCGTAAGCCGGCACTCTTGACGGCTCTTAGACGTTTAGAATCGTGCTTTGCTACTAGCAGTTCTAAACATTGTGCTCCAAGTATGTTTGGGAGACCAGAACCAAGCTTATATCCAAAATAAGCATACTGAGAGCCTTATGAACACTTACTTTACTCCCAATCAGCGTGCTCCAAGTGTTTTTTGGAACCTTCTGGTTGTTGTGGTACATGGTTCTTTTCTCCAAGTATGGATCCAAAGGGAAAATACTCAGAGCCTCCCTTTGGGTCTTTAAAAACATTTACCTTTTCAATGCAGCGTGCTACACGTGTCGCCCCTGAAGTCGCTGGGCCAGTACGTGAAGGTGCGCGTGGGCAGCTCGCGTCCGCACGAGGGCGGCACGCTGGTGGATGTGGTTGGCGCCGTGCGGCACCCCAAGTTCGAGGAGGAGCCGGTACCTCACGCTGACGTTGCGCTCCTGAAGCTGGCTGAGAATCTTGGTAAGTTTCAATGTTGTCAAATTCAAACAGTTTGTTCAGTACATAGGCCCTTTCCAGGGCACTTAAGCACCAAATATAGCTAGCCCTACCATGTTGATGTCTTTAGATGATTGAGAAGATGGTATTAAAATGGCTGGAATCTTATTGGGAGACAGGGGCTACCGTCGTATTTGCCGTCAATGATACGGGGCCCCCGGAATACAAGGGCCTCACCCAGTGCCAGACTTTTTTGAATAGACAGAGTTGGCATTTGTCTAGGGAAGCTTTGTAATTTTGCAATTACCTTTTTTAGATGAAAAGGGCCCCATGATCTCTGATTGAATCAAATGAACGACTTCTTGACTAATTTGAGGCTATAACTCTTGAGGGTCTGAGGACTGTTCCTTCAATAGCTAATTAAGAAAAGTACGTTAATATCCTTTCTAAGTTCTAAGTCTAGCATGGCTGTCGGTGGATAGTTGGAAACCATATTTTATTATTGATCAAAATACCTTTATTTATTTGCGTCACAGAATTCCACGACCAAGTGAACCTGATAAAGATTTACGAAGGAGTAAAAGAGCCGTACGCGCAGAGCTTTGTCGTGGTCAGTGGCTGGGGCGCGACAAGAGTAAGTCCATTTTATTGAGATTTAATTATTATTATTACCACTCCTAGCTATATCTCGCAGAATTGCTAAAATCAAGTGGCAGTGGGCGAGGCACATAGCTCGTAGAGACGATGGCCGTTGGGGCAGAAAAGTTCTCGAGTGGCGACCACGGGCTGGAAGACGTAGCGTGGGCAGGCCTCCTACTAGGTGGACCGATGATCTGTAGGCCTAAGATGCGCGCCGTGATAACTTTTATCGACATCAAAATGTATAGGCAAAATCGATAAAATGGCGTGATAACCGCTTATCGCGGCACGCATCTTAGGCCTACAGGTAAAGGTCGCGGGAAGAGCCTGGATGCGGGCAGCGCAGGACATTTTTCATTGTGAAAAACCTTGAGGGAGGCCTTTGTCCAGCAATGGACGTCATTATTGGCTGAAACGAACGATTACCCATCCTATCCTTTGAATTGTTTAATTTAAAGAAGCTTAATCAAATCAAAAATAAAAAAAAATAAAAAATCAAAAATATTTATTCAGTTTAGACCACAAGTGGCACTTATGAACGTCAATAGAAAATAATAAAAAAAGAAAAGGTAGCCCTTATGGGGCACTTTACATGTCTCCTTATCTTTTGGGCCCTACCAGCGCTTCGAGACAAACATATTATGGCAAGTGCTGAGAAGAAACGCCGGAACAAACTACAAAGTACAAAGATTTAAACTTAAAAGCATTTAACGTCCACTTGGGACTACGAGTACTTGCGATAGTTCGAGACTGTGTCGTCGCAAGTGGACATAGGCTTATGCTTATGGACTGCTATAAGATAGACTGATGTTGATAATTATATTGTTGTTGATAATGAATAATATGGTGAAGATGATGGTGATTTTAATAGATAGTTTGAGACTGTGTCATCGCAAGTGGACTTAAGTCCATAAGCATAAGCTTAATGACTGCTATAGATAGACTGATGTTGATGATTTTTGTTGTTGATGATGAATAGTCAAGATGATGACGATGGTATTGACGTTGGCGATGACAATAACAATGACGATGCTACTAATGATGATGATCATTCATGACTCGGTCACGGCCTTCCGCGACCACACGCCAGACCTTTTGACGGCCAGCTTGAAGGTCCGCACGCAGCACTACTGCGTGGACGCTTACTAGCTCGTCAACGGGTTCCAGACGCTGATGATTATGATGATAATGATGATTTTGATAATAATACTGCTAATGTTGATGATGATGATAAACCAGGGATCAGACACGGCCTTTCGCGACCACACGCCGGACCTTTTGACTGCCAGGCTGAAGGTCCGCACGCAACACTACTGCGTGGATGCATACCAGCTCGTCAACGGATTCCAGTTTACCCAGGACTTCTTCTGCGCGTCATTGAGGAATGGTACCAGAGATGCTTGTCTGGTAAGTGATTAATAGACAATTTTCCTAAGATAATGTAAAGGATGACAAAAATGTTGATAGTGTCGAATCTGTTCGGCTTTATCTCCAGAAGTTTTTTTGTTAGCCATGGAGTTCCGGCAGAGTAGAAAGAATATCGAACAAGATGTCTTATGAGGCGACTAAGGTGTCTTAATTATGCGAACATTAGGCTTCCCCCAACTGTCTGGCTAGCGTGAGGAGTGTAGGCGAAATCCACCCTTTTGCCTCTGGTAAATTAAAGAGGGTTTTCCTCCTGCATTGGAAACTAAATGAACTAATATTGTATTATTTGCAAATTTATGATAATAGGCTCAAATATACTCCACGATGCTTGGTGGTCCCTTTTTACCTTCGCTTGATCCCTTTTCTGTCGCCTTTTACTTAATCCATGAATCCATACAGAATCAGTGGAGGCGTAGCATGGATTGGCACCCGGGGCGATACACTCCCCCCCCCCTCCGGTCAAAAGGCCATAGGCACCCCCTAATGGTTGGTTGGTGCCTCCCCTCAGGATTTTTGGGGTTATACCAATCGCACCCTCCTCCCCCCCCCCCCGTATCCAAGACTACGTGGAGTCGGTTTTGCAGCGATTCGTTTCTGTCACGTTAGTTTTGTGGCACAAAATATTGCCTGTTTTGGACCATTTAAAATTAATTTAATGTTAAAATACGGTTTAATACGAATATAAACATCATGATTTTCAATAATATGGATAATACACTTATGAGTAATAAATTTATGAAAACAAATATTAGGATACATCACATTTATTAATATTATAGTTATTTATTCGAATGATTATGAGTTTCGATCATTAGTATAGAAAAATATGTATATGAAAACAAATATTAGTAAAAACTAAGTGTATGATTAGTGATATTATGAATATCAATGATTATGTTTTTAAATATGTAGGTTTTAAATTTTTTATTAAGAATGATCATTATGGTATCAAATTGTATGAGAAATATTTTCGGACCTCCAATGATAGGAATTGAAAAGTTATGTAAGAAAATGCGCTACCGCCGGAACCATACAGCTCGCTATCTATTACTTTTCAATAAGACAACTCCATCATACGAAACTTTGCCTTCAGTTCGACGCAGGCGCTCCGGCTGTACAGCAGAATCGCCTGATGGGCGTCATGAGCTTCGGGCCCGAGCGCTGCGGTCACGAGTACCAGCCCGCTGTCTTCATTAAGGCTTTTTACTTCAGGTTAGTAGGAAACTACTGATTTGGAGATATTTCATACTTATCATCATAATAAATGTAGATACCTACTCATTGTTGTGCGAGTACCTACGACTCTAAACAAAAATTCCAAAAACAGAAAAATATAGGTACCTAAGTTCGAAACGGCATAATTATTTAGGTCGGTAGGTAGGTATGCCATTGCTAGTATGCGATCTCTTTCAACAACCCAGAGAGAGGACAGTTATTCAAATAAAAGGCAGTTTGGCAGCAGGAAGGCTAAGGCTGCCATTTCACCACATTTGTGCGAGGAAAATTTGCCCTATGTACTCATTCCTTGGTACCTTTTTCGTTAGCTCTTTGTCACCAGAGTTGCGTTGAGCGATAGAAGGAAAATTAAGACTGACAGCCTGTCATAACTGGTAAAATTACTAGTTATAAGTTCAATAATAATTGCAGGGACTTCGTAAAATCAACGATAGCGTCGTACAAGTCAACAGCAGACCTGATCGAGGCGATGCAGGAGGCGGACCCGGTGGTGACGTCACACCACCTGCAGCCCGTGCACGCCGGCCACGACGGCTACGACGGGCGCCCTGAAGACGTCACACTGCCCGACGATAGGCACGACTAGTTTTGTAGTGATTAAATTGATATTAAACTTTCGAACGTCCAGTTTTTCAATTATTCTCCCAACCCAGAGCTGCGAGGTTTCAGCTGATGTTGAAGCTAGCTTTACGAAGTTATTACTACTATTGTATCATTGTGAATAGCTTGGTTTTCGAAGTCATACGCAGGCGGACCCGGTGGTGACGTCACACCACCTACAGACACGACGGCTACGACGCGCGCCCTGAGGACGTCACGCTGCCCGACAATAGGCACGACTAGTTTTATAGAGATTAAAATTGATAAATTGATATGAGACTTTCGAAAGTCCAGTTTTTCAATTATTCTCCTAACCCAGAGCTCCAAGGTTCTCTCAGCCGATGTTCATCATCATCAATATCATTTCAGCCACAGGACGTCCACTGCTGAACATAGGCCTCCCCCAACGACTTCCACAATATCATCCAGCGCCTTCCTACCTTTATGAGGTCATCGGTTCACCTTGTGGGTGGACGTCCGACGCTGCGTTTTCCGGTACGTGGCCTACACTCCAGAACCTTGCTGCCCCATCGGCCGTCAGTTCTACGATGTTGAAGCTAGTTTATTACGAAATTATTACTATTGGCAATGGTCAATGTAATGTATAGCTTGGTTTTCGAAGTCATGCAGGAGGTGGACCCGGTGGTGATATTTGACTGTCGGACGCTGTCATTCTTTTGTTTCTGCCTTGTCTTGAAAGACTTGGTTGCCGTGTGGTTTGTGCATAAAATAGATAAGATCCCACACTTTTCCCGTGGATATTGTAAGGGGCGACTACACCGATTTTGTAGTCGCCCCCTCTGAACTGAAAATTCTAAATAAACCGATAATTTTTGAGATCCGACACTGCAGAACTATTATCATTGGATCATTTTAGTGTCCCCTACTACCAATTTTTCAGTCAAATAAATATAAGATTTGAATCAAACTCCTCACACTCTAGCCAGACTCGGGGATGCAATAAAGATCTGCTGGATTTTTCTATTCTCCATATCAGTCCCTAAAATTGACATCATAAGTCCGGTAGTTTTCATAAATAATAGTCACAGATTCTTTCAAATAAATTATTTTAATTCAAAAACTAGCTTAATCTAAATAATTCGTCATCTATATCACATTGGGAATGAAAAGGCACGGTTTCATCACAATAAATTATGGACAATATATCAAGCTCTATTACAATAAAAGAGTCAAAATATACATGTCATTTGTAGAATATAATTGTTTAAAATAAATACAGAATCTATTTTTTTTGAAATTATTAGACGATAATATAAAAAAAAATACCTTCAGACGTTTATATTTGCCATAGTAGTTTTTTGATAACGAATTAAAATGTATTTTTTTCTTAATATCGACGATATTTTTAAGTCTTAATCCGATAAATCTTCTTTTTTTTATTCTTTTTTGAGCGGTTGCGATATGAGTAAAAAAACGTGAATAAAATCTTAAAAATATTTTACTAAAAGATATTAAGTATTCAAACCTAAAAGAAATAACAATATTATCAATATCGACAAATCAAAACATTATAGTTTCTTTATTGTAATTAAGATTTGTATTGATATAAAATATTATGTTTCATGAACTGTATGACATGCAATTAAAAATGATGTAGTATCTCGAATTTAGTTGATAATTAATTATCTTTAATTTAACACAGGTACGACTGTACCCAGTGTTGCACTATTAATTATCTTTAAGTACTTTATGTTCAGAAGAATCTCTAAAGTAGATATTGATTCACTTTTAATAGAAAATTGGAATCGTTTTGAAGGTAAGAATGAAAGAAAAAAGGTAATTTTCAAATAATTAAGCGCCAATTTATTTTTACAACAATATTAGGTATTTCATTCAGATACTTATTTCATATTTTATTATCATTAAATCATGAAACGGGGGACTCCAACTTTCTTCTCCCATTTCACACCTTTTTTTTTGTTATTTTTTTTAACCACAAATGAAGCTTTCGATCTTTTCGCAAGTTCAATCTATGTAGCTATCTCTACATTAAAATTTATCAAAATTGGTGCAGCAGCATGAAAATAAAATAAATAACAGAGGTACTTTCGCATTTATGACATAAATTAAACATGATTCATAACATGAGTTACATTATTAAGTAGATAAGTGAAATGAATAAAAATAGATATAAAACAGAAAAATCAAAGATAATAAACTCGAAACAGTACAATTTAGGCGGTCTTATCGCTAAGAAGCGATTCTTCCAGACACCTGTGTTTGATTCCTAACTCTAGTACGGTATGTCCATAGGTTGACAAATTAATGCCTGACATATTGTAATTTATCGAAAAAATAAGCTTAATTGTAAGCAGTTAAGGTTCATACTCTAGTTTACAACACAGGTACAATCTCGTTAGATTATGATCTGACGGTATACTTATTCACATTTACAGTGACATACCTTCATGTAGAGAGCAAATGTGTTTCTATTTATGTATTTAATTTACATTATAGCTGAGTTGCACCATCTTGCTTTCACAGTAACTTTATCCGATGATTTTTGTATGGAGGTTGACAGACTTTTGACGTTTGTTAAAGTTAAAGTAAGATGGTGCAACACAAGCTTAGGTTTTTATTCATTAGGTCACACAAGTAAAATATGGCAACAAAACTGGTTGAGCGGTGACGCGTAAATAAAGAATGTTCTATCTTAGAAATTCAAGACGAGTGTCGCTTTCCATTTGACAATATTGGATGTAGACGAGTATTATTGTAAGTACAGTTCAATAACTGCTCGGTAAGCAGACTCAATACAGTTCATACAGCTAATAACTGCTCGGTAAGTAGGCTAACATACAGTTCAATAGTTCGATTCCCAGATGGGACAATATTTTAAAATTGTATTGGAGAGACCAGTAAGAAGTCAGTTGCAGACTGAAACTTTAATGATGGGCCGAAATAATAGGTATGATACTGTGCTTAATAAATATAGTGTCATATAATATGACATTTATGGCGATATAAGACGTAATAGCAGTTACGACAATCCACATCACTCCTAGTGATTTTTTTTATTTTTTTCCATTAAAAAAAATTCAAAATCGAGGACACTTCGAAAATAAAACCAGCATTTACTTCACAATAATCATTCCCCGTTATCACAGTCTGCTAACTTCTTTCGCAGTTTCCTCATCCTCCTTCTTCCCTTCTAGAACGGCGTAGATTTCTTCCACGGTTCTGCCTTTAGTTTCTGGAACCCATAGAACAGTGTAGAAGGTCCCCAAGAAGCAAATGATGGAAAACATGATGAAAACCCAGTGGATCCCGAAGAGTTTCAGAAGAGGATCGTAGGCCTTTGTTTGGAGGAAGTCGCTGAGAGCTGTCATGGATATGATGAGGGAGGTGGCTGTTCCACGGTACTGGAAATAAGAGATTAGGTATGTCAGTAAAGAAGTTTTTACTTCGATTTCTATCATGAACTTCATGTTCCTTGTAAAAAACTTATTTCGAGCAAAGCAGTAAAGGTTTTAAAATTGTTTCTTAGTGGCCAATAGTTTACACTCAATACTACTGATATTGCCAATCAATTGTCTTAGGCTAGGTTGCACCATCTTACTTTAACTTTGACAAACGTCAAAAATCTGTCAAACTCCATACAAAAAGCACCCGTTATCGTCATAAGTAGTTACCGTTAAAGTTGGGTGGTGCAACTCAGCCTTAGAGGTACTTTTTTGGACCTGTCTAAACGCGTCTGTCCCAACTCCCACCCATAGGTTTTGTCTAGTAATAGAAAACAATGGAATGACGTCAATTGGTCGACTAGTTGATTTAATTTACATAATATCAGTTATTTATTATTTTTAGTGGAAATTATTCTTATAAGTTACCGCAAATACCTAATTGAAAAATATTAATTTTCATTTCAGAGTCATTTTTTAACACTAGAAGTGCCGAAGATTACGACCCCCCTAAAAGCGCCGCTGGGTCAATTTTGTCCCAGCATATATTTTGTAACATTTTTTAGTTTCAGGCATGAATAATAAGGTTAAAACTATTTGTAGTATCCTTAAAAAAAGGTTTATCTATGTAGTTAAATAAATATGTACGTATTTCTTTAAATATAAATGTATTCAATTTTAATTTTGAATTATTAAAAGTCAGATATTTTTGGTTTCATTTAAAAATAGTCACATATTACGTGGTGTTATACTGTATTAAAATAATGAAATTATTACTTTAACTAGTCATTATTTATTATTTTTAAAGGATAAATAGATATCTTACAAATAATAGTGCACATTTTGCACAAAGTTTTTTTGTATGGTTTTTTGTCTCTCTGATGTACTATGTGTTTAGGATTTTTTATAGGTATGGTTATTTTTCTGTTATCTGTACATAAACAGTGAAGTTTTTTACCAATTACAATGAAAAGTATGTACGTTTAATTTTCAAAATTTTATAAGTCACACATTTTAAAAATGTATCAAATCATACAATGTCTGAACTGGCTTATGTCTAGAAGCTACCTTTCTACTAATATTATAAATGTAAAAGTTAATAAATATTAATGAATTGAAGGATGGATGGACTGATGAATGGATAGGAAGGATGAATGGGTGGATATATGCCTGGAACTTGAACTAAGTGAGTATGGATTCATGGTTAGATCGATGGATGTTTTTTCACTCTATTATGCAAAAAATACTAAGCCGATCTTAATAAAACTTTGCAATTTTAATTGAAAAATATTAATTTTCATTTCAGAGTCATTTTTTAACACTAGAAGTGCCGAAGATTACGACCCCCCTAAAAGCGCCGCTGGGTCAATTTTGTCCCAGCATATATTTTGTAACATTTTTTAGTTTCAGGCATGAATAATAAGGTTAAAACTATTTGTAGTATCCTTAAAAAAAGGTTTATCTATGTAGTTAAATAAATATGTACGTATTTCTTTAAATATAAATGTATTCAATTTTAATTTTGAATTATTAAAAGTCAGATATTTTCATTTCAGAGTCATTTTTTAACACTAGAAGTGCCGAAGATTACGACCCCCCTAAAAGCGCCGCTGGGTCAATTTTGTCCCAGCATATATTTTGTAACATTTTTTAGTTTCAGGCATGAATAATAAGGTTAAAACTATTTGTAGTATCCTTAAAAAAAGGTTTATCTATGTAGTTAAATAAATATGTACGTATTTCTTTAAATATAAATGTATTCAATTTTAATTTTGAATTATTAAAAGTCAGATATTTTTGGTTTCATTTAAAAATAGTCACATATTACGTGGTGTTATACTGTATTAAAATAATGAAATTATTACTTTAACTAGTCATTATTTATTATTTTTAAAGGATAAATAGATATCTTACAAATAATAGTGCACATTTTGCACAAAGTTTTTTTGTATGGTTTTTTGTCTCTCTGATGTATTAGGAATTTTTATAGGTATGGTTATTTTTCTGTTATCTGTACATAAACAGTGAAGTTTTTTACCAATTACAATGAAAAGTATGTACGTTTAATTTTCAAAATTTTATAAGTCACACATTTTAAAAATGTATCAAATCATACAATGTCTGAACTGGCTTATGTCTAGAAGCTACCTTCCTACTAATATTATAAATGTAAAAGTTAATAAATATTAATGAATTGAAGGATGGATGGACTGATGAATGGATAGGAAGGATGAATGGGTGGATATATGCCTGGAACTTGAACTAAGTGAGTATGGATTCATGGTTAGATCGATGGATGTTTTTTCACTCTATTATGCAAAAAATACTAAGCCGATCTTAATAAAACTTTGCAATTTTATTGCTAATACTTCAGAATAACATAATATAGGCTATAATTTAGAATAATATTCAGTTATTCGGTCAAAAAGCAACGATAAGTGTCAAGAAATTAGGTCTTTCTATGATAAACTTCATTTCTCACGGGTGAAGTCACAGGCAAAAACTGGTAAAATATATTTACATTTCTGCATTGTCACGAGTCACCTAAACTCTCCTCACCTCTCCACTTTCGTATCTCCTCGAAACAAGGACTCTTCGTCGAATTATTGTGGCAAATACCAGGGTGGGACAAAAATGACCCAGTGGAGCTTCTAGGTAAAACCGATTTTTAAAAATTTTCTATTAATGTTATATTATCAAAAACATTAAAAAATGATATAATTCAATAAATCAGTAAAAGTCAAAAAGTTTCATGGACTTTCGTTGAAAAATAAAAAAGTTAGAGACGATCAAACTCGCGAGTGGGACAAAAATGGGACGGCGGCCTTTCTAGTGTTAAGTTTAAAAATGGGTATAGGTAAGTGCTACAAGTGCTAGACCAAGAAAAAGCTTATTGTACTCGTATGTATTTAAAAAATAATCTCACCTGAAACGAGAACAGCTCGGACATGATGACATACGGCACCGGCTGGTACCCTGACGCGTCAGCAAAGATGCACAGGCACATGGCCATGACCGGCAGCCAGCCCGGCAGGCAGAAGGATGCTGACGTCAGGTAGAACCATAGCCCTAGCGTCAGCATGGACAGCCCCGTGACGAAGGATGTGCAAGCCAGCAGCCACTGGAGACAGGAATATAATATGGTGTAAAAGTATAATAATTTAATAAAGGTACAGCCTAAGGCTAGACGATCTCACCAAAAGAAGAATTGAAATGGAGCGGAAATAAAAAAAAACACATTTTTTAAAAGGGTGGAATTAGCTGAGTGATGGAATGTGAAATGGAACTAGCTAAGAGAGACAACACATAACACAAATACTTGTCGTATTTTACTCAACTTTAGGATGGTATTTAGTCTAGATGTAAAGAAAGTGGCCAACCTATCTGCCAATTAACCTAAGACTAGGCGGCAATAAACTTATGACCTCCCTCCAATGCGCAGAAAAGTTTGTGATAAGTTCAACTCAATGTGATCGCAATAATTAGCCGTGCATACGTTTCTCAACTTTGGTGATTACCATCAAAGCTCTAAATCCATTAAGCGACAAGCACTACTGAAAATAAATGCTCACCTTTCTTCCAGTTTGCTCCACAATACAACTGGCCACAATGGACCCCAGCAGTTGCAGAGCCCCCACCACTATGGTCTGCTTGTTCGGACTCAGCTTCAGGCTGGTGGTCTCAGCTGCCTTCTCGAAGATGGATCCCGCGTACGTGAGTACCACCAGGTATCCGCACGTCTCTTGGGACAGCATCACGTTGACTGCTATCCGGAACGCTTTGAAACGCGTTTTGTCTTGCACTGAAACGTAGAGACGATTATAAGAATGGAGGTATGGTTCTGACCAATTTTCAATTAGGCATCCCTCAGGGCTTATTACTGGGGTCCTTACTCTTTAAAATTTTTACAACTAGCTGTGCATGTGTGTATATATTTTTATAAAAATCTGTCGAATTCCACAAAAAAACAACGGTTATCGTTATAGTTACGGTTAAAGTTAGATGGTGCAATTCAGCCTAAGTACATTCATTGCTTATTATAGACTCTACTTTATTTAAAAAAAACATGGTCTGAATCTAAATTCATTTTAAAGTTACGGTCGACTTATTTACACCCTGTATAGAGTAGTTGCGTAAAGCTCTTTGCTTCCTACCTAAACTGGTTGGTGAAGTTCGTAAATAGAAACAAACACGAAAGCTAGAAATAGATGGTAGAGCTAAACCTGTTTAATACGAGTATTTATCCCAGTGTTCTTTTCCATAGATACACCTGTTATGGATTTATAATAACCATCTTACCTAAGTCTGTCGCCATAGCAACAATGTTAACAGCATTGTTGTGTTCCGGCAGTTAGAGGTAAGATAGCCAGTTCCTCTGTGGTTGAGGGTTCCGGGTGAAGCTCGCTTCCACCTGATCATCACTTATGTGAGGTGAGATACAGGCCAAGAGCTTCCCCGTTGGGGATATAAAAATCTATATTTTACTTTATTTTGTACCAGTAACGTCTTCTATGCACTTTGTAGCATCGTGCTTGATTTAATATTGACTACTGTGAGTCTCACACAACAACAGCATGTTCAGAAAGTACGAGGCTTTTATCGTGTGTCAATAACGTCTTCTATGCACTTTTGTAGCACAAAACCTAACTGATATACAAACCTACTTATCAAAATGACCACTGTGAGTCTCACGCAACAACAGCATGTTTCAGAAAGTACGTTTGAGGGGTATTTACCCCTAATTGAAATGTTGTGCTTTTTGATATCAAATTATAATGATATCAAATTGGGGATAAGTATATAAATAAGTCTAATGCTAAAATTTTTCCTCCAACACGCGGCACAGATCCTGAGCGCTTGGCTTATTTAATTCGTCTTTGTGACAATACTTAGTTGTATTGATAAATAAAGTATCTTTTCTTAAAGTAGAAACAGCATCAAATCATTCTGCTCATGTTTCCTCCACCATTAGAAATCTATACTTAGGCTGAGTTGCACAATCTTACTTTAACTTTGATAAACGTCAAAAATGTGTCAAACTCCATACAAAAAGCACCGGTTATCGTTATTGTTACGGTAAAGTTAGGTGGTGCAACTTAGCCTTAATGTTACTATTTAACAACCTAAACATACCCTTTTCAAATGAAAATAAATCATAATCATTATTATCATCATCATTATACTATCTACAACTATACCCTGTATTAAAGTGTAGACGCAGACGGTTTTTTCTAGAACATCTGTCTAGTGTCGACCGGTTCGAACAGACAAAGTCAATTAAATTGGCTGGAGATGAACAACAAAAACAAAAATATTTTCTGACCTTGAGGGCGACCCGTTATCTAGGTGATTAGTATTAAAATTAATTCAAAATAGCTGTCTGACTAGTGCTATATTCAGTTCAACCAATAGACCAAATACGTCTACAAGGTGACGATCTCAGGTAGCAGGAAGGCGCTGGTGGCAGGCCGCTACCAACTGCTCACTATGGAAATATCATTGGGGGAGGCCTATGTTCAGCAGTGGACATCCTATGGCTGAATAGACGAAAGCTGGACAAAGACCTCCCCAAAAGATTTTCACAACCATCGATCTTCTCTGCCCGCATCCAGGTTCTTCCCACGACTTTAGCCAGATCGTCGGTCCACCGGGAACAGTTAGCTACCTACATAAATGGAGTTTAAAATTGTCTATTTTGCTATGTATGACGCGCTAAGCGAGACAAGTCACATGTTAAGTTACCTATTGGGGCAAGTTTCCTTAAATTTAACCACGAGCAGGTGTGTTACCTACCTAAGGGGAAGACCTGTATATTGTAGTCGGTACTTTTTATTTGCTTTGGTAAAAGTCATGAGTAAAAGACACCTCATTAAATGATTAAACAGTTAAAAGATGTGTCATAAATTGTGTCATAGAATATTCTACGATTGTTTTAGTAACTTTTAAATCCAGTTATGAAATCCAAGTAGTGCACATTTAGTAGTTAAATCTTATTCTGGCACTTAAAGCACACATAATATACAGGAAATATTTAAAGAGATAACCTCCTTAGGTAACTGTAGGAACAGAACTGTCAGTGCTTCTTAACTTTAAGGGGTATTGTGAATTATGAACCTAAGTCAAAAGAAATAATAATAAGAATCCATAAAATAAAGACCTAACCATCACCATTATAAGCCATGTCATAATTATTATTATTTTATGCTTGTAACGCCTCACAAAGTCTGACACCAGGTATTCGACCTCATTTGCACATATAAAAAAAATAAAAAAGGTTGTCAGAAATTGGCGCGAAAAATGACATCGCCATCGACGATTTTGAAGAATCGCTGCAGATAAATCATTCGAATATAAAAATATCCAATTATCTTGAACATCCACATTCAAACAGGTTCGAAGTGAAACCTCGTTATGCGTTTGTTTATTAGCGAGAATTTATTTATGTCGACAGGACTGGATATTATACCGTTGGTTGGACCATAACTCAAATTGATCAGACAGCCCAATCACACGGTGCGACGACGCGTGCAACGCGATGCGACGATGTATTATGGATGCTTGAATTGCAATTGACATGCACCTTCGCCTGATTAATTTTATTTTCACGAAATATTTTGTTTGGCGAAAAGTTACTAAAATCAAATATGGTGCCACGTCCTCATCGGACTATTGGTAAAGACGATCACATAAATCTAAATCCTAAGGTTCTTAAAGAGAGTTTTAATAATAGCGGCTATTTAGTAACAATAATGTAGAGCAGGGTTGGCGAACCAATGGCACGCGTGCCAATGATGGCACGCCACCAATCACAAATTCAGTAATTCAATAGTAAATAATGTGTTTTGATTATGAGCTATCGTATTTGCCGTCATCAGTTAGTGCCACTGTAGAGTAAGGTCGTGTCACTCACCAGTGGTGCCACTTGATAGCATTAGATGTTAATTTAATGGCACGTGTCTATGCTATGACTACTTCAATTTTTTTTTTAAATAGTGGCACGTTCAAACTTAAAGGTTCGCCATCCCTGGTGTAGAGTATTATGAGCTGCTGACTGTACATTTAAATTAAGAACGATGTTTGTACTAAAAATTATTCATAGATTTTTCTGGATAATATTATAGGTCACTTGCTGACTGTTTTATTTATTCTGTGGGTTTATACAAGGGTTATCTAAAGGAAAAGTATTTAACTGTTAATTTATAAAACAGGTAGAAGAAAACGAGAAATTAGTTCAATAGATCAGATACGCGGTCATAATACGAAGTTCGAAGTTCTTAGAAATAAAAAAAAAATCAGCAATATCCTACTTGTATTTTATTCTGTGGCAATATAGTCCCAGCACTACTTTTTAAACTTTTTAGAAATATTGCCGATTACAGCCGATTATGTTACCTCTTACAAAACAATGTAAAATGTAACGTAGGTATTGTAAAATCAATGAATTAAACCAACGAATGGAGAAAGTGAAATGAGGATAATTTTACGCAGCCAGGTGTAGAATTTTAGATCCGGAAAATCCCAATAGTTTCAGGGATTTCTTAATGGTTTCTAGCGATTTCATATTAACTCGTAAAGGATGGGATAGTCGTTTTTTATGGTTCATTCGACAAGGCTTTCGGTCTTAATGTGACTCAAGTTGATTTCCTAACCAAACCGGGTATAACTTCATTACAAGATTATTTGAAACACGCCTTTCTGACCGTGAGGTAACAATTATAAGATCGTTTCATCCACGAAGACGCGCCCCTCCATTCTTCCGTTGATGTCAATGTTTGATGTTATCGGTACACGCTAAATTATCCATGAGAGCACACGCACACTACAATAATGACGCTCGGATTGCTCGAATCAAACTCCTCGCACCCCGCGCTTCCCTCGACCAAAAATTGGTGGGGCGCGCCTTCGTGGATGAATCGATCTGTTCCACTAAACCTTTATAAAACCCTTAATGAGCCAATAGCCCAAACCCGAATCCGTGTCAGATTGGCCGATTCCCGATGTATTCGATGTTGACTGCATAAAAAAGTGACATTATGTATGACGGATTGTACAGCGCCCCTAGCGGAAACTTTCAAGAACTAAAATCTTCATATTTTATATTTTTTTAACACGCTCGCTTGTGACGACGTGTGACGTAAACTCACACTACGCCCCCTGATTGGCTTTTCATGTACCTAACTCCCTATATGAACCACATAATCGTCACTCACCTAGGCTCTTAAAGCTGGCATGCGCCATGGACTTAGTGTACTCCTCTTCTCTCTCCAACTCCTGGATGGCTTCTTCTAAGTTCTTATCATCGGTGGTGGTGTTGCGTAACCACGCCAACGCTGTTCTGGCTTCCTGAAAACGGATAAATTGTAAAATGACTAAAAGCATGACTCAGAAGTATAGAGATAATAGAGAGATGTTAACTAATGCGCTGAGTTCGAAACTCAGTGTCGCATTAGAAATTCACACACACACAAAGTAATTAAAATATGTGCTCATTATCCACTGCGGTATCGTACTCAACGTTCTAATAATCTCTAGTACTACGTAAGCAATGTAAACTGTTTACATTATGACGATGATGTCGCTGCTGTCATCATTGCTTTCACGAGCAATGTGTTCTGTTTTTGGGCATATTGCTACGGCACTGGCCACGCCCCATTGTCACATCTCCTTTTAGTTTCTGTGATTTGTGCTCAGAAGTAAATACTAACTGCAAATGACCATAAGTCATCGGTCGATGACACCAGGAAAGGAAAGAAACTGGTTGCATTTGGTAAAAAACAAATGCAGTGCGAGGGCATAAACCCGGCTGGTTTTATTCGAAAATAATATACGTAGCATAAGATTGTGAAGGTACAAACAGGGTATTACAGTCATCAACTCATGAGATTACATATTTTTGTTGCAAAATCACACTTAATAAAATTACATTATGATATCACAACGTTTAGCTTAATTAATGTGCTGTCGGAACACGATGAACTGACCCTAAGGCTAAATTGCACCATCTAACTTTAACGGTAACTATAACGATAACCGGTGGTTTTTGTACGGGGTTTAACAGATTTTTGACGTTTGTTAAAATTAAAGTAAGATGGTGCAACCCAGCCTAATTATTATTATTGTAACGGTACAAAATTATGAGGTAAAAAAGAAAAAAATATAATCATGCAAATGTTTCCTTATGGCTTATGTAATTGTATTAGGTATGAGCGGTGTTTTTCATTGATATCATTTGTTTTAAGGAAAGAAATAGTTTAGCTAAAATCCTGCTGATATCCGTAAAAACTGTGTCAACCGAGGGCTTATGAGTTGGTTGAGTAAGAAGTTATATTACTAGCTTTACAATTATTATCCATTAATAAGGAACTACATTCCTTCAATTTTATTGCACTTTCAAAATAATATTTTGCAGATCAAAATTGGGACATAATTTGAATGAAACTGTGCACAGCTAAAAGTATGCACAGTATTGCACAGTTTTATCTAAATCACAGCGCACAGGTCCATAAGCATCTCTGCTTGACCTGTGCGCTGTGATTTAACAAAATAACTGTAGAAAGAATATTCTCACATTCACATGGTCATGTCTCTACTTTCACGTTTCAAAATTCCCATACCTTTAATTTCCCCTGCTTGATCAAGAACACAGGCGTCTCGGGCATGGCCATAAACGCCAGCAGATGGAGCACAGGTACCGCCGTGCACAGCCACATGACCGACGCGAAGGGCATCAGGTCACCGCACAGGTATATCACGAGGTAGCCCAGGTTCTGTGCAAGGATGAAGAGGGAGCCGAGCGCGCCGCGGACGTTGTCGGACGCGATCTAGTAGAGAGAGAATAAATAATTAAAATTCTTGGACATTATACAAACTAAGCAAAGCTTGTGCGTCTTCCAGTGACATGGTCCACTTTTAGCTTTAGCTTTTAGCACGTCACGAGCCAAGATGCTGTTCTGGATTACATTTTTAAATATTTTTTCTTCTAGTAACTCGGCCTTCAATGTTTTTATTAATTTAACACCAACATCAACAAAAATCTACTCTAGAATCTAGTGGGCCCAGTTGCTGAAAGAAAAAATATTTAAAAGTTCAATCCAGTGCTTTGCCCGTGGACCAAGCTAAAAGTGGGCCAAGTCACAGGAAGACTCGCTTCTACTATGGGTACCTACCAGATAACGGATATAATGAACATTATAATCCTTTTGTAAATACAGGTCAGGTACTTTACTATAGGTAAGTGCTACATGAAACCTTTTTTCAGCATTTAAGTTCTTTGGCCCAATAGTAGAAGTTCATCAGTGCGTATCAATCATTGTTCGGTCTTGATTAACAAAAAGATGCAATAGGATGGAAAAAATCAATTTCCATTTCAGTCCATTACAGATTCCAGAGGCAATCATTGATTACTTTAGTTCATCATCGGATACAATAAAACCTTCCGACAGCAAAATTGAATCGATTAGTGTTAAAAGAGATTCGACTTTAGGATTTTTTGTGGATGTTCCCGCGTCAGTACCAAAAGATAAGAAAAACGGTGAGCGTATACATAAGCAAAAGTGTTTAAACGCGGAAAGTGGTTAACCCTCAGAAATAATAAGACTCCCATTACTAATTTTAATGCTCTATTTCACTATGTCTAGCTCCAAGCTTCAGCTCCAGCAAGGATATTTTAAACTTGTTTCAATAGCAAGACTTCTTTAGCTTTGTATCAAGAGCAGTTCCAGTACCTACTGATTGAGGCAGCTGTTGTCTTAAAAACTTTAACAATTGGCTGTATTATGGTCGCGGGAAGCATATCGCTGAGATCTTTGTCCAGCAGTGACCTTAGGCTGAGTAGAGATGATAAGATGACCCACCTCTTTCAGGTACAAAGGTGTGACGACGTAGCACGTGGCGCACGCGAAGCCGGCCACGACACGTGACGCGATCAGCGCCCACGGCCGCAGCGAGAACAGCGTGATGGACCAGCTCATCTGGAACACAGAACACCTGTTAATATAAGAGCAAAAGCATGCGATGCGTTGCGGCGGCGATGCGATGCGTTGCGGCGGCGGTGCGACGCCGGAGTGGTGCCGCTGCGTCGTCACATGGAAATATCTGTGGCGGGCACATGATTGAGCGATGCGGCGCCGCAAGGAATCGTGTACTGGCTCTGACACTATTATTATCATCATCAAAACGGGACTATTCCCACCTCTCGTTCCCACCGCCGCAACTCCTGTGTAGCCAGGATCTACAGCTCGACCGCCAATAAAAACCCAACCAGTGAAGGTCAAGTTTGGCCCGGGGGAAAGTTATCATCATCATCAGTTCATAAAGTCTTATTTGCAGGAGATATTCTTTAATGCACAAAGGCAAATGGAGTATTTGGCCTACACTCCCCGCGTTAGCTGAAATGGAAAAGGAAGCCAGAAGTTCAAATTTGTGTTCAAGTTCAAACCTGTCCTTCTTAGTCGAAACGACACGGCAATTTTTTTTGTTGGATTGGTAGCTTAGGCAAACAATACGTTTATTAAACTAAGGCTTCAACCACATCAACGCGAGCAGATCGCCATTGCCGGCGCTATGGTGTGACTGTGGTTGAAGCATAAGAAAAACTTTCATGACAAATTAATATTGTACGATACAAAATACTTGAAACGAATCTAAATGCTTCATAACGTTAATTATTTCAATTGGAAAAGCCCAGAGTGGCGTTCCTGGGGGGTGGCCTGTGTCCAGTACAGTACCTCTAGTAGGAAAAACTTTCGAGTTCGTTTCGTTGCGTATTCAAAGTGTCATCGAAAAATTTTGTATGAAAAATTAAACAGCGCCCCCTATATTATAGCCGCCCTAGGGGGCGCTGTTTAATTTTTCATACAAAATTTTTCGATGACACTTTGAATACGCAACGAAACGAACTCGAAAGTTTTTCGTACTAGAGGTACAGGACTTCTAGAGCACTTAAGATTATTGCAGATAACCAAGAATGCTTTGAATTGCTTTTAAATGTATGTAATAAATACGTCAAGTATCATCTACAGATTGATATCATTGCACGTTGGCTGACATGAGTCTAGTTTAAACCACTGAAGAAGGTTCTTAAGCATTTGTTTTTTAATGGAACAATGTTATTACTATACCTGTGATTGAACTGCATTACTTATTCAAGTATAAATTATCTTTAACAGTACTTAATTAAAGAATTTATTTATTTATTTATTATGTACTTAATTACAATAATTATGAAAAATTACAGAGGTGAAGTTTGTAATTTTGTGAGATTATACGAAGTCTCTATTTCTGTAGTTTTGAATTCTTTCACCAGAAAAAATCCATCTACCTATCTACCTACATTATTCCTGAGTGACAAACGTTCAGTTCTATTTGGAACAGCTCTTTTTAACCGAAAAGTATGTAACAGCAGAACTAGTTTTCGAAAAGTGTTATAATTATACTCTATTTGCTCTTTCAGGTTCAGATTAACAAAATGTCATTTTCTTCAATTTTAGGTATCTCTATACCAAAAATCAAAACTGGTTCAGAATTGTAGCAACGTAAAAGACACCGAGTTGCTCTCGTATTTGCTAAAGAGAAATTGAAACAATTTTCCCCGTTGCAGCAATGGCTAAACCTAACAATTTAAACGAGCATGGGTATTAGTTCCAAGCTGTTCTACTTTGTGGATGCTAAACAATTACTGTAGTTGAAGCAATTAAGAAGGTGGTCGCGACCGCTCGGTGCCGCAGCAGGACGGGTTTGGTGCGGCCCACGGCGGTATGGCCTGGCAGGAAGTAAGAGCCAAAGCACACGATGCGTTTAAGGTTGTCAGGTGTCCGGCTTTAGCCGGACTTGTTTGGCTTTTTAGGGACTTGTCCGGCCTGTCCTGCTTTTGTTAGGCTTTTAATGTGGCTGCCGCACCAGTCGAAACTTGAGCTACAGAATAATGTTCATTGGAAAGTAGGTAGGTACTCATTCATGAGCTATGACGTTAATCGGCTTTTAGGGTCAAATGTCCGGCCAAATGAAGCACAGATTCAGGCTTTTATGTTTTTGGACCCGGTAACCCTAGATGACGCAGCGACACCGCTGCGGCGGTGCGGCGTCGGACAGCTTTGGCTCTAAGCATGTCAAGCTACTTTACTGCTACTGGGTTGTCGTGTGTCATGGCGAGAATTTTTTTTTTTTAATTCGGCGGTTCGGTCAAACCAGTGGTATCACACGCGATCAGCCGGCGTGCAGAGATGCCGACCAATGTATTTAAGTCTGATCGCCATCGCTGCACGCGGCTGATCGCGTGTGATCGCGTTGGTTTGGCTGAACCTTTAGGTAGTGCTACTTTTACTACCTATGCTTTCGTATGCATGTATCTTGAAATGGCAAGAAAATTGGTTGAAAATTGTGGATTTGCTTTGTAAAGTGTGAAAGTAGTACCATATTAGATTACTTGGATCTTCTAAGCATTTGAATTAATAAACTCACAGCTTGGCTTAACTATTGAATCCAGTTCTAAATGTTTCAAAAACAATTTTTTTCTCAGAAATTTTGTTTTCCTAGAAAAAAATATTGCATTTGTTAATTTTAGTTTGAACAGCTTGTGTAAGCCATAAGTCATCCGCGCCAGGTGCCAATTAAATTCTTAACAGTGTAGTATTAATATAGGATCCCTACAAAAATCAAAAAGAGAGAACCTTAACGAGTATGCTAAGGAGGGGCAAGTAACATAAACCTACCTTTTTATAGGTATTTATTTGTATACAATAATGTTTCAAACTCCTGCGACATGCAAAAAAACTTACCGCAAGGAACAGTGACGTCAATATCGTGAAGCTCTTCCGCCCGAAGCGGTCGATGAGGTTCCCCATGTGGAATCCGCAGAAGATAGGCGGCAGGAAGGTAAGGGCAGCCATCCAGGACAGGGTCTCGTCGGAGACCGGCTCCGGCGCCGGGCCCAACGGGTCCTGCAGGATCGGCGTCATGGGAGACTGCCAGCCGAGCAGCATCCCGAAGTTTAATACTGGTATTGTGACTGTGAAGGAAATATTTTAGGTAAGAACAATGATACACAGCCTTCATTACCTGTATTACTAGGTAGTCCACTTAGAGCACCCACCCAAATAGCACCAGGCCTAGTCCACATGGAGCACCTATCGATATCGCTACTTATTCGAATTCAAATTTACATTTTTGTCCACAAGAGAGAGAACAAAATATCGATGCTCTTGTGCTACTTGTGCGGGTGAGAGCACCAAGAACAGAAAAAACTTAGAGAAGTGGAATGGGGACTACTTCGATACTATAAAATCAAATCAAATCAGTTCATTTGCGTGAAAAGTGGTCTACAAGTTGTTGTACACAATATTAAATTACAAAATTATAATAACCACCTTATTGGCATGCGAAGCAAGGGATTTCTACCCCTAAAGAGGACAGATAACCTTAGAATGACCTGTCAATGAAATCGAACCCGGCGCATTTGAGTCTGAGACAGATGGTTTTACCACTAAGATTATCGTGTTAGGTTTGCCATTTTTCTTTACTCATGATCGTAAAGAATCTATCGAACTCTAATGTAACCATTAAAGTTATTAGTTACGATTCCATTGTTTAAATAATGAAAGCCTATGCCGTGAGAAAGGGTTAGACTGCTCATGATTCTACGATTCATCTACAACTAGCAACAATTATCTCGTCAATAAACTATAGCAGATCCCATTACAATAGATAATAATAACCTTCAAGTATGCCATTGTATTGTAATGCTGATAGACGCTCAATGAACGTCTGGGCGTTAGTCCATTATCACACGAGTCTCGCATAATATTGAAGATTTACTCAAAGATTCGTCAAATTATGTTAAGCTCACAAAAGTGAGTTCATCATCAAGGTCATTATGTGCCTCTTTCACGATTTCTTCTAAAGTTCTGAGTAGTTACTTCCTGATTCTCGAAAGATTGCAAATTAAAAATCACTGTTTACATGTGAGCTAAAAAAACTCCCGGTAGTCAGTTACCTTTTAGATTAATATGGCGTCATACTTTAGAAATGCAGGCAATTTTGAAATTATTTAGCCGTTCAAAAACATAGCGTATTTAAACTTATGTATTTTCCTGTTAAACGTTACACTTATCACACCATCAGTATTTGGGGCTTCCTTTCGGCGAAAGCCATAGAAATGAGGTCACTAATTTAAAGGTTCGGCACTTCGGCAGAGCTAGGTGGGGTAGCTAGCTACTTGAGATAAAGTTGCAGATCTTGAATAAGTATACATACTTAGGAGTTGTAAAGGTAACAGTAGCTGAGATGAGTTACTCAAAACACTAGACTAGATTGAATCGTGTTTTGGTTTTGAGGTTTGTTCTTTAGTCATCTTACAATCAAATCTTGAGTCTGAGGCAAGGGAAACGCGCACTTCCCCTCATAAATCGCTCCATGCATGTTGATAAGCACCGAATTTACAGCCGCATTAATTTCTGATTGGCTACTCCTACACTGTTTGCAAACTAAAGGCTTATCAGGGTTTTATGTCTGCTTTTGATACGGCTACATGTTAGAAACAATTTTTTTTTTTTTTTTTTTTTTTTTTTTTTTTTTTTTTTTTTTTTTTTTTTTTTTTTTATTGGCTCGCACGGCTTGTGCATTTGCCACGACAAAGGTAGGGAAACGAAATGTAGGAAATATCGGAATTTCGGAAATTAAAAAGGATAGGATCAATATAGGTAGGTAGGTAGATGTAATAAGATATTAAAAATATAATATAAAACATATATGAGGTACAAAGACTAAACCTTTATATCATTTTTAGATAGGAATAAGGAGATACATTTATAAATATCTTGATCGTTTGTGCATAAAAGGGTATTAATACAAGTGGGAAAAGGGACACGGAGGGTTAACAATGAGGACATAAAAAAGGAGCGATCATACTTCGGACAGGAAAACAGGATGTGATTAATATCACCTACTTCAGAGCCACAATCGCATAAATTACTATCAATGATTTTAAGTCTGGCTAAATGTGCTGGCGTACACGTATGCCCTAACCGCATGCGAATGAGAATAGAGGTGGCTGTCTTATCGAGCGTCGTTCTGAAAAACCAAGGTTTAACCGGGATATTGGGCTGTATACTCTTATAATGCTTCCCTTTAACCAGGTCACTACTGTTCCATTCACCTTCCCAAGCTTTACGAAGATAGGATTTAGGAAGGGAAGCTAAATCATGAGAGAAGTTTTTATATGGGAAAATATCTCCACACTGTACTGCCTCATTTGCCATTTTATCTGCTATTTCGTTACCGGGAATATTACTGTGAGAGGGGATCCAGGCAAAAATTACCTGAAAACCATTCAGTCGGCATTTGTTAAGTAATATTCTACTATCAATAATTATTGGAAAATTAATATTAGCTTTAAAAGGGAATTTAGCAAAAGCTTGTAATGCACTTTTTGAGTCTGAAAAAATTATGGACTTTTTAAGTTTCATGAGTAATATATATTCTAATGATTTGTATAAACCATAGCATTCACCCGTAAATACTGACGTCTCAGGGGGGAACATCTTTTTTTGATTTATTTTGTACTGATAATGAAAGACTCCTACGCCCACGTTACCATCAGGTGAATGTTTCGAAGCGTCACAATAAATATGGTGCCAATCATGCCAGCCATTAGATTCTAAAACAAGGTTAAAAGTAGAGAAAGCAGAACTACCATATTTTGGAATATCCAAGTCGAAATAAATGTCAGGGGAGAGAATTAGGGATTCATAATTGGAGCAGAACAGAGGCATGTATGCAGATCTATGGCTAGGAGCTTGTAATGAAATATATTTACGAAAACTTATGACAAGGCACGGTGTAGTTTTATGAGTCCAATAAGGTACAGAGTCTACATATTCTGACAAATCTTGCAACTTAGAATAGAGAGGATGATTAAGAAATTGAAATGCACGAAATAGATATTTATCACTTAAAAATTGCCTTCGAAGACTAAGGGGAGGCTCAACACATTCAATTTGGACCGCATTATTAGGACTAGACCGCATTGCACCAGTGACAATACGAAGGGCTTTAGATTGAACAGTGTCAAGTTTGCGCAAACCCACAATGCTACAAGGTTCCAAAAAGAAAGACCCATAATCTAGAACACTTCGAATAATAGCGTTATACACAAGTTTCAGACTATAAGGATGTGCACCCCACCAAACTCCCGATAAGCATCTTAAGATATTCAAAAGCTTTTCACACCTAGCTAGTATATAGTACAAATGAGGTAAACCGGTTAACTTAGAGTCGAGGATTAAACCTAAAAACTTAGCCTCATTATGAACAGGTATAGCCGAATTATCATAATACACAGAAATAGGCGGTGGACATCGCATCCTGGAGAATAGAACTATTGAACTCTTATTTACTGACAGACTTAAGCCATTTTTATCTAGCCATGTCTTTAAAACGTTTAGAGTGGTAGACAAAGACTCACACAAATTTTGAATGTTTGAACCAGTAATATACATAACAAGATCGTCTGCATACTGTAAAATATTAACTTTGTTATGTAAAGATGATTCTAAATCATATGAGTAAATATTAAATAATAAAGGACTTAAAACTGATCCTTGAGGTAAGCCTCGCCAGATTGATCTAGTTCTTGTCGATTCGCCACTTGAAACGTTAATGAATCGCTCAGATAATATGTTCATAATGAAATTTACTAATATTATAGGAACATTAAGCAAAATAAGTTTATTTTTAAGAATAGGTAATAACACATTATCATAAGCTGCTGTTATGTCTAAAAAGGCTGCAAGTAGAGATTTATTCATAGAAAATGCTAGGCGGATATCACAGGTGAAAATTCCCAAACTGTCAGAGGTACTCCTTCCTTTTCTGAACCCATATTGAGTATCGCTTAATAACCCTTTGCTCTCAATGAACCATTCCAGCCTATTTTTAATCAAGTGCTCTGCTACTTTAATAAGAACTGATGAGAGAGCAATAGGTCTATATGAGGCGGCATCATCCGAGGGTTTATTAGGCTTTAGGATTGGAATAATGTCCTGAGACTTCCAGGATGGAGGAACAAAGCCATTAATCATGATAGAATTAATAAGGGTTAAGTAGTATAACAGACTGGTATCGCTTAAGTGAGAGAGAAAAGAATACGGAATGCCATCACTACCGGGAGACGAATCTTTGACAGATGAAAGAATACCTTTAAGTTCGTCAAGATCAAATGGGGCTGAAAGACCAGTTCTAAAAGATGAGGGTGAGGTAACAGGAAGTATGTTATATAAAGGTACAGAAGGAGGGGCCAACTTATCTAAAAAGTTTTCTGTTACTTGTTCTGGGAGATGAGAAGAAGTGGAATTTTTGAAAGCAGATCTGAATCTTCTTATATTTGTCCATACCATTGAAGGAGGAGTGTTAGGAGAGATCGAAGAACAGAAATTTCGCCAACCTTCCCACTTTTTACGTTTTAATAATTTACGAGTACTGGTTATGGCTTCAGATAGTAAGTTATAGTTCTGATCAGTAGTGTTTTCACTGTATGTTTTCTCAGCCTCTTTTCTTTTTTTAATGGCAGCTGTGCAATCATTATCCCACCATGGGGGAGAAGGGATTTTACTGGAGTGATGGCCTTTCACTGGAAACACCTCTTCTGCAGTCTCCAACAGAAGGGTGGCCAGTGCCTCCGCACATATCGACTGGTTCCTCTCCCCCACTACAGGGAGGGAAGCAATGCTTTGCTCAACTTTCTCTTTGTACAATTGCCAGTTAACATTGCCTAATTTAAATTTCATGCGAGGTGGGCGCCTAAAAGTAGATTTGTTAGGTACAGATGGAAACGTTATGAATATGGGGAAGTGATCACTACCATAAGAAGAAGTAAGTGTAGTCCAAGTCAAAGATGATGCTAAACTAGGTGAACATATAGAAATATCTGGGGCACTCACACCCTCATGAGGTGGAGTTCTTCTTGTTGGGAGGCCAGAGTTAAGAATACATAAGTTTTCGGAGTCAATTAAATCTAAAATCCTACTGCCATAATAATTAGAATTAGAACTCCCCCATGCCTGGTGCTGAGCATTAAAATCCCCAAGTATAATTATGGGTTTAGGAAAACTATGTATTAAATTATCTACTTCATCATAAATTAAGGATGATGGGTGAGGGATATATATAGATACATAAGTAATATTATTTATACTAACAGCTACAATAGAGAAATCAGCATTATGACGAGGAATTTGGATAATAGAAAAAGTGAGAGAGTCATGGATGAGCAGTGCTACACCACCATAATTATCCGCTCTGTCTTCTCTAACTGTAGAGAATCCAGAGACTTTAAATAAGGAGTCTGGCCGAAGCCACGTCTCCTGAAGAGCAAATATAGAAGACTTAAACTTATTAATTAAAAACAGTAAATCGCTTTTCTTGTTAGTAATACTACGGCAGTTCCACTGTATTATGGACAACTGGTCCATTATTACAGTTAATTACTTCTGAAGTATTCTTATTAGGAAGGGCAACGTTGGACGGTGAGGTAAAATAATTAGACTGGGACAAGGAATGAAGAAGAGTAATAAGCAGTTCTTTAATTGACATNAGTAAGGAAATCAGAATGGACAAAAATAATTCGAAGAGCACGGCTAGATGATTTATGGAAACCATCGAAGAGAAGCCTAATTTGCTCAATTCACTTTGAGGAGCAATATTTTTATGAGACGATAGGTGGTTTTACAAGACTAAACAAAAAAGCTGTTCCAAGTAGGGTATGTGTATCATTATGTTCTGGCATCCTTTTTTAAGGGTTTTAAGGGTTGTATGATTGTTAGAGAAAATTATAATAGTTCGTTCTTCGCAGATAGATGCCAGTAATTTCATAAAAAAATAATGTTCTGTTACAGAATTTGGCTTTACCCCCAGAAACGTCCGAGACACCTGTTGGAATATCAGTACCTTCANTTCTTTAATTGACATATCGGACAAAGAATCATTTTTGCTATCGTTTACAAGAATGCTTTGGGATGGGGAAAAAGGAGAATTCAAATCTTTAATCAGGGCCTCATGACTGGCCCGATCATATCCTTTATTAGATTTGGGAGGATCTTTTGGTTTTAAAAATATGGTCTTTTTGTATGAACTACTGGTGCTCATGTTATTTTTACTAAATCCAATATTCCTTTTATTTGGGCTTGGTGGAGGTGGAGAAGTTAATACATCCGCATAAGATTTGGTAGCCGGAGGGTGTAATTTCATTGCTTCAGCATAAGTCAAACATTCTTTTGCCATAGTTTCTTTAATATTTCGCTGTCTCAGAAACTCTGGACACTTTTTGCTGGTAGCAAAATGCGAACCAGAACATAAACAACACACAAGGTCATCTTCATGAACAGAACAGTTATCCCCGGAATGACTTTGACCGCACCTGAAGCAACGAGGAGTCGACCTACATTGACTTTTGATATGACCGTACCTGCAGCACTGAAAGCATTGAATGGTGGGGAATATGTACAACTCCACCGGTAAAGAAGTGAAGCACATAAATATTCTTTTGGGTAAAACTTGTCCGTCAAAGGTAACAACTACAGTTTCAATTGGTACAAATTCTGATTTACCATTGTTCACATTTTTCCTTTTTAAACGCCTAACTTTCAGAATGTTCCCACATCCAATTGGAACAGACATGTTCTCAATGATTTCCTCATCGGACCAATCTAAGGGTACCCCTCGGACAACCCCCATACGAGTAACATTAGTAACCGGGATGAACGCTTTGTACTTATTTAGAGTTAATAACTTGTTAGTCAAAAATGCATTGGCAGCTTCATGAGTTGAGAAAGATACAGACAATCTATTCCTACCAATTTTTTTCAGGCTTCCATTAATAACATTATGGATTGAATTCTTTTTTAAAAAATGGCCAAATGACACAGGGTGTACATTAACATTATCATTGGGAGAAGTTATCTCTCTTTGCACGTGTATTATGTATGGTGACAAATCCGACGCTAGATATGACTGCCTACCAACAGGTTGTCGTAAAAGATTCTCTTCAGAAACACTAGCTGAATTTGGTACTGAAGGGTTGATATTCAAAGTAGAATCCAAAGCGGATTTAGAATTTAGAAGTGACTTGTCCGATGAACTTTCGCATTGACAATCGTTTTCATTTATCACGCCTTGTTTATTATGGTGCCTCCTTTTTTTATTGCAATGTTTACACAGTTTTCGGGGAGCATGAGTTCGTTTTCGTTTGCTACTAACATTGCATTCAGAACCGTCCGTATCCACAAAAGAGCTTTCGCTTACCAAGTTTACATTATCAGACGAGATAGTTACAAAGTTAGAAGCCTGGGGGATGCCTCCCCCAGGATCATCAGAGACGTCCATCGGACCAATTAAGAAAAGAACAACTTACCAGTTGCCCGATGAAAAAGTACACAAATTATAAAATAAATACAATAATACACTTAAAACAAATACACTACACTACTTTACTGATCCTATTTAGCTATTAATTATAACAAAAATTAATAAAACCGTAGAATGACGTCTACACCGCCCGACGTTTCCCGCGCTTCCAACAAACTTTTCATAACTTTTATTTTCTTCTTGTACCATGAAAACAGTTGGAAAACTACGAACAGTTATTTAAAAGCAAATTCAGTACGAGTACAGTACCTTGCCGCATTCCCCGCATTTTGGTTCTGCATAAGTTTGGACTTTTCTTCTTCTGGTTCTTCTTTTTAAGTTTTCTCTCAAGATCTCGTGCGAAGACAAGAACTCTTCATCTTCCGTCTGTAAATAGTAAAAAACAATTATTGAGACTGGTTGAAGGTGGGTGAGAAAAATTAAAATTCAGAAAAAACTTTTATTTTCAACGAAAAATGAAAGACATCTTACGACTGTAGCTGCCATTTTAATGTTATTTTGGAAATTCAATTCATTTTAAGTATTATTAACTGCAGAAAATTAGATTTTCTCGAAAATTTGTTTTTTCGGCCGATTCCGGATATTTAATTTGACATTTGACATTGACTTGACACATTGATTTCCGTTCACCATATAAATTTTACGGCTTTGGATAAATATCCATACGGCGATTTCCGTTCAGAAAACTTCCACAGAGCAAATACTATGTGATCACATTATTCCGTATTTGTCACAGGGCGTAGTCGTGGCGTAGTCATGGAGCCCCAGCAATTTATCAGTGCCAGCAAAATACGGAACAAACCAGAGCTCCGATGACGGTAACTTTTAACGTTTCCAATCCAGACGCGTTTCATCGATTCTGCGATACGATTGGTCAAAACAGCTGACGTACGCTGTTGAACGACCAATCGTATCGCAGAATCGAGAAGCGTGTCTAGATTGTAGACGTTAAAAGTTACCGTAATCGGGGCTCAGAAACCGTCATAGCGCTAAACACACGCGTAAATGTGTGAGTGTGTGACCGTGTAAATCCACCGAATCGGCGTGATTTGATTTAGTCAATGGCCGACGCGCGCATTGTTTACATTTATCCGTCAGATTGATACTTATTAATTAAATTATGCCGTCTTGTGTCGTTCCAACATGCAAGCATGCTACTGGGATCACGAAGAAATTGCATGGGATCACGTTTCATACGTAAGTAGCACATTTCCAATATTCATGATAATTAATTAATAATTTTCCAAAAAAATCACGGTTGCATTTTGTAAGTGTTGCCACAGATCAACGGAATATTTTACTCAACTTTTTAAAATATTTAATTATATTTGTTTGTAAAAAATTCACGCGTTTTTTTTTTGTTTTGTTAGCGTTACCAGTGTTACCACAGGATAATGGAATATTTTACCTACTTTTTTTGTTTTAATTAATTTTTAGTGTTTCCTCCGTGATAACCTGATTAATTCAAAATAATGTATTGAATTTATTTTTACTATTACTCCCTAAATAATGAGGACCAAAATGTAGATATCACAATATGATGTGACTGTATAAATTTTAGCTTTCCAGTTGACGAAGTAAGGAAATCAGAATGGACAAAAATAATTCGAAGAGCACGGCTAGATGATTTATGGAAACCATCGAAGAAAAGCCTAATTTGCTCAATTCACTTTGAGGAGCAATATTTGTATGAGACGCCAGGTGGTTATAAAAGACTATACAAAAAAGCTGTTCCAAATAGGGTATGTGTGTCTATTATGTTCTGGCATCCTTTTTTAAGGGTTTTAATTTTATGAGCGTTAGAGAAAATTATAATGGTTTGTTCTTCGCAGATAGATGCCAGTAATTTAATTAAAAAATAATGTACTGTTACAGAAGATGAATTTACCTCCAGAAACGTCAGAGACACCTGTTGGAATATCAGTACCTTTAGTGCTCAAAAGTGTAGGTTATTCTTTTTTTATTTCTTTTCTTTTTCATAATGTTCAATAGCATGACTGTTTTTAAGTGTTTACATGCTTTGACTTGTGTTTCAGGAACCTACAGGATCAAATACAGTGATTGATAATGTAAATAATTTGGATTTGGTCCCAGAAAAATACAATGCATCTGTGGGAATATCTGGACTTTTGATACCTAAGACTGTAAATATAATATAAAATTATATAATATAGATAAAACCGTATATTAACCGTTAAAGGCTACTTATCAGCTATGATATTCCTTTTAATTTCATTATAATTATACATGCACTGAATTTCATACTTTCCCATATCCAATAGTAAGGCATTGGTATCCTAACTGATCAGCAGCAGCAATATTTGTATATTTAATATTTTAATTTTAAGTGATGATTGCTCACATACTTACTCTGATTTTCTTTCAGGAATTTCAGGATACACAGCCAGAATTGCCTACGGGATCCAATTCAAGCATTGGTGATGTTTCTGTACTTGAATCTCCAAGAGAAATTATACTTAAAGTACAATTGCGCCGTAAACAAATGTTTTGTAAGCGATATGTTCGAAAAATAAAAACTTTACAACAAAAAATCAAACGGCTTGCTAAAAGAAATGAATCTTTAAAAAGTATCATAAGGAATTTAAAAAATAACCGGTAAAATTTAAAGTAAAATCTTTGTTAAAATTGTTCAAATGTTGCTTAAAATCAAATTGTTTCCTGTTTCAAGAGTTAAATATATCAAAAAGATGATTCATGTTACTAAGAAATAGTTCAGTTGGCTTGGAATTTTTTAAAGATGGATAGTTTGGCATCCTCCCTGCAAAATTATAACGCCTAGTTGCCACGCTTCTACTTAAGACTTGACTAGCAAGTTTTACTTTCATAATATTATTGCGGAACATAAATGTCTTCGTGTAGAATTGTTACCGAAATGTAAGCCTTCGTTTTCTTGGAGTTTATTTAATTGACGTAAAAGATCCCAGTAAGTTTTATTGTTGACGTTGTCTAAAATTACTTTTTTAGATCCCAATTATTTCGTACAAGCTTAAACACGCGGAGAGGTCTAAAAATATAGCCACAGAATTGTTTAGCCTTACAGTTGTTTTCGCACTATTATACTTTCGCCGAAAAAAATATAAGCCTATTATTTAAAATCCCTAATATTACTGCCCTACACTACACTTTTGCCCGTAGTTTTGTAGTGTACCTAAAATTCCTTTATGCGATTTATTTATCTTTTGGAGACGGCAGGTGTTTTTGTTTAAATTTTTTTTATAATTTTCCTATTTTGGAGATTAAGTAATGACCTTTTATTTAACTTTTTTAGGAGTGTCGAATATAACGTTATAATCGTTTAAAATAACTAGCATTTGCCCGCGGCTTCGCCTGCGTTCAATTCAGTTGTCACAATCACAAATCATTCGAAATTGTAGGCTTATGTTATTCTGATGTATAAATAGGTACTGTTAAGTTTCTTCAAAGTCTGCATAGTATTTTTTTGCTTGAAAACTCGCATTTGCATGTATATTAGTAGGACTAGTTGATTTAGTAGGATATAATTATTCTAAAAGTTTACATAATAAAGTATTACCTTAAGTTTCTTTTTTGTTTTATTTATTTTATTTTATTTATTTATTTTATTTGGTGCACAAAACAGGGATACAACCATAACATACAAAGCGTTTAAAACAGGTTATACAATACAGTATAACTTGTTGCAGCTCCAATAACAAGTGCACACAACAGTACTTGGCACTCTGAAATGTTTATTTGACTTTTGTAATTGACTTTAAAATAATTATATTATACTTATGTATAATCATTATTTTCGTGTTTTTTACTTGTTTAACATCTTTATAAAAAAAAAAATACGTAATTTTACCCCAAAAATGGGAGTGTCACACGGCGCTGGTAACACTGAAGCGGGTGGAGGGGCGGGGGCGGGGAAGTATTTTGGACACAAGGTCACGCACGCAAGCACGCACGTTGCCGCGAAGAAAAATGTCAATTATAGTCTATCCAACNGCTAGTTCTGATAAAAGTTATCAGATTATTTGCGATTTTAGTTTTAAATTTGGGTTATCACTCTTGTAACACTGTTACCTATTAGGTATATTATTGAATTTTTGATTTGTTTTCGTGGCATTCTCACTATTGTAACACTGTATTGAATTTGTTTTATATTATTTAATTTTTACATATTATTTAATTTTGGTTAGTTTTCGCTTGATTATCACGATTGCAGCACTGTACGAATTATCTTAATTAATTTGATTTGTAGTTATGTTATTTTTGATCACTTTGTTTGTTGGTTTACGTTCCACGGCTTAAAATGCACTCTGAGTTTACGACCGTTTGTATTATACGCGGTAGGGCTTTGCAAGTTGCAAGGGTCTTTTCGGGTCGGACCGTCTGGAGCGCACGTGTTGTGCACGTCCACTCTCGAACGCTGCCCAAAAAGGACTCCTAGGACTACCCCCTTTTCGACTAAGGGAGAAATATGGCAAAATCAGGCTTCTACTACAACTCATCTGGCCAGCCAAGGGAAGTGAGGCAACATTCTCCATTTGAGAGCGTACTCGTAGTTTTCCTGCAGTGGAGACTAAAATACCTCTTTATGAAACGATGAAGTAGCCATTGATTGCGTTAGTAGTTTGTCTAAGTTTTGCAAGCAAACCAAGAAAATCTAAACACTATCAGTGTGAAAACCAAAAAACCTGCATATCCATTTCGGTAATTCCCTGAGATCCTGAGCCACAGCGGCTGTCTGCCGCCTGTCAGCCGCTCCCCGGCGACCTTACTTCTAATTGGAGCTCGGCGTGTCTATTAATTCACTGCCCGTCACTGCGCTCGTCGATATTAAGCAGATGCGATTGGATTATTACTGGAATACATCTCAAATCGATTTAGGCTGTTCAGGTAACTTGTGTCTTGGTTGCGAGAAGATGGGATATGGACAAATTGGGATTATTTTAGTTAATCGTTCGTTTCAGCCAAATGACGTCCACTGCTGGACAAAGACCTCCTCCTAGGATTTCCACAACGACCGGTCCTAAACCGCCCTCATCCAGGCACCTCCCGCGACTCTCACCAAATCGTCAGTCCACCTAGTACGGGGCCTGTCCTCAGCTCTTGACTTCATCAGTAGATTTTGGCAATTGTACTAAAAATATACTCAAATGGTGACTGATTTGTGATATGAACACTATTTCATTTGCTAAAAAATGTAATTTATCGATATCTTATGAATCATTCGACCTTTGATTATAAGAAATAATGTCACTTCAATCTCTGCTTCAGTAGACACATTACCACAATCTATTGAATTACTTGCTAAACCTATCTATCGAAGAGTCAATCATTGGCGAGTGTAATAATCCATAATAGGCTGGATATTGACCTGCAGACCTTCATTTGATATAGGAGTATCGGACAGCCCTGCCAGGGACCGGCCTCGCTCGAATCTGAATCGAGTTTTAAATAAGTTTCTATTTATACACTGAAACCTGCATAAATCTGTTTTGTTCACAAATATTCATTCAAATATTTAAAGTGCAGGTGTCATACCAAAAAGCATAAAATGTGCATGCTATCGTCGGATAACTGAGAATAAGTTTGGCACTACTGTTTTTTCAAAAGACTTCATGTATTTTCAGTCAAATATTGAATGTAGTGAATCAAGTGTACCTATCAAAATCAAAGTATAGATAAAAATGACATCAGAGATAAAAATGCAACATCGTCAATTTTAACGCGGTGCATCTAACCGTAATAAGTTTGTAATGCGATTGGCTGACCTAACCCTCCGCCGCTCGGGCCGCAAAAAGCAGTGTTCTAGTATGAAATCTGTCGAAATTGAATTATTGCATATTGTCGGCCGCCCACAGACCGCAGGCTAAGTGCGGGTCGCTCCCACTGCGTCTCTCGAATCTCATCGCTCATGCGTATTTATCAATTGCACGGGGCAAGGGCATCCATACTTAATATTGTGAAAGTTACTCCGACTGTCTGTTACATTTTCACGCTGAAACTGCTGATTCAGCTGTATGAAGATAGTTTTAGATCTTGGGACATAGGATATATTATACATACATACATATTATTTTATGTAAGTTTATTATGGACCTAATGAATGTGCTCATCAGTTGGAACTTGGAAGTAAGAGGTTAAGGAGGAGCGAGTTAAGTCGCTTCCACCATTGGCCTGATCATCAGTTTCCATCAAATGAGATGCAGGCCGAGAAAGATACTCTTACCTACCTATGCATTACTTAAATGAATACCTACAATACTAGTATTTATTGCTCTTACAAGTATTGAACCCCCAACCGACATCGTAATAGAGCTGAACACCACTCCAGACGGCCATCAAACCAGTATTCCCTACCTTCCCATTCACCCACTGATAGTGTTAAACAAAATATTCTATGCAAATAATCGGCTACCTCTGCGGATATAAAATAATATTACCCTCGTTTTTTCACAGAATAAAGCGGGGAATACAGGAAAACTCTTAGATGTTTTCCAAGTCACTACCTACGGGAAAGTCACGGGGGCATTGGCAAATTTTATTTGCATTCGGGGCGTTCGCTATCACCGAGGTTGAGAAGGGTGGTTGTCAGAGTAACAAGGGTTAATGGTAGCGAACAATGCTTCCGGTCGCGAGGAAGTCACGTGACTTCAAAAGATGATGCACGATTGACTGCCCAATCGTGAGCAGTTCTGTGAAGTTACTTCAAACGTCGTATTGGAAGGGTTAAGAGTGTGCTTATCACATTGATATTCTGCTGACTGAATACAAGGAGCTCTGAGTGTTTCTAGATATGATTATTCAGCAATATATTTTAGGGAAAAGACAGCTCTTTCGAATTAGACGTTTTGAGCCGGACGTTTGTCGTGCGATTACAGGACCTCACACGGTAAATTGTATGACAACTGCGTCAAAATATGAAAGAACCCTTGTTGCAAAAAAACCTTGTAGAGGCAGTTGAAGGTTTTCAATACTCAAAGTCCGTCATAATCGTGCCAGATTAAAAAAATAAGGTAGGTACCTATTTCAGGTGTCGTTTGCATTTTTCGCTGTAGTCTGCTAAGATAACAGATTACCTCTAATTATTTCACAACGAAAACAATCTCACGACTCAATGTTATCATTACTCGAGGAAGCCCCAAATTTGCACTCACATCGACAATAACATCTGAGACCCTATTCACGTCTGGATACTAAAACGCTTACCTACCGAGAATCCGCACAACGAACCCTTAGTGCCTTCGACATGTCATTCGCAATCTAACCGGCATTGTGCTGGCCCCGAAATTCCCGCCCCTTATTACAACACACTCAAGGTTCAAAATCAGGTTAAACTTAGTGCTGTTATCTTAGGTCCCGTACCTAATTCTTGATTGTTCACGTGGAAGTTGGCACAAGCCCCTCCCCTAACTGCTAACGTATAAATAATAATTGTGCGGCCCGAAACTTTGTTGCTAACTGTACAATAGCTGGTAATCCCGGATTATTTTGGTCCAGGTTCTGTTGGTCGAACGTCTGTTTGACGTTTTTAACCGAGGATTTACTCTAGACTTGGATTGGTCAATGTTTGCACGAACTTTTCAATACGAAGCCATTTGCGCGTTCAACTTTTTTGACGCGAGGCTTTCGAATGGAAAATATTTT